CCGAAGAAACGTATAATCTATCCCAGTGGCGTTTCGTGGCGTGCGAGCCATCGTCAACGATTGCATTTGAGTAGCGCTTGGCTCCTGCTCGAGAGCTCTTCGACTTCATCAACCTTACTTATGCAGAGATGGCAAAAAAGGGGGAAGAAGAAACAAGTAGAAGGTGATCCCAAGTGAAAAGGACCTCAAAAGCTCGTTAGTGAGTTTTTCTATTTTTTTTTTAGACATACTTATTCTCCTATTTTTGAACTTGTCCACTACCTGTTCACAAAGTCGCGACAAAAACTCCAGAAGTACGACCAAGTCTTGAAAAATGTGCCCTACTTACTGAGAGTAGTACAGTAGGACTTGTAGCTTTTCAAGTGATTGGGTCTCAACGTTCATCATTTCTACTCTCTTTTTTGCCATTTCCCCATACTTCTTCAACAACTTCTTTGTTTTTTGCTCCATACAATGGTTTATCTTAATGGCTAATATACATATACATATGGCACACACTTGAGTCAGCATTGTAATTTGCAGGTTTTCTAAATAAGTTTTATGGATTTTTCATGATATTGTTGAAGTGTGATAAGGTAAGCGTACACTAATTAATGACCTTGTTCTGATTAAAAGAAAATGCAAGACAGGTTATTATGTATGTATACGTATGTGAAATTTCAATCAGGATTTTTCTTAAATAATGAACTAAATGATTTTTTGTGATAATACCATTTTTTCAACATTACCGTGCTGCTTATTAAGTGCTTAATTAAAACTTTATGAGAAAATCTTGAGTTTTATTGAGTTAAAATGGGGATTTAAATTTTAAATAATTATATGGCTTTCATTTCCTCAAGGAAACTATTCAAGAGTAGAAGAAATTTCTTGATAGTGATCATGATTTGATTAGAGATTATGGGATTGGGTTCAGAATTTATGCAATAGACTTAGATTACAATCTTTATTGCTTTTTTGATGCTAAAAAATTTATAATCTTGTAATTTAATTTTTTTTACAGTAGACAATGGTTGGCTGGACAGAAGTCATTTGATGAAAGTTGATGTTGATGCAATCATGATTTTAAGAAAGTTGAAATACTAGGAAAAAAAAATTCAATAATTGAATAAAATGTGAAGAATACAAAAAGCTAAAATACACATCAGAGTTACTCAACTACCAAAACATTGGTTTAAAAAGTTGATTTGAATAATAATAAATTGGAATGGAATATACCACAAATAATATAGACCTCAAATTTCAAGAATACAGGAAGAGGAAGCCCAAAAAAATAGGATATCAATTTAGAATAAGTCGGTCAAAATGCCTGATGATGTAGAATAGTTTGTGAAGAATAGTGTTTGGTATCCAACATTGATAGTTACAATACCACGTATTTCACCTTTAAATATTGAAAGAGTGTATAATAAAGTAGACGAAAAGCCATGAAACTCTACAATGAGTATCTCGTAGAGATGTCATTATTTATTACACATATATCATGAGGGGAAACAGTTTATGAGCTTGAGAGGAGCAAAGGGACGTAAATTGAACAAAAGGAAAGAAAATTTGTAAAAGTTTATAATAAAAATAGTGCAGTGGACGTGATGTACCATATATATCTACGTCGTGGTGAGCTACGAGTCACGCCTTTATTCTAAAGCGGCGTGAAAAATTCTGGCGATTCGTTTCAGAATCCCCGAGCTAAGTAAATTGGAAAGTTTATAAGAAGAAAAACCATCAAGTGAACACCCGCACCCTCTTCGTCACTTTTCACTCTGGCAAATGGATTGACCGGCTTATGTACCACCACCGCCACCACTGCTGCATACTATTTTTCACGAGGAAAAGAAATGCGCTGATCAAGTCTGCTGCATATAATGCTGTAATATACGGCAAATCATTTTGAAACAGAAGGAGATTGGTAGCAGTAAGGTAGCTGCAACCAGAAGGCATCATTTCGCATATTATTATCCCTACTCTCTGCTGCACATTATCGTGAATAAAATGGAACATCGGCATATAATAAGCCACCCGCACCGCCCGCAGCAGCTGCTCAGCGTTATTCGTATACCTACATTCTGTATAAAAATACTGCAGTTTTTATATTACAAAAAAAAATAAGTTTTCAGGAAGAATACATTTCTGCTGAAGATGGTTATTATTTTGTTGATTATGTCATGAATATTATTTTTATTCAGTTGAGGAAATATTTAACTTTTTAGTTAGAAGTTTAAATAAAATAAAAATGAATATTATACCAAGAAGAACAAGTAATGATACACTTTTATACCGTGAGAAATAATCCTATGGTAAAGATATTGTTTTACTGATTATAATGAAGTACATTTCTTATTTTATGAAATGAAATTTTAATCCTTTTAACTTGGAACAAAATTTGTTAGTGAAGATTTAATTTCACTTAATAGATGGAATAGTGTCTTTACTTTTATTTAATCATTTTTATTCATCATAAGTTTATTAAGAAAGGTCTGGTGATGATAAGAATTCATAAAATAATGGTGCATTGATAAAAAAAACAATTACGCCATAGGTAAAAAAATCTCCTTCAATTTATATCATTCCAGGGAGATAAAACATTTCCACAATTCTAGAAGAATGCATTCTGACTTTTAGCTGTTATTTATAAAAAGGATGACGTTGATGAAAAATGGAAATGCTCAGGTTCAAATCTCCATGCTTAAAAGGATTTGAGTCAGGTTGTTAGAGTCATGGTTGTTAAAAGGTATAGAAATGGACGTGAAATTAATGTGTAGACATTTTTCTAAGCATTTAGTAAAAAAAGAAAATTATACATTTCACCTTTTTACTTGCTGTATAATCTGAGAAACGTATAAAATCGACAACAAAAGAATATAACTCCTCTAAACTTTCTTTTCATGATGCACTAAAATAGTTCCAACAATCTTATAAGGATTTGCAGTCGAATGAAAATAAACATACATCATTCTAAAAATACTTTCATCATAAATTTGATTCTTCATGAGGATCGGAAATTTTTTAAATTTTTTTCAAAGAATCAAATAATTATTGATAATGTTCTCATGAAAAGTCAGTATTTTAAAGAAATGTCAACATAAGATTTTTTTTACTTCATTGGATCTACTTATGTTTATTTATTTTATCATGATAACAGAAAAAACAGGTACTAAAAAATTATCTTTATGTCAACGATTGCTCCAAAAACCTCACCAAGAACTCCAAAAAGATACGAGTCAAGATAAACAAAAAAAAAAGCTAATTGCTCTAATGCACCGTGAAAAATCCTTAAATCCAATGAAAACTAATTAAAAAAATTAAAATACCACCAGTATTCTGTCAACCATTAATTTTAAAAAATTCTAATCCAATTTATTACTCCAAAAATACCATTCTCATTAACTGATGTAATCACAGTAATATTTTACCATCAACATTCATTCTTAATTCATTAGATTATTTTTTTTTTCAGACTCATCTAATTTCCTTGATTCCAACAATACACACATGGAATAGGACAATTGCAGAATAGTTGTTGGTTAAACTAGACGTGTACACATATACGTAGAGACTGAAGGGGAGTGACGAGAGACATAATGTGTGGATACACGTTGCTGGGGGGCTGCGACCGCACTGAGAGTTACTACAATCGTTTCGAAATAATTTAGGGGAGCCAATATCCCGGGTATATATACTGCACGCATCTGCACCGCGAGTTATTTATGATGGATTAGGCCGTAGGAGATTTAACCGACGGTTAATTTATGCTCAACCATGGGCTTGACAACAACTCTTATTCTCTTCTATCATGTTCATACGTAAGTATGCACTATTTCAAATATGTGCTCAACAAATTATATCTCCACATGTTGAAAAATATCAAGAAAATTAAAATAAGTCATTCACCTTTCATTATTTATTCATTTTATATATTTATTTAGAGTCCACTAGCTAGAACTAATTTACCCTTGTTCATCAACCAGCAGTAAATGGAAGTGAATGTGCAATTGCCAGCTGGTTTTATCTGTAATCCTCAACCACTTCCAGGGATATTGTTCCAGTTGTATGTTATTAGACCTCTATTAAATTTATAACACGGAAAATGATGCACACTTGGCAAAAATATCATTGAAAAGAGATGAAATAAAAGTAAGTAAAATGAAGATAAAAATATTTCATTAAATAAATGACATTTTTTAATCTTCTTCATTAATTTTTCATCATTTCAGGTTATATTTGAATGGTGACGCGTGCTTCAAACAAAGTCTGACTAATGTATATAATACATACTGGGGTATACTCACACCCCGGATGATGATCTATGACGGAAGATAAACCACGCGCGTTCAACAAGTGTGTGCTTATTGTTGGAGATAGTCCATCAATGTAACAAATTTTTCTTGCAAAGGTAGCGAAAAAAAATTTAGTACCATTCAGAAATATTTTAAAATGTGAACAACTTAAAGTTGCTAATTTATTATCAAATGTTGAGTTTTTAATACATCTGCAGAAATTAAATTTTAATTCACTTTTAAATGACTTCAAACAGGTTTTCCTTATCTTGAATATATCAAAACAATTTTATCATCCTTTCATCTAGTTAAGAAGGTTTTTTTTTTCCTCATTTTAGAATGCAAGGCTGGTTGGAAAATATAACTACTACAATTCTCCATGTAGAATCAAGTAGTATACATTGCGAAAAGATCTTTTCTACTCTTATATACAAGAAGCTCAGTGGAAACCATTGGAGAGACACAGAACAAGGCGAGACAAGACAAAACGAGGCGCAAGGCTCGCACGGTAAACTCGGCCGGATTCTTCTTGTGGTCGTTTATATTTTGAGCCTAGTGGAAACACTGGCCGAGACAAGTCCCGTGGGCTCCCAAAGACTGCCGCCCCCTTTGTCGGAGATTTTTCAAGCGCACGAGCAACTGCAGAAGTAGAAGATGAAATGCCAGCCGAGATATAGAGAGAAGTTGAGGTGAAGAGAAGATGTAAAAGATGCGTGATGATGGTAAAGCATCGTTTTAAATAATACCAAAGTATCTAATGAAACCGAGAGACACCTGCTACATTACATATCTTCTGTGTTTCTTGGGCAACCTTTTCTCACTCCAGGTAATTACTTTAACACCAACATACATAATTAATAGGTTCCGTTTGAATGCATTCAAATAAATTATGTTTCAGAAAAGGAAGAGATTATTGGTAAGTAAGGAAAGACGGTAAAAAGGAGAGGAATGCTTATATTAGGATATGTACACTGAGCGAATATTTCACGTCAAGGAAACAGCGTTTAGGGTGAACGAAAACATAGTGTAAGGCAAAATCAAGTATCGAGGAGGACTCGGAGAATCCCCTTTGTCGATTTCCTTTTTTTTTCTTTTTTACGACACAGTACAAGGCGGCGTGACTACACATACATCCTTGGGTTACTTTTTATAGGCCTAATATATTATGTATATACATAGATATTATGTTATACACATAGATGACGACTATACAAATGTATACTTTGGATTCATATAACATATAACTACGTAACGGGGCGAGGAGAAGGTATCTCGTGACTGAGAAGAGTATTGGATATTATATTGGACGCAGGCAATGTCCCCATAAACGAGCCCATGCGGAAAGGGAGTCCAAATTTTTATTTGAGCCCTCCTTGTACACCCTAACTGCTCATCTTCAGGTCTATACTGTACCGCATAAAACTTATATTCCTCCTCATCGTACGGAGAGGAATTAAAAGGTATATATGGCTATATGTTTGTGACTCATCGTACAAACGTCAAAACGCTTACACTCCAGTTTCACTTAGAGTTTCTCTTTCAGGAGAAAAGCGGACAAGGGGAACAAAGAGAGCAGTGGAAGAGATAATACACTGGAACGACTTTGTCGCTACTATAAAGTACGGATCTACCAATGCAGAGGGGTTTTGTGAGCTTTACGAGCGAACGTTAAAAATGCCTCCCTTATAGCGACATAGACGATAGTAAAAGATTTGTCGAATAACAACCACGTGAGACATAATCGTATAAGGTAAACGCTGTAGGCTTACAATTTTCATCAACGCACGTTACTATTCTCTTCGAGGTATAAAAATCTCTATACATTTCAAATGACATCCTAAAATGTGTTCCTGTGAAGAATCCACGTTATATAGCGACCCTTCACCTTTATATATTCGTTTTCTCTGAATACATCGTACATTCACACACCAACACTCGTAAGCATTAATGCAATTTTTAATTGCCGTCATAAATGCAAGCTTAGTCAACGAGCAAATCTCATAATACACTACGTCCATTCTTTTACGCTTGTTTTACTCACACGTACTACACTTGATAAGGAAATATACCTTTATTAAAGCTGTACAGCGATTTATCTTTTTACGACATGTCTCGTTTCTATTTTCAAGCCAATCCTTCATACTATCGGCTCTTTGTCTTGGATAACTACACACTACTTAATGCAAAAAGATATATATTTCCCGGCGCTCATGCTTGATGTTATTATCACCTACTATCAGTTCTAAATTTCGTGCTTCAAATAATACAACATCTGTAATCTTAATTAATGTTTGTTCTAATACGATTATATTTCAATAGATGTAATACTTTATTGGTATACAATCACGATTATGTAGAAATGATAGGTGTATTGTATTTTGTACGTGAATGATTTTTTGATGATGGTGATGATGATGATGATGGTACTCTACCTCAATAGATAACTTTTGGGAATAGATAATCGTTTGTATTAATTATCAATTAACTATTATCCGGTACCATGAGGTGAATCAAAATAAGGTGAAAGAGAAGAATAATAAGCACACATAGACACACTAACGAGAGTGGTGAAAAAAGACAGAGCCAGACTGATCCCCTCCTGCTGTCTTCGATTTGCACAGTGTGTGTCTGTTAAGTGTATTACACACGTTTATCTTATATATTCAGTATCTATATGGATATACACACGTGCATTCGTTGATGTAACTGTGTAGAAGCGATTAATCGGTTGGGGAACCAGTTTGTCAGAAATAAAATCTTCTCAAACGATCGTTTGACCGTTCGCGTTGCATCAAAGTTCATATCTCGTTTCTTGTCTCTATCTTAATAAGTGTTTTGCACTCTTACAGCACATTACCAAGTGTTTTTTTTTTTACAATTAACAGGAAAAAAATTGAAATAACCAAGTGTATCTTTTTCTTTCTCGATAATTGTATAAATTAAATGCACAAATGGTTCGAATAACTTACCACCAGTTAGCTTCAGCACATTGGTAACGTGTAAACATCAACAAAATGATGGCCAAAAGATTAGAAGTCTGCGTTTTAAATCGTTGCATTTTTTTAAATTGATGAAACTACTGATGATGATCACTAGCGAATCCTTGGAAGCGCGCGTTCACACCTTAAGAATGTCACCTTGGTGATCAGTGTATTAATTGAAGCACCCTTCAACTTATCGTGAGCATTTTTTTATAGCTGATAATCACACGCGATATTTCCGGTTCTTTATCCTCAATTACTGTTATTATTATCTTTATACGTGAGTGAAATTTTCAAAAAAACAGACAAATAGCTCGTAAGAGTTTGCAGTTAGTTCACTTGTGTTTTACATTTTCAACATGTTATAAATTCAGCTTGATCCAATTACATAAGACCAATCAAGTATACCTTGACAAATTGATTGATTGATTTAGTTGTTGTTACTCGAAATTTAAATGAATTGTTAATTTAAAAATGGCAAATGATTATGATGAAAAAATAACAGTGATTCAGAAATAGTTTAACTATGATGTGAGTTTAAACAAATGGTTTTTAAAAATCATTTATGTGTAAAAAACTGATACAAGTAAGTTGGAGACGTTTAAAACATGCGAGATACCATCCGGTGGACGTTCGCATACGTACTGTGGTTTACTGTGGCTGGTTGACACGAGGAAAAGGGCAACGAGACCTCTCTTCTGGTGAAAAGGCGGAGCTTGTCCGTTGATCGTTGTACTCTGATTGGCTGTATGAGGGAGGTTGGTCTGGCATATGTACTGTATGCTCTTTCGCGCTCTTTCCTGCTCTCGTTGATCCTTTAGTTTTCACGGTCTCTACACCCGCGGTTATATATTCTACATATATATGTATGCACTCATCTGACTTTCAACCCCCGACTCATCATCATCTACCTTGTAAGTTACTGATAATCAGTATACTTGAGCGTATTACAGTAGAGTCTGCTCTAAGTTGAAACCACTAGAAAAATTTGAAACTTGATAAGAATTGGAGATACATTTTTATCACATTTCTGCATGTTAATTAAGTGTTTCTTGATTATTAAAACACATCACTGAAACTGATATGATAATTTCATCATCATCATCATCTTTTAGATATTAAACATTCCTCTTAATCATAATGACATTATTTTGAAATTTTAATAGAAATAAAATAGAGTAAAGACCCTTGCTTTATTTTATTTTGAGAAATAACTTTTTGAAAGTAATGATTTTTTTAATGCTAAATTTATACATGAGTAATATCCATAAGTGCACTTGTTGTTGGGTCAATTACCCTAGAAAAAGGAATGAAATGTCATCAACTCGAGATAATGAACCCTTATTATGAGATATAGTTATTTTACTCACCCCATTTTCTGTAATTCTACATATAAAAATTCTTCAAGTCACGTGGGGATCTTTATTTATCTCTTTTTGCAGGGTAAACTCGATCGGGTACTTTTAGAAGAGCAAGAGAGGATGTTGAGAGTATACCCCTACCACTCAACTGCAGGTACATCCAAGAATCATCACCCCATTCAAGTGTGCATAAGTTCCACGAAAGAAAGGAAAGAAATACCATGAGGAGAAACGATGAGAAACGAGTCTCTACAAATAGCAGAATATATACAAGAAGACTACTTGGTACCTCGGTATTGTTACATGCCCTCTGCTCTCGACTTATTGTCCACGGCTAATCAGGCATGCCAGTTCTTGTCAACGACTAACACGGTAAGTACACAGTAAAGAATTATATACATGAATATCCACGCTTTTAGCATCGTTATGAATGCTTTTTATAGCATTTAAAAATCAAAAGTTGTCTGATATACCATTCAAGCAATTAGATAAATAAATAGCCATATAATTTGGTGATACTAATTTTGAACGATTACGTATCTGTTCATAAATCTGATAAATATTCAAAAGTTTCAGCACTTGTACACTCTTATTCTTACTTAATTCTTATTTCTGCTAAAGCAAAAGATTGAGGGTCTTGTCAAACTTGTTGAAACTTTAGGGACTCTATTTGTCAAGCAAATATAAGCACATGATGGGGGCGAGGCAATGGTTGAAGAGCCATCTAACTTTATCTATATTACAAAAATGAGAATACAACGACAGACAGATATGTATTTGGAAGTAGATGGGCTCTGTTGATTTTGCCCTTTCGTTTGATGATTCCTAAATCAACTGTTTAATCTACCGGCTTTAAGCGTGTAAATGTCTACAATACTTTGATAAACAATCAGTGAGATAATTTTCTACTCTATATCAGTAATATATACTGTTTCTCCGTAATAAATCACCATAACAACACTTGTGATAGAAAAATCATATTCTTTTATTTTTGTTTCAAACATTATATGTTCCTTTTGACGATTTACTAAAATACTCATTTGATACAAGATGACAAGGTCAACAGTTTTAATTGAATTGTTGAGATGGAGTATGATAGAGACCGGCCATGGCCTCTTGTAAGGCTCGGAGACATGCAATCGTTGCTTTGAAACCACCGGCTTTTTCCACTTTGGTCTCAGCACGAACATGATTAATGTATCCATGTGAGATAATCTGCTGCCACGTCGGTGCAGGAGGTCCTTCTGTTTTTTGCTCAATGGGTACATAAGTGTACGTTGGTCCTTCATCTTTTGGAATCGGTAGGAATCCTTGGGATCCTTGTTTGCCGAATTTAATTCCTGTGCTAAACTGTGTCGCTCTTGGCGTTGGAGATACTTTTGAAGTATTATCTACAGATGATTGCATTGATGTGGCAAATGTCTGAACAATTAAATGTGCATTTCCTTCAGAAAACATTAGTTCATCAATGAGAGCTTCTTTTTCACGAATTTTTTTCTTTTTACATTCTATTTCTTCTCGAGCCAATTCCAATCTCCTTTCATCATCCCTTTGTTTTTCTAATTCTAACAACTCTTGTAATTCACGTTCACTTCTACCTAGTTTAGACTTATTTTTTAATATCTGTTCTTTATTGTCTCTTCTATATTGTTCTATCTTTTTATTCGTTTCAACTTCATCAATATTATTGGATAAATTATAAATAATTGTTTCTACCTCTTCAAGGTAATCATTGTATTCCCTGAGAGTAGCAAAATCTTCTTCTTTTTTATTATAATCACGAAGTACTCGTTTTCTTATGTCCACTTCTTTTTCTACCATTGAATCTTCGAACATCTGAAGACGAAAGTTTACTTTTCTCAAAGGTGTTTGACATTCTGGACATACTCCGGATCCTTCAAAAATAATAAAAATATTTAAAGTTGTTTCGTATTCATTTAATTCTGTATAAAAATAAGCACAAAGCATTTGCTAAAGATCAAAAGATTGTGGGAAAATCCAGCATGTTTCTTCAATTATTTTGTAATAATAAGCAATGATATTTAACATGACTGTGAATCCTGAGTTTTAATTATTTCCTTGACATGTTTACGATTCATGAAAATGAAATATTGCACATACCTTTCAAAAATAATAAATCCACACAGTTTTCACATAATGTGTGGCCACATATATTTACCATCAATTTAAGAGATGGATTTCTGTATTTTGTTGTTTTACAACGAGGACAAGCTTGGTCTTCCATTTTTATTGTTATAAAAAATTAAATATTCAAATTAATAACTTTTCATACTATTCTTATATACAAAATAGACCTGTAAACAATAAATACCATTATTCATCACATTTGTTATACAGTAATTAATTTGATTTAATTATGTTTACAAACGTTAATAAATGACAACCTTTACGATGATTCAGTCAGCATGCATTATTATAAAATTAGCTAATTAAAAATTGATTTTTGACACATGATTTTTTTCATATTATTAAATTATTTAATTCACTCACTTTTTTAATATTTGTGTAGTATATTTATTGTAATATCGAAATAATCTTTTTTCAAATAAAATTATTCACATTCTTGGTTAGGTTGTCTGAGGACACACTGAAATACAAACTAACGACTTTATCGATACAAGATAATTGAGATTAATATTTATTTGAATACGTAGTTCTGGAAATAGTTTAATACTGTGAGGGCGCTACTGTTAGTAATCTATAGTTTCAGATGATGCCAAAGAACAATAGTATGAATATTTTTTATTAGAGCTAAAGTGTTCATGCAAATTTTCAGAATTTGCAAGAATTTTACGACATCTACTTTTGTAAAGATTACTAGTTCATTGATACGAAATGACTTTTTGTGAATAATATTATTTATTTGTTTAATAAGTTGATAATATTCTACTCTGAGCTCAGTTCCGTTTGCCTTCCCGTCAAGTCATGACTCAATCGTTTGAATAACATTTTTTCAACGTTTTTCTATTGACATCAAAAAAGGAATAAAACTTTGAAAAACAGCGTAAGATAAGAAGTAGTATTGATATTTCTGTAAAGGATATTTAATAAGGCAATAATTAATTTGTAAAATTGTAGATAAAATCATCTATTTTTACTAAATTACAAACATTGAAGGAGGAAACCTTACAGAAAGGTATGTTTAAGATGTATTATTTTATAAAGTACGCTTTTATCTGAACCACTGACTAGTCTTATGTAATTAAAATGTTATTTTTTATTGAGACAGTTGAAGATAATGTCTGAAGAGCATCAATTACCATCAGATTCTGATCAAGATGATGAAGATTATATACCCGATGGAGTCGAGCAAGACGTATCAGAAGCCGAGTCTGACGAAGCCGTCGAAAGTGAATCTGGACAGGAAGATGAAAATAATGAGAACGAAAAAAAGTCGAAGAAGAAAAAAGGGAAACGTGGTAAACAAGGCAGAAAAAGGACTAGCAAGAAAGCAAAGGTAGACACTGAAACACATGACAGTGAAAAGGAAGAAGAAGAGGAAGAAAAAAAACTTTTAACAGAAGAGGAAGAAAAAAAGAGAGCAGACTCTCTTTGGGCAGATTTTATGAAGGATACAGGTAAGAATTTATTTTTGTTAATTTCATTCAAATTATTATATACTTTTTTTTATTTATTTTAGGCTCGACATTCAAACCGAAACCACAAAATTCTACCAACATATCATCCGGCCAACAAGAAAACAGCTCTCTGAAGAGGTCTAAGACTGAAGAAAAAGTAAAAATAACAAAGGTATTTGAATTTGCTGGAGAAGAAGTTAGGATTGAGAAGCAAGTGGCTGCTGATTCTGCTGAGGCTCGTTTAGTTCTTAATTCTTCAGGAGACAAATCGGCAGATCGATCAGCACCACTTGATGATAAGAAGAATAAACCAGCTCGACGAGGTGGAGGACTTGGTGGAATTTCATCAGTTCTTGGACAAATTGGCAAAAAAACCAAAATAAGTACTTTAGAAAAATCCAAACTTGATTGGGATAATTTTAAAAAAGAAGAAAACATCGATGAAGAAATAAATACATATAATAGAGGAAAAGATGGATATCTTGAACGTCAAGATTTTCTTCAACGAGCAGATCTCAGACAATTTGAAATTGAAAAGAACCTCAGGACAATTGCCAGGAGGAATAATCGATAAATAAATTATGATTTGTTTGACTTAACTATTTTCATCAATATTGTGTGACAGTATCGTGAATGAAAAACTAAAAGCTGCTTTTCCAGCTAGCAAAAGTATTAATCATTCCAATACGTTGATAGTACGTAGTTAATTATTTCAAACAATAATGTGATTTACCACTACTATACATATTTAACTGTTAAATCGATTAATTTTGTGCTAATTTAAATGATAATGTGGTTGAAGAAATCATTTAATGATTCTTGTCATACTTTTCTAAAACATCTGACTATTCAAGCTATCGTGCAGTCTATTATTAAATAGAAAGATGTTCAAGAAAATTTACAGTTAAGACTTTCAAGTCTTATGTTTTACCTTAATGATGCTCAGGTGATACTTTTCACATTTGTAATCTTGCTAAAACATACACAATAAATATGCGATGCTGCCGAGAAGATCCTCATTTTCTTTTCCCGAATAGTTATTTTATGTTGTCATCATTAACTTTACATGTAAGTAAGGTTTTAAGAATTTACTATAAAAAGTTTTAATGGAAGATTGGATTGAAAAGTAATTTATTTGCTAGACGATTAAAAAATTTGTCTATCAATAATTTTAATTAAGACTCTAGATCTTAAATTACTTCGATAAAATTTTTATCCAAGTTTTCGACATTAGCTAATATAAATTTCTTTTCAACCCATCAAGCAAAAAGTACTTTGAAAGAATATCCGATATATTCCGCATAACTTTACGGTTTTAAGTTAACTTTGGCATTTATGACATTTTATTTTATTTAATAAAAATGTACTTAACAGAATTTTAGGTATTGATAGTATGAAATATGTAATAGTATCTACAAAAATGTATTAATAAATTTATTTCATGTCATGCGAAAGTTGGTTTAATGGACAAAGTTACACGGAACGATGGTATATAAATAAAAACAGGAAGAAAAAAATTTTAATTGATTTTTATTCGATGGTTTCAGATTATTTTTATGTTGATGATGACTTGTAAGAAGTATGTAAGGAAAATTTATGTTGGATTATGGCAATTACATCGGGATTATAAAAAGACGTTAACCAAAATGGCATTAGTTATAGTAAAAGCTCAGATAGATAATTGATGCGTCGACCGAAATATCTTTAAGGCATTGACCTGCTACCGGTTTTATTCAAATCGTTCAATGGTTAACAAAAGAATGCAAAGAAGAGGGTAGAAGCAGAAGATTGGCGCCACCGAATGCTCATGGATTCATATTGAAGATGCAATACTGCAAGCGTGACTTGCATTCCAAATTGGGTCCAATTGACGTCATTCAACTCTAGTCGGTGAGTTCCGTTTTTACGTTGATATCAGTATGTTTCCAGAAAGCCTGGAATATTTGGGCGAACGATTTTAAGATTTCTCAAACGATTATTCAATCATGCGTCAACAACCGGCTCCGATAGTGCTTGGGATGACGAAAATGTCAAAAGATGATACATCACTTAAAAATGGAATGTCCGAATTCGTAATAGGGAGAGTCAACCAAAATGTTAGACGAGTTAATGAGTCGTAAAACACTTGGTTTCTTGGAATACTTATGTGTTGCTTCCTTTCACAATGTTCCGTGGAAGGTTCAATTCTTCATAGCGACATAACTTTACAAGCTCTTTGATCGTAAAACAATTACTCTTTAAACACGTGGATTGAATTAATGAGAGTGAAGAAAACGCGATGAGAATATCAGGGAAAGTGGCTACATATAAAGTAGATAGATACTCAGAAAACATGAATAATAAACACTTAATTAAAAAAAAAGACAAGTATAATGAGATTGACTTATATGCACAAATTCCTCCAAGTGCTTACTTGATTACTAACATTTATATGCTAAACAAGCTAATAATTATAATATTTCAGTTTACTATGAGTTATTAAAAATATTTAATGGCAAATTAAATTTATAGTTATTGTGTAGTATAAAAATAAATAAAAGCCGTAAAGAGCTGGTAAAATTTTTTGCTGTTTGGTGGTCAAATTCCAACACGAAAAATTCAGCGAATTATGATCTATGACGTTGAATGCAGACTTAGCATCATTTAGCCTTGAGTCATTCCCATGATGTAATCATTTTCTCTGTTTATTATCATCACTTCAAACAGGTGAGAAAATCTTTTAGATGATTTATGTAACGTAATCGTGATAATCACAGTTAGTATATGAGAATTATAAAAATTTCCTAGAAAAGTCAACAACATCATACTTATCCTTTAGAGAAATCGAAGCACTTTTTTATCTCTTATTTGCCTTGATATTTAATATAAGTTTCCATATCCTTTCTCACAGAGATGGTATTGGATGGAGCTTATCATATCTCTTGTGCTTTGACTCTTCATCTGCACTTGACTCTGTTGAATTAATGTCTAGAAGAAAAAGTAAGTGGATGAAGGTAATGAAGCTGACGAAGTTAATGGCGACACGGTGAATTGGAATTGGTAACGCCGGTAACGGCATTGATGATGGTGATACAGGACGAAAATACATTTCACAGGGAACACAAAGTTCGGTTATTTCCGTCATTACTCGTAGCTCTCCGGTAGAGGGATTCAACACCGCCCGGAGTCCAGCAGCAGAGCCAGCAGTACCGAGTGGTGCTGACTGTTGAGTGCCTGCCGAGCGGTGTGGAGTGTCGTTAAGTTGTTGTGCAGTAGTAAAGTTTATACAGATTCTTTCGTCTAATTTCAACTAAATTAAAATTATTCATTCACGCACTAACATTGAGTAATGACTTTCGGTGAAATTAATAATCCAGACTTACGTCTGATGATGTTCATACTACCGTGAAAATTCAGTGTATGAGTCAATGATCCTTTTGAATTAACTCCACCCACTCAAACACCATAAATAATATTTATCAGTGATAAAGCATTTTTAAATCCCAACACGTGAATTATTTATCTGGAGTTATTATTTGTTGGATATTTCTTTTAGTTTATTGTGATTCAGGCTATGTGTTATAGTAAAAACTATTAAATCCTGGATTCTGGAGAAAATGATGGGTGTTAAGATGCTGCCGCAAACGCCTGAGATTATAACTACTTCTCTTAATCAGGTATAATATTAATTGCCAGTTAGAGATAATTTCTAAAAGCATTGACTTTTTGAATAATATGGAATTTACAATATTGTGAAATTCGAAGAGTTGCTCGCCAGTGTTTTATGTCAATATTTGATTGTGCTTTCCTGCTATTATCAATATTTTAACTTCGAATGAATTTTACAACAATACCATCAGTGAATTTTCTCTATTGAAAGGATTCATACAATCCCACTTTTATTCATTTAAATTCTGTGATGGAACGATAGATCAATTACACATTTTATCTTGATTTTTTTTTATCACAGCTTTTAATCAATTACTCAACATAAAATGATCGAGTGAATGATGTAGGGTTTTTTTACAGCTTTGACGAAATTTTTTTCAAGGTTGGAGGTATTTTTATAAATCTATTACAAAAGCTATGTTTCTAATTTGAATTTTAGGGGAGTGAATAATATACTTGAGAAAAATATCAACTATAATCATTGCTGCATCAGACATTGATCCAGAAGAACTGAAGAGTCTCACGCCATCATCCCTGCTGGGTTTTCAATATAATCCTCATTCACTTTGAAATTCTAATCCATAAACCATACCAATCATCACGGAATGAATAATTGTAGGATGCAATAAATTTATTAATGATAAAAAAAGACAATAACTTTTTATAGAAATGATAAAAATAGCAAAACTACAAACCGATCAAAAGATCATGCATTGTATTGATGATCAAGAAGATTATTGCATTGACGTTAGATAGGAAAAACTTTGAATCATTTGCTAAGAATTTTAACGATGAACACATGATAAAATAAACGTAAAAGTTTACATTATCTGTCATAAAGTGAATCATGAAGACTTTTCAGAATCAAACGACAGAATAGTGAATGAATAAATGTGTGTTTATTACATTTGTCGAAATGCATCTGACAGCTATGAGATTATCCAGCAGTTTAATACATTTCAAATTTACCGTTAACTGCAGACCATCAGGTCACTCAGGATCCTGTAATATGGACTCGATTTCTTGTCTTATAATATATTCATTCATCTCAGTAAATTACAAATTACTACAAGATGGAATTTTCTACAAATAAAAATCTTGGAGATGGAAGATTGAAGATATCTGCATCTTGAATGAATATCTGATGATTAATTGTGATTTATTATATTATAATATTTTTATATATATAGAAATGTTTGATAACCACTGTTGAGAAAAGCAGCTCAGGCACATGAAGCTGGGCGATACATTGCCATTTTTGGAGATCCGATTTCGCCTGTGTCCTGCATGATGAAAAGGACCGACATGTCCGCATGTTTTCATGCCAACGTCTTTTATTATTTTAAAATTTTTTTCTCTTCTGACTAATTACAACGAAATTTTTGGTGATTATATTTTATGTCAGTCTTTGTGTGGCCTTGCTAGAAAGCTTGGAAGCGATCAATTTTGATGTAAATGAAAGGACGAAGTTGAAGCAAATAAGAAACACGAAGGGGAAAAAAAAGAAAGGCTGTAATCTGAAAAGTCTGACTACCACCTTTACTTATAACTTCAAACTTATACACAAGTATATATACTACTTATATTACTCTACTCGTCCTTTTAAAGTTTCTTTCCAAATCTTTTACAGATGAAAGATCTTTTATTTTAGCATAAAGTGATGGACTTGTGGAGTATAAAAAGACTTTGTTATTTCACTTGCATTTCAACTTCTGGGTAATGTTTTCTTGTGAAACTCAATAGACTTGGTGCTATATACTGCGGCATGTGACACGCATTGTTGTCACTCATCAGGGTTATTTCACTTGCGAAATCGTCGTAAAAGAGTCTCAGCTTAGTTAAATTGTCGTCATATTCAATAATAAGTTCTTTTAAAAACTCACATTATCAATACAATTCCATTGTTTTATTTCTATCTTCTTTTTTTTTTTAACAAACTTGAACTAATTTTTTTTTTAAAAAAACCTTCTTGTGGTTAGATTATTGTTTTTTCTTTGATAAAAATTCCTTTGACTAAAGCTTTTTTTTTCTTTTGCAGGCAAAAATCCATATAAAATCCTGCGGAGCATTTATTTCAATGTAATTCTATCCAGTTAAATTATATTTCAATTCAATTGAATTCCTTTTTTTAATATTTTCTCTGGGAATGACATTTTAACGATTTTGATAGAAACAACTCCACTCATATTAAATTGGAAAAGAAGGAAATACTTCATTTTACTCTTTTTGATTTCATTTAATTCAATAGTAATTCAATTACACATCAACGAAAAATATCAAAAAAATCATTTCTCATCGAGGATATTGATTTAATCTTAATTCATAAAGTTAAAATAACGTGATCAAGAGATATCCTCGATTTTATCCAACTAAAAGTATGTCATCTTCATAATACTTGACTGGATAGACATAAAATTAATTTGCTATTTTTTTAACCTCTATAAGTCACTTGAGTTCTTTCAAAGTAAAATAAAATACTTTATTGTTATGCAAATAATGATAATGAAGCTATTTATTAGGTTCATACATTTGCGACAGCTTATCATCAATGATAGGATCTCTGGATCTAAATTGTTTAGTTCCCACTACGACGTGGTTTAAATTTTTTCTTTGCGACAGCATAAAATGAGTTAATAGGCTGAAATTGATAATAACATTAATGACAAGAAACACGCACATTTCTCAGCATCAGGAACACAACCCCTTACATTAATTATTTTTTCCTTCTTCTAAAGCACCGATTATCTGAAACTTTAACTGTTTTCTCTCTTTCATCATCTTCCTCTTATTATAAATTATTATGGCAAAACTGCAGTTTAAATAGCCGGCTTGGAATTCTTAGCTACTTGTATAATAGCTTTCAGTATGATCTAAAGTTTAATATACCTTCAAGTTTATACATATGTGCCACATGTGTATTTACTTGGAGCTATTATCATGACAGACGTGATAAGATTAGATTAAAAATTCTTTATCATAAATCGATACATTGAAAACTGCAACGATTGTGTCTCTTATGTTCAATTTTTATATCATATTTCGTCTGCAAAAAGAAAACTTTGAAAAAGGAAGGATTTGGAAAGCTGAAACGTCAACTTTATCGTATAAATTCGCTATAAAAATGATATCATACTTGATTCTAGTAAACTTATTCTTGATATGTGACTAGAAGAATTTTATTTTAGATAGAAGAACTCGATTCCAAATATTTTACAGTTTAGGAAATATGATAAAAGTATTTGGTGCATAACAATTACTTGATATCTTACGGAAATCATTAAAACAATTCAAAGAAATGTGACACCGAATGCAAATGGAACTGGAAAAGAGAATTGTTCATCTTGATGATGATTTGGAAGAAGTAAAAACAGTATGCTGCTATCAAAAAACAAACTGGTTAATCAATATTAATAAAATAAATATGATAACTAAGTGATAAATGATAAGAAATGGTTTTAAATGATAAAATTTATTAGAATATTAGAAACAATTACTGAAAATCACATTTACTACAAAAATAAGTCTACATAAGATGTCAATTGCACTAATTATTTGAAACTATTAAAGATTGACGATTATTCAACAAGGCTCGTTAAACAAATAAATAAAAATGTAATCTACTTTCTCAAAAAAAGTTAATTATTGCAGTTAAAGTCATATTAAATATTTTTCAATGATAAGCAGTCAATAAATTAAGTTTATCATTAAAAAAGAAAGAGAAAATTAGTTTCACTTGTAACGTACTCAATACGTAATAGCTAATAGACGATTCTTCTAGCTCTTTTTGCTACATTCTTTCTTTGTAGTGAAACAATAAAAAAAATCAGTAGTTCTCTTGACGTAGATTTTTCAAGAGGAAAGTTTATCCGGTTAAATCGACGATTAAAGTATCATGTGACGAGTTAAGTGTCATTCATTCAACTAGAAAACGGTAGCAAAGAGCTTCATCAACTCTCGCATGTGTAGCATGACTACAAGAGATTTGCGTAGAATATCGTGCTAACAGCGGCGACACATTGCTAGCAGGCGAGGTTTGCAAAGAGAAAGAGAGAGCACTTGGCGAGAAACATGTTGCCTATGTTACTTATGTTTCAAGACCTCCTACCACTATCAAGTGCGGTCGAGCCTAACTCTGTCGTTTAGTTCTCCTGAAACGTAAATGTATGTACACTTGAGAAGATGCTGACAAGAGCTAGTTGATGGTGAATAAAGGCGAATTATACTGTGGAAATAAATTATTCAACTATCATCGTATCAAGTTTATGATTAATTTCGTAGTGAAATATATAAATCTTTGTAACTTTCTAAAGTTCAAGTCTATTATGATACGAATAGCTACAGTTTGTGATGTAGTACCTCAGCATCATGAAGTTCTCTGTGATGAAGAACTGAACAAAAAAAAATTCAATCCGTTTTTAAAAGGAAAGTGTGTGTGTCTGGCCACCACGTGGTTTAACAATAGTTTATTGAGGTCAGCATCTTGGTCATAATTCTTATAACAATTGAACAACACATGTTTAAAGCTATTAAATAGTCCTTAAGAATCAGATGTTAAGCTTATGACGAAGGTCGAAGAAAAAACCATTATGTATATTGCATGGATACAACATTATATGTTGAGGCGTTGAGATAATGTTGAAAACAAGGTGTTGAAGCCCTTAATGCAATATCACCATTAAAATCAGGGGGAATATACATTGTTGTTATGTTTAGCGGCGTAGGGTCACTGCGGTATCTATGGTGCACACAAGTATGTAATCCACGTTTATACATAATCCGATATCTGAGTAGATCAATCACGCGTGGATTACACTGCGTGAGAGGAATTAACTGGCAGAAGTAGTCATTTTAAGCATGACAAAAATTTCTAAAGACCTTTATTCCTTTATTTTCTGCAATGGATAATAAATAAATCATAAACTTCAGTAGTAAAAATAAAATAAAATAAAATAAAAAAAAAATTTTACTAAACCTTGGATGTTTAATACAATCAGTATGTATTTTATGTACCTCGAGATTCGAATTATAATTTTAAAACTCCTTTCGTCGTTGACTCATCAGAATTTACCTCAATTAAAAATGAACATTTGTATCTGTTTACTGTAAACTTTGGGTATCAAGATTTTAATTTTTTATATTTATCAAAGTTATTACAATTATTAAATACTCTCGTTTATTTTTATTATCTTTAACTGCTCCATTTATTCATTTAATTATTGCATGTCATTTAAAATGATTGATTCATGTAATTTAATATATCCAAGATAATCTCTACTATTAATTTTCCATTTTAAAACTAAACCTAATGAAATTTATTCATTTTTTATCCCTTAAATATTTATTTTATTAATTAATGCACACAGAGAAGAAAATGAGAGGTCTATTTTTAAATAGTAATTACCATCATTCATCAGAAGAATGAATTTTTGTTAGAAAAATTAGAACATAACTGTACGGTTTCAATTTGTTTTTGTTGCAGCAAAAGTGTGTTAAAGCTCGTGCTCTTTATGATAACATCGCTGAGGCCCCTGACGAATTGGCTTTTCGTAAAGGAGATGTTCTTACCGTTTTAGAACAGAATACTTCAGGTTTGGAAGGATGGTGGCTTTGTGCTCTTAGGGGAAGGCAGGTAATTAGTAAACAACAATCAAACTTGATTGAATTCTCTTTTATTATGACTTTCTTTGTTGTGTGTATCACTGTTTGCTTTCCTTTGCAATCTGCTTTTTCTACTTCGTCGTAGACAGCTGTAGATTTGAAGAGGCAATTTACACGTTGAATATCGAGCGTTTTCAAGTCTACAACAGCTGCTCAAAGAATAAATATAAACTTGTGATTATCATCATTCATTACTAGTTTTAATTAACTTTATTATCGTATGTTTGAAAATAAGCCTTGACAATATATATTTTATCACCGCAGGGAATATGTCCAGGAAACAGATTGAGGCTGCTAGTGGGTCAGTACGATACTGGATGCCTTGGGGGCAGCAGAGCAGACCTCACCCTCAATGAAGATGGATTACAACGCCATGGAAAACGACGTAGTTGGCACGTGCAGCCAAATAGAGTTAGTATTTTTTAATCGATAAACTTTCCTATGTACTATCATCACCACTGGTTGACAGTTTTTTTCTACATTTTATCTCTGGATTATCATTCAGAAGCTTTGTATCCATTGTTCTAAAAATTTTACGCTTTTCATGAGCACAGAGTAATCACCGTAGAGGTTGTTTTTTTTTGTCAGAAGTGTTATTCGCTTTTTTACTTCAAAGTTATATGACTTATGATACAAGTTAATTTTTGGAGTTACTAATTGCTGTTTTTTTCAATTATTTTCATTTCTTTGTGATGGAAAAAATAATTTTATTTGTGCAAGTAAAAACACTTCTGACATACCTCTGAAATATTATCAAGAAATGTTGGAAAAAGTTTAATATATTCCACAGCGATTTTCCAATCTCATGAATAGTACATAATTTTCTGAGAAAATTTGAAGTCTTTCAAGGAAATAACTCTGCAGAATTTTTCCTGACACTTGGAGAAAAATTTAATAATCTAAAATAGTTTATCTATGGAAAAAGTAGAGCTTATAAAAAGATTTTTAATTTAAAATATTTCAATTGAATTTCATCACGAACATTTAAATAGGCTATTAATTTTTCAATCATTTTTTTGACGTTTCATAATGTAACAAATTTATTCAACTTCAAACAAACATGATATAATCAACAACAAAGCTAAACAAACTTATAGGTCAATAAAAAGTTAATTTCTTTTATCAACTTCCTTACTTTACTTCATTCATGTTATTATAGAAAAGTCTGTCTAAATGATAATTTAATATTTATTATACTTAAGTATAACATTATATTATTTTTATAGAGTTTTATTAATCTTTAATAAAGTTTAAAATCAACATCCGTTGAGCCCGTATTTTTTCTCGGATGTTCAATTGAAGACAATTTTTCCTAACGGGAAATATTATAATACATATTATTCAAGCATCAGATTATGATAAATGAAATATTTAAATTTCTATTTCGAGATATTCCAACATTACATTACTAGATATTAAATTTTTCTCCATGACAAGAAAAAAATATTTTAATATTTGGCAAGGTTGACGAGCAAATTTAAGTTCATCGACCCAAACTGTTATGAATATTAAGTTCCTCTAAAACTATGCGTAACATAGAGAAATTAATTTCCAATTATCTTCCAGTGGTTGACTCTTTTAATAACTCCATTAACAAAGTAAACTAATTATACTTAAAGCCTTGTGAAAATATAATAATATTTTTTGAAATAATATTTTCTAGACAAAAAATAGTTGTGATAAAAAAAAAAGGTTGGCAAGAGTCCAAACGAGTGGCAATTATTCGTCTTTTCGCTTTTTACAAAGGTGACTTTTTTTCAAGGTGTGCATACATGAGTCATTGACACGTCAGGGGTAACATTTAATGTAATAAAAAACTCGTTGAACCTAAAGGACAATTATAATTGACAAATTAAAAGGAGTGTCAATGATATGCTGGAGAAAAAGCGGAAACAGCTGATTGGATATTTGATTTCATACAAACACTTTTTACCATTTTTTTCTCAAGGTATTCATCAGTGACTTGAGCCACGTGCTCGCATTGGGCATGCCACGCCCTGAATGAGGGATTGTCAAATCCTTTTATTACTTGATCTGGGCGTCTCGTCCGGTTTTGTGTGGTTGACAGAAAGACCTCACCATTGTCTGCTTTATATAAACGTTCTTCCATTTATTATGACTTTTACAAAACGATCAAATTTCTTATACGAAGGTTTTGGGTTTTAAATTTGAGGTAAAAATACTTATACAATAATAACTATGTTACACCATCGAAGAAATTGTGTTGTGTGTAGCAGCGAACAAAACATATCGGATGATTATCAAGTTTCTTTAGAGGAAAACTAACAGTTGGCTGGTATTTATTTAGCCATAATTTTTATTGGCTCCAATTCAATTGGGTTTAATCGAACCAGAAGTATACAGCTGATACTCATTTTATACTGGCTAGTTTGTATGCATATACATCAACTAATTCAACGTGCCAGCCCGCAGTACCCCATCGGTTTTATAGTCATTCTGCGTCCCATATGCCATCATACAACCAACAAATCGCCATGTATACATCACTAAATCGAGTCTTCATATTGACCCCTACTAGTCAAAGTCAGCTGATACTTTCTTTATTCTTTGCTCCCCTTTTGGGTTCGCTAAAACTCGATCTAAGGGTCGATAGAATGCGTCTCATCATGCTTTCATTTAGCAGCCGACGTCAACTCATTCTCCATCACTCCAAGATATTTTAGGCTGTTAATCTGTCAAGACTGTCTCGCGTATGTTGCTGTAATTTATTTTATTTGATCCTTTTTCAGTGCTTTTGCATTTTTGTTGGGCGAGATGTAGCAATCGTCTGGGTATATTTTAACAACTCATTGGACTTAACATATCAAGTGGTAGATGCTGTTAGTTAACTTGTATCTCTCTCCTTCATCGACTATCAACCATGCCAGAAGAAGAAGAAACTGTTACAGTTTCTCAAGATTGAAAACCGGATGACTGGAGCCGTTGGCATTTTACAAGTTTACCTGGGACGTATTTCCCTCACTCTGGCTTCTTCAAGACACTTCTTAAACATGTTTTGGTGTCCTTATATGTCCTCAACTTGCTGCAGAGCTACGGAATAATGTCGTGGTAGTATGGTCCAGGGACGTGCAAGAATCCTTTGGCTCCCCTTGGTTATATAAAACTGCAGTTTCATGCAAGCTGCTGCTGCTAAAGCACCCAAGATTTTGCTGCAAGAGACAACTACACGTTCATATTCCATGGAATCATCATGATGGAATGCAGAGACAGCTAATTTTAAAACAGAATTCATCTTTAAGGCCTTACAGCATTCGTCTTCCTTTCTCCTTTTTTTTTCTGCATTTTCTCTTAACTAAATCCCTCGCTAATTATTTCTCAATTTATGTCCCCATTTGCAAGGTGGATGGACTTCAACAATCCTATTCAACGTTTCTCGAGAGGAATAATTTCTTACAACTCTTCCGCATGTGATAAAATATCTTTTGTTGCTTATTATTAGCTTTCAGGTTTAGAAATTTATAAAGAGATTCTTTAATTGAAGAGAGAATTAACTTGAGTTATTGATGATTCAATTCAATGTTATTTTATAATTTTAAAATAGATTTCAGATAATTTGAAAATTGAAAGCAAATAGAAAGAAAAAAGTGCACTTGAAGCAAAAGAACAGCAAGTTTTACAGAAGCAGAATGTGAAACGTTTATTGAATTCGATCATGCGACCCAGAGAGATAGTCACCAGCACTTGATTGGACACTTAAGTGGGAGAAAGAAATACACGAGGTCATTCTGCGTAGGATAAAATCTTTTTGTGCAGCTCTATCAATCAACTAACAATTCGCTTGCGTGGGATTACTTGCTGGAAACTGGTCCTATTACTACTCGACGAACTATTTTATTAAGAAAGTGTGAAATCCAATTTATATCATTTAATTAATTCATATTTTAAGACACTAGAATTTTTCATGGTAAATTTATGCTTCCGCACAATTGAAAAAATATTTTATCATTTAAATAATTTGTTGATTTTCTTGATTCTCAATCGTGGAACAAATTAATTATCAACGAAAGTGTTTATTTATTGAAAAAAATTGGAGAAACCTCTTTTTCATGTTAGAATTAATAAATTAATCTTTTTTATCTAGGAATCCGGAAGTGGTTGAATAATATTTTGGTGCTAAAATCCTAGAAACAAAAACATAACATGAAGAGAAAAATAAACTCCAAAAGAGAATGAATGATATATATATTAGAAGGGACTTTGAAAATTATTTTTATTCAACTTTGTACTTTACTTCATAGCTATAATTATCAATAGCCTCATATTGAAGTACAGTTCCATTATATAAGGAAAGAAATATCGACTGAATTTTTTTTCTACATTTCAGTTTAAATGTCACTCCTAATGATTTTCATTGAAACATGGCTTATTGACTTATCTTGAATGCAAGCAGGAAAGAGAAGACAGAATATATATACCACATTTATGTATTTATACCCCGGTCATTCACATAAATATAACTTCACAAGAAAACTATGAAAAGACGTAAGCAAAAAAATGTATTTTTGCTGAGATAACAGAATTCCGAAGTCGACGATAGGAAAAAAAAATACGAGAGAATATTTTATTTGTGAAAATAATTTTCAGTCTCAACATACTTGATTGCATATTCATTTTTTATCGTCTTCCACGACTTGCATACGCATCTTTAAGGCTATCTATTCATGTCTATGTTCCTGCGTCTTTCCTACATGCATTCACAGGTCATACGCCTTTTACAAGGGCGCCGCGACGCCTGATATCGACCGACCGTCCTTTCCCATACCCTCTCTCTGCTTCTCATCACAGTACGCCGGCTCCTCTTGAAGCGGGATTCTCTTTCTCTTTTCCTATTCTGCTTTACTACCACCACTGGTACTCTACTATGTACCATGACGTCTAGTCGAGGGTTTTACTACATTACTACTACGGAAAGTAAAATATTAAAATAGCGCACGTTTAATTCACGGTCGCGTGCTCTTTTTACTTTTTTGTTGCTCCCTGTTTGTCTTTCTTTTCCAGCAGGTTATTGTACAGAGAATTAGTACATGGGCTCTTGAATAAGGACCGAATAGGCTCTTCAATGGTCTCAGGGCTAAGAAAAAGCAATAATTAATGGAATTACTCCACCTAAGAGTTTAATTAATGGATAAATCTTATTTCATGTTCATGCACTTCTTACCTTTTGTTCCCTTGAATATTAAGAGAACGTAATTGAGCTAATATTGTAATCAATATGTCAAGGCGTGGCAAGAAATAATTGTATAATTATATTACATTAATATCATTTTTATTCTTTGGTTTATGTATCTAATTTTAGAATTGGTTTATTCTATTTTGCAGGTGGTAACTCCTCAAAAATGTGGAGACGTATACCTATATGATTTACCAGTCAATCGAGCAAGTCCTGCACCACCCTCAAGACGAGATTCGCCACTTAACTCCACTGATCATCTTCATACAGGTGAGATTAGCATGAAAAAGATGTTATTTACGTTTGAATAAGTACACTCTATAGGTTGAGATATTCTCTATGTGCTGTACTTTATTTTCAAGAGTGTTTTGAAAGGTAGAATGATATTTTATTGATTTACGGTCACTTCAGTTTTATCGAGTTTTTATTGTTTATTTAAGTCGAAGGAGAAAAATTTACTGTCAACGAAATGACTCTGATTTAATTAAGTTTCACTTGAAGCGTACATCTTATATATACTAAAGTGAATAAAAGGATTTTTGTTGGAGTTTTATTTTAAAATGATTTATATGTAATAAATTCATAAATATTTTTTTTGTTTAAATTAGCAAGTTGAATTATTGGACACCAAAACAATTGATGAATCCTTAAGAATTATACTCGTTGATTTATTCAAATGCTCAAACGATTTGAATCTTCTTCATTTAAATATTTTTTCTGTTCTTAATTTACATTATTCGGTAGAGGCGTTACTCATTTGATTGATTATCTGTATCAATATCAAGTCTGTCAAACGATTGAATCACTCAAGTAATAAATATCTTTTCGGAGGAAATCAAACCAGTTTATTTGACAAAAAATCAATAATAAAATTATTCCTGGCTGATTAATGCTGGTAATATTTATTTTAGCCTTTATTTCAATATACATAGGTATATTTTTTATTTAAACGTTGAATTTTGTTTAATGCATTTATTTATGTGTATGTTAATTATTTTATAGCACGATTGTCATCTGGACAGCAGAGTTCAATAGACAGTGGTGGAGATGTGAGTGATTGCTATGATGTTCCACCAAGAGCAACTCCAGTTATACCATCACCAGCAAGCAGTCCGAGTCCGGCGCCGTCTTGTTACGACACTCCGCGACCACCGACATCATGCACACCAAATTCTAATTGCTCTGGTTCTGGTATTACACCTCTCGACTGCTACGATATTCCTCGACCACTTCAACCACTTACGCCAAGTAGTTCTGCATCGAGTCTCACCAATGATGGTTCTCTCAGCAGCTCTAATAGATCCAGTTTGACAGCACCAGACTACGACATTCCTCGACCACGTCTTTCATCAACCTCCAAGTATAACACAACGATTCAAAAAACCCCCACAACTCCACCACCATCATCTCAAATAGTTCAACAACATCAGCAACAGATTTATGATGTACCTGTTAATAAAGAGCTTCCTTTAGAGCTGGACTCTGCATTGGAAGGCCTTGAAAAATTACAGAGTGAAGCATCTGCTGCTGTAGCAAGATTGCTAGGCTTTGTTAGCCCAGGATGGAGGACTCCTCAACGTCTAGATGTAACACTGATGGATTTAAGACTTGCAGCTTTGAGGCTTAGAACATCACTTCATGATCTAGCAGAATTTGCCGAAGGTACTTTGGGTAATGCCAGTAAAGCTCCAGACAAAGGCTTGGTAGCTAAATTTAGACCACTGGTCAAAGCACTCCGAGACTCAGATAAGCTAGTTAAAGAAGCGGCTACTAAGTTGGACGTTATGGAATGGGACGCTAGTAAATTGTGCCGAGGTGACAGTGATACACAGATTTCTACAAATGGCCTATCACCTTCCCTCATTCCTACAATTCAACCTGACCCCCTTGATCAATTGATTGCGTGTGCAAAAGCTCTTACTGAAGACGTTCGACAAATCGCTAGTTTCATTCAGGTTTGTTATTTATCGATTTAATAAATGCATTCATGTGAAAAACCATTTAAAGAGTAAGTAGCTAATGAGTTGATCTTTTTCAATATTATTTTCAGGGTAACTCGACACTATTATTCAAAAGATCGTCCATCATATCGACCAGTACTACAGGGAATAACACTGAAGACGACGACTATGTAAATCTCGACTCTCGTGAGACTGTAGTAAAGCAAAGAGAAGAGTTACGAGCAACATTGCCTCCAGAACTTCGCAGTAGTTACGACCTATTGGTTTCCGAAGCTGATAACGCGGCTATTCAAACCCCATTATCTACACCTACACCTATGGACCCCAATGATAAACAACTGCTTGCATTCTATGTCGCACAAGTGATAACACACGGTGCTCATTTAACTCATGCCATTGACGCCTTTCTCCAGACTGTTGAACACAATCAACCGCCAAAAGTATTTATTTTATTCTACGATATCATTGTTTTACTTGCTTCATTTTTATTCCAATAATTTCATTGTGATTTTTTTAAACAGGTTTTTCTAGCCCACGGCAAATTCGTTGTACTCAGTGCACACAGACTAGTACACATTGGCGACACAGTACATAGAAATGTAACACGGAATGACGTCAAAACAAAGGTACTCGAATGTGCAAATGCTCTGAGTGAAGCGCTCGCACAAACTGTATTGAAGACAAAACAGGCAGCACAATTTTTTCCAAGCGTAACAGCGGTTCAAGAGATGGTCGATAGTGTTGTTGACGTATCTCATTTAGCTAAGGACCTTAAAGTGGCCATGATCCATGCTGCCCAACAACCTTAAAACACTTAATCAGATAAATATGACTTCAATCTAAGATTAAGTCATTTGGGCATACAAATTTATTATTAAAAAGCCACGCTGTACCTCATCCTGTTCTTATATTTATGATAGCTTTTCAGTGGCCTAAGGATTTGTGTATTAAATATATTACACAAGACCCATTACTGCCAAAGTATATGTAATAATGATGAACAATTATAAAAGCCTTGTTGATAGGTAGAATGTAGTTGACTCATGATAACTATTGGAAATGTACGATAAAATTTATGAAAAGTACCCTTCCTTGTGTCGCAATATTGAACATTGATGTATTGAAATAGTGACATGGCAAAGCTTTAAAAAAGTTTTTTTAAACAAAGTACTAAACAAAAAAAATGAGAGCCAAAAAATTCTACCATCGATATTTTTCATTAATAAATGTTAAAATTTTTTTATACAAGTTTTAAGCCGAACTTTTGTTGTTGAGTACGGCAGTTTTATGAAATATAAATTCTTATAGGTCTTTTTTAGCAGCAAATAACAACGATAAACACTTAAAAAAAAACATGCAGCTGCAAGACTTTTAAAAAATGCAGTTTTGACTGATTTTATAAAACTTTATATCAAAATCACATTATCCTTCCATGAAATCTAATTATCAGATTTTTTAACAAAGCTTGCAATAATAATGGTAATAATAATTGATTATTATTAATGAGTTATTTGCAGTCAATTTTGTAAGATATTCAATAAAACTGAATTTTTATAGGTATATATTTAGGAAGCTAAATGTATGGAAAGTGCTAAGCACTATAATTCATATCGAATAATTATATGCGTGTTATGTACACTTAATGTCTAGTACTTTTAGTGATTGTAGTATAAAAAAATTATTTATTTAGAAAATTATTAAAATGTTTTATTTAAAACATGTCTTTCTTATAGCAAATTACTTAATTTTACTTATATCATTTCTTTGTAAATAATCTTAGTTATTAATATTCTTGATAAAAATAGCAACATCAAGGTAACAAAGTTACAGTATATTGAAATAATGTGCAATCAAAAGACTATGCTTATAGTAAACAGGATAGATTTGGGAAATGAAAAATAAATAAAAACTTACTACGACGGACACCTTTCTTGTATATTTAATAATAAAATTTGTCTGATTTAATAAATATAATATGATGATGAGAATGTAATTGAAGAAAAAGAATTTTTTTTAATCATTTACAAAAATCAATATTTCCTTAAAAGTATTTTATTATCGATGAAATATATTTACCTATCCCATCAACAACATTGGCAATAATTTTATCGTCTTTCTCTTCTCATTCTCAATTAGTATTACAGAAGAATTCGTTGACATTTAACGAAGAATGATCACATATTTTTATACGAACATTTACATGGATTCGTAGCTGCAGCATTTGGTACTTTTATCATACTAGTTTCTTTAGCTGCATTCTTTTCTTGATGAAAGCTGCTAAGATCTCGTTTCATTGCATAAGCATCTTCACCATCGGCATAATATTTGGGCTCGACTTCTGACACTTCAAATTGTAAACTGCTCGTATATAAATTCAATGCAGCTCTATTGCTACGTCTAACATGTAACGATACATAATTAGCTTCAAAACATTCAACCATTGCACGTGATGCTTGATTCATCAATTTTTGAGCTATTCCAAGTCTTCGATGTGATCGTTTAACAGCTAAACTTGTGATATGACCATGAGGATTAACTTCTGAATCCTCTTCCATTTTAGCTAAAACATAACCGACTATTCGACCTTTCTCATCTTCAGCAACGTAGCTCAGCTGTGGCCAGGATAGTGCGTGATACAAATAATATTTCATTTGATAATTCTCTGGTAGACACTGAAGGTTACAGTGTTGTATATTAAGAAGATCGTTGGTATTTGCGCAGCGTATATTGATCGCCATGATAAGATAACTAAGTAGCTTAGACTATACCCTGAGTAAAAAATTAAATTATTTAAGCTTAATTTGTAGCCTATTTAGTCTCGTCGAAGCTTCTTGATGCGTGATCGACCGTTTTTTAAATCATGAACAGAAGATGATTCACTCATGCCACCGAGAAGCTCCCGGACAAATCGAAATCTTGACAGAAAAAATTTCCAAACAAGATACCATCCTGTAAAAATAAATAGAAAGAAAAATTAATCAAAAATGTAGAAGATTTAGGTTAAAATCCGACAGATATTTCATGTAAATACTATATGGTAAATCGATTGGATTTTCGAAGAGACAAATTGACCTAAAATTATTTAGAATAGATGCATCTACTGATTCTCACCCAACAATACGAGGACAAAAACAATTATTAAACTGGAGATTACAGAAAAAACAGCCAGCACAATTTCATGCATTATGACAGCAAACAGCACACGTTAATCTGCCAGTAATTCTAGATGACACACGACCTGCGGCATAATCCTGACTGCCAAATACGCAGTTTCAACTAAAAATCAAGCTCTGCAAAGTTTACTTAATTATAAACTAGTTTTTTGTCTCCGTGACTTGCCTATTGAGCTTATTATACGCCATTTTGAAATTTCACAATCTCATATTGATATCGATTGATATTCATCTAAGAGGTTATGTTTATATTCAATCAAAATCAGGTTGTTTTCATTCATTTAATGAGAGAATAATGAAAAAAATCATGTTTCTGAAAATAGGAAATAAATAAAATTTTGGACTCACCAAAATTTTTATTCAGTAAATTGTTCAATTCTTGATCAATTAAGAAAAAAAGTATTAGACAATTTAAATAACAAAAACTTCTAAGTACAATAGGAAGTGTGGGTGTTGACTAGCGTAGGAATGCGGAAGTTTAAAAACTCAAAAATTAGACTCTCATTTGGATCAAGTAGTAAATCCAAACATGTATAAAAAATGGCTGCTTGAGAGAAATTGGCGGTATTATTTTCTTACAACTTAGAGTATTTTATCACTGGAATTTTATTATATGACTCATAATTATTATTTATTAAGCCTAGTAAGTACTTCATATTTAATATATATTTATTTTCACTAAGTAATTATTTAGTTATAGGTTAGTCGATTAAGATTAAACTCCCGCTTGTTGTAACGATTAAATATTTATTGCAATAAATTGTTTAGATGTTTTAGAGATTTTTTTACACAAAAAAAAGTAACGAGAAGTATCAATCACAATTTAAAAGATGATGCCTCGACGTGGTGGTAAGCGGATCCGCATGGATGATCCACCTCCTGAGTATCAAGAGCCTATGACGCCAATGAATGAAAACAATGGTACAGACGGTCAGGAAACTTACGCTGGTTACACTCCTTACAATCAATCATCGCAAACACCTGCACATACACCTAGGTATGAAACTATATTATTTTTAATTATTTAATTCAGTTAATAAATAACGTTGGTACTTTATTGAAAAAATTTTTAGTTCAAATCTAGCTTTATGCAAGGTTAAGTATTCTAACCATTTTATAATTTTTTTTATTCAAGTTTCAATAATAGATATTTTAATTTCAGGTCAGAAAATTATTCTTCAGAGAGTTACAGTTCTCCGAGCACTTCTCAAGTCAATTATCAAGATCAATCGGCAAATGATTCATCTCAGTTTGAACAACCAATGACACCTGCTACATCGAACAGAAGAATTACGAGAAATACTCGTGCAAGGATGACTGGAGGACCTGTAAGTCAACCAAAGTATAGAGAAGTAGATACTGATTTTATTCCTGCGCAACCTCCAGCTACAAGAGGTCGAGGAGGTGGTACAAGAGGTCGTGGAAAACGCACTGTACACCCAAGCAATTCAGAAGATGAAACTAGTCTTTATTATGTGATTAAAAATAATCGATCTCCGCTTACTACTGTCGTTGATGAATGGATAGAAAAGTATAAAATGAATAGAGATAATGCTCTTCTGATGTTGATGCAATTTTTTATCAATGCTAGTGGATGTAAAGGACGGATCACCCCTGAAATGCAAGCTAGTATGGAACACGTAGCTATTATTCGAAAAATGACAGAAGAGTTCGATGAAGAAAGTGGGGAATATCCATTAATAATGACTGGTCAACCGTGGAAAAAGTTCAAAACAAACTTTTGTGAATTTGTGCAAATTCTAGTGCGTCAGTGTCAGTACTCAATAATTTATGATCAATTTCTTATGGATAACGTAATATCACTATTAACTGGATTATCTGATTCTCAAGTTCGTGCTTTTCGTCATACTGCCACGCTTGCAGCAATGAAATTAATGACTGCACTCGTAGATGTTGCTTTGACGGTTTCGGTTAATCTTGATAATACACAACGTCAATATGAAGCTGAAAGACAGAAAGCTAGAGAAAAAAGAGCTAATGATAGATTAGAATCTTTAATGTCCAAGAGAAAAGAACTTGAAGAAAATATGGATGAAATAAAAAATATGCTTACTTATATGTTCAAATCTGTTTTTGTGCATAGGTACAGAGATACGCTACCAGAAATACGCGCTATATGTATGGCAGAAATCGGTGTATGGATGAAAAAATTTCATCAGAACTTTCTTGATGATTCATATCTCAAATACATCGGTTGGACCCTTCACGATAAAGTTGGTGAAGTGCGATTGAAATGCTTGCAAGCTTTACAGCCGCTCTACGCATCAGAAGAATTAAAAGCTAAACTGGAACTTTTTACAAGTAAATTCAAAGATAGAATTGTTGCCATGACACTGGATAAAGAATACGATGTAGCTGTACAAGCTGTAAAGCTTGTTATATCAATTCTCAAACATCACAGAGAAATTCTCACTGACAAAGACTGCGAACATGTATATGAATTAGTGTATTCATCACATCGTGCAGTCGCTCAAGCTGCTGGTGAATTTCTCAATGAGCGTCTATTTACACCTGACGAAGAAGCGGTGGCAGGTGTAAAAACTAAAAGAGGGAAAAAGAGACTTCCAAATACACCATTAATTCGCGATTTAGTTCTGTTTTTCATTGAATCTGAATTACATGAACACGGAGCTTATTTAGTGGATTCATTGATAGAGACAAATCCAATGATGAAAGATTGGGAATGCATGACAGATTTATTGTTAGAAGATCCAGGTCCAGAAGAAGAGGCATTGGATAATCAAAAAGAAACTTCATTAATTGAGTTAATGGTTTGTTGCATAAGACAAGCAGCAACGGGTGAAGCTCCTGTTGGACGGGGGCCTACACGTAAAATGTTATCGACAAAGGAACAAAAACAAGTTCAAGATGATAAGCAAAGACTGACGGAACACTTTATTCAGAAGCTTCCAAGTTTACTGGAAAAATACAGTGCAGATCCTGATAAATTAACAAATTTATTATCAATTCCTCAGTATTTCGAATTAGACATTTACACTAAATCTAGACAAGAGAAATACCTCGAGGCGTTGTTGGAAAAAATACATAACATAGTCGAGAAATCTCATGATAATGATGTCTTAGAAACTGCAGCCAAGACTTTGGAACATATGTGTGCAGAGAGTATTTCTATTTTTACCAAATGTGATATATCACGTTCAACATTAATCGATTCTATTGTGAATAAATACAAAGAATCAATAGATGATTATAGAAATGTAGTCGAAGAAGGAGAACAACCCGATGAGGATGAGATTTTCAATGTAAATATTTCTCTTAAGAAAGTGTCAATATTTTATAGCTGCCACAATTTGAATAGTTGGAACATTTGGGATTCTCTCTATAGTGATATTGAAGATGCAAAAAATCCCAACAAGCAATTCCCAGAAGAAGCTGGAAAGTATGCTATAAGTGCATGCTTCTTTTCTTTACTCTGGGGTCAGAATCAACTGATAGAAGCTACAGATACGAGTTCACGAGCTGAAGAAGAGGCGCAACAATTACAGTACAGGCTGTATAATTTTATGGACTCTATGAGGTACTTTGTTGCTGGTGAAGGAAATAATATCACTATTTTAAGAGAAGAAGCTTACAATAGAATATGTGATGCACTTGTTATATTCTGTCATCAATTAGGAACGCAAACAAACGTTTTATTACATAAACTTATTTATGGAGCTGATTCCGTCATGCAGAGCATGTTAAATCAGTTTATTCAAGAATATGTCTTTGTTGAAGAAGAAGATGATGAACATGATGAGCATTCACGTATTGAGGAACTGCATAAGAGACGTAATTTCCTTGCTGGATATTGTAAGTTAATCGTTTATAATATAATTCCAACAAAAGCTGCGGCAGATGTCTTCAAACATTATGTTAAATACTACAATGATTATGGTGATATAATAAAAACAACGTTAGGTAAAGCAAGAGATATTAATAAAGTCAATTGTGCACTAACAATGCAATTGAGTTTGAATACTCTTTACAATGAAATTTTAAAAGAACATGGACAAGTCAATAGAACCAGTGAGGAATTTATGGCAATAAAAGAACTCGCTAAACGATTTGCTTTGTCATTTGGATTGGATGCTGTGAAAAATCGTGAAGCCATCACAGCTTTGCATAGAGAAGGTATTTTATTTGCTATTACTCCACCTCAAGGTGTTGAACCAGATCCAACGGGACCACCACCAAATCTACTGTACCTGGAAATTCTTTCTGAATTCACAAATAAATTGTTAAAGCAAGACAAACGACTTGTGTAAGTTTAGTTTATTCTGTTGCTTTCTATTAATTAAATATAAACTTTGTTGATTAAAATGTTATTTTCTTTTTACAGATTAAACTTCTTAGATAAGAGATTACCTGCTGGAATGCCATCATCACGAGGAGAAGACTGGCAGCCTCTTCTATTTTATAAAAATAGTTTATTACATGGAGAGACTGATCAAGTTCTTGTACCAAGTAAACGAGCTTACACTAGACGTAAAAAGGATCAGTTAGCAGGTTAATTTAATTATATATTAACAATTTACAAAAATATTATGTGAAATGTTACATCAAATAGTTTAATAATATTATTTCCAATTACAGAAGAAGAGGAAGCGGAAGAAGCAGATGAAGGTTCTGACCATGAGATCATGGGGTGAGTTAATCCTTTCAATTAGACGTTCATTGCTGTATCAACTACCTTATCCCATTCATTTGCTTTAAACTAAAAAAATTAGCTGCAATAATTATGATTTTATTTATTGATTTAATCAATTATTATCTGCTTTTGTAATGAATTCTACAATATTTTTATCTTTATGTTGCTTTTTTAAATAAATTTGATTGTAAAACATTGTTTACTTCGAAAGTGTTATCGAAGTAATCATTGTATTAAAAATTGTGTGAATAATAAATCGCCACTTGCTTCTTTATAACCTGAATCGATAGCTCAGTGCAAGAGGGATCAACGCTAAGCAATCACAATTTTTGCATTTTTTTTTTATTGTCAAAGAAACATGGATATAATTTTTCAGGAATTGATGTCTTAAATCCTGGCCCTCCTGCACCAGCTCATCGTTAACAATCTGATCTTTTAGTCAGTCCTGAGAAAAATACCTATAATTGAATAGTTATGGAGCATTAGGGATACTGTGGGAAAACATAGCAATTCTCATCAACTACAGACTTTAATTGTCCAGTACATGAGTATTTATATTTTCCCCCTTCGGTTGATTTCCAAAATTTTTATTTTTCTAATCATGTTTGAATACAAAGATCAATAAAAATGTATAATTTATATTTTAAAAAAAATTTATAGATAAATAAAAAATATTTTGCATACAAAGTAATTAAATTAAAAGAAATTGTATTTTGGTTTATCGATAATACAAATTTTTATTCATTGAGTAAACAAAGATGTTAAATTCATTAATGTAATACCCATTTAATTCCCTAAATGCTCCTTGATCCTTACAAACATTAATAGTTATTGTGAAAATTTCTTTTAGCAAACAAAAAAAGAAACGACCGCCGAAGAAAACGCCGTAAGTAGAAAATAATTTATTTCTTAGATAATTTTAAATCGAATAAAAAAAATTTCTTAAATCTTTATTTATTTTCAGACCTAGTGCGAGTAAAACACCAAATGCACGATCTAAAATTTCCGGATTTTTTGATACAAATGAGCCAAATACTCCATCGTCACCTCTACAATCAGAAGAACCTCCAAGTCCTTCTCAAGAAGTTGATGATAGACTTAAAACACTACAAATCCAAGGAAACAGAGGGTAGGTTCATTTTTTTCTAATGTAAAAAACTTTATCTTTATGAATTTTTTTTTAACAAGGCGTCGAAGCCAAGAACAGGCTGGGACTCGAGAGCTGCGAAGGACGTCAAGAAACTCTGGAAGATATGTTGAAGGACAGTACATGGTAAGTAGTTATTTTATTTTAATTGAATTAAAAACTTTTATTATAAGATACCAATGCGCTCAAGTATTAAATTATTTTTATCTATTAAAAAATACACATAATTAAATTCAAAAAATTCAAAAAAGTACTTAAAAATAATTAATAAGATTTCTAATTCTTTTCAGGAATCTGATTCGGATTAAATTTGGGAAGAAGTTAATTTCACAACAAAGTCATTACTTCAAGAACTATCACTTTATGCAAATACTTAAATTGTTATACTTCGTTTTTTTTTTAATATATATGTTCTTTTAAATTTATTGATTGTTACATGTGGTAAAGTCGTTACCACTAGAAACACTTCTACGAACTGACAAAATTGGAAGAGATATGAATATTAAGTAATAATTATATACATAAAGATATATATATATATATATAATAATTTTAATATTATTAACACTGTAATATTAAGTAGTTTTATTAGTTTTTTATTAAAAGTACTATTTTTTTTATAATAAACATAAAAAAAAGTTAAATACAATATAATATTTTATGCAATAACTTATAATATTATTTAACTCTTCTCTGTGGGTCTTGATTTACGAAACATGCTACTAAGCCTACGTTTTGGAGTTGCTGGAGTATTCTGAAAAATTATTGATAAACATATTTATTAGAAACAAAATTATGAACAAATGATTAAAAGCGGTGTAAAATTAATTACCTATAATAGTTAAGGATAAAGAGAAGGATAATTATAACAGATAGTTTGAAATTTCCAAAATAACTCAATATTTTTAATTATGATAGATTAAAAAAATGAAGAGGAGCAGAAACAATAGAATCGTATCCGTAATTGATCTTCTCACCTCATCTTGACGTCTTGATAAAGTATTTCCAAAGAAATTTTTTATACGCTTAGGCGTTGCTGTTGTCCGTCTTTCACTATTTCGATCTCGTAATATCCTTGAATTCGGACTTCTTAATTCATTTCCCTATAATAAATAAAAATAAATCAAATCAATTAAATAATAAAAAATATTAGAGTTTAGTGAGTGTTATTGAACTTGACAAATACACTCTTATTATCAACGACTTACTTGAAGTGATAATCTACCACCATTTTTACTAGGAGTAGGAGGTCCAGGTCTTTTATATGAGGTCTACCACAAATAAAAAAAAATACACATATACATCAACAATAAAACATTGAATATTTAGCTATTAATGACAATTACGCTGTTGCTGACTTAATATTTTACCTGTGTTCGGTCTTTTTTCTTGGCTTTTTGACCTGGGAGTAAACTTTGGCTAAGACTGTCATTGAATACGTCCTCACTTGTTGCACCACTCTACAATACAAATAATATTTTTCTATCTACTCAAACACCTACGCGATATTTAAACAACTTAATGATAATCAAATACAAATATTTAAATTTGAAATTTACCTTAATATCTTCTTCTGTCATTGCGACTGGATGTAAATGAGTTTCTACTGCATAAGCAGATCTCAGATGAGGAAGACACAGAGAATTACGCATACGTAATTCTGACAACCGATCGAAATCACTTGCTGGCTCAATAGCACGGAATTTACCTTCTTTTAGATCTGTCAAGTATATATTGTCAAACACTTCACCTTCTTCATCTTCAACGTTAAAAGCATTTCCCATAGCTTGAATACTCTTGACACTGTGACGTCTGGTCGTTGTAGTTTCTTCTTCTATTAACTGAACTGCTCGAAAGTTTGATCTTGTTGATGCATCCGATCGGTCGTGGCTAAAAGTGTTCTCGATAGCCTTAACATTAGCTTGATGACGATTAAGAGAAAATGAATGATTGATTTCATTAATAGTTGTATTATATCTATGTTGCAGATCACGTAAACGTTGTAATAGTGATTCTTTTTCTTGTTGCTCTGTTAAGAGTTTCTCACCAACATTCCACATTTGTGATGATAACTCACCAACATGAGCTTTATACCTCGCTAAGTCTTCAGCACATTTCTTACACTGTTGATCCATTTTGGCTTGCATTTCATTTACTTTCTCTTCCATTTTTTTTTCTTGTTCACTTTTTATTTTTTCGACCTGCTCATTATATGCTTTTTTCATTTTTTGTTTTATTTTCTCGAGTTTTTGTTCATATTCGTTGTGAACCTCTTTCATTCGAGTATCAAGATCATTCTCTTTTGCTTCTTTATCTTTATCTGATTCTTCACTTTTTTGTTGAAGTTGCTCTACTTGGCTCTGCAACTCTTCTTTTAAGGCCGTCAATCGTTCTATTTCATTTTTATGCTCTGAAGACATTGCAGACATCTCGGCTTTAATTTTTTTATTTTCATTTCTAAGATCATCAAAGGTTTTCTCCATCTTTGCATTCCTTACTCTTGCAGCATCTAATTTATCTTTCAAGTCTTTCTTTTCTTTTGATAGTTGATCTAATTGATTTTGTAATTTTTCTTCAGGTCTTGGTTCGCGTTTTATGGTGCCAGATTTTATATTTGTCTCGTAAGAATTAAAGGCATTAGAAAACTCATCAATTTTAGATCTTATAACTTCGAAGTCTTGATTCATTGATTTATTCTCTTCTAGTTCAGTGTTAAGAAGAGACAATTCATCTTCTAAATTGATATCAGTCTCATTCAATTCTAGTTTTTCTAATGGAATTACATAAACATGTTCGGTATTTTTTTGTAAGCATGAAAAAATTTTCTGAAGAACTTGGACTAAAGATTTGGAACTTTTCAATTGCTTATTATCAAATTCACTCATTAATGTTTCAATTTCCGTCTTTTTAGCTTCCAATTGTTGCAGTTCGTTACAAGAACTCTTCTCTACGAAAATACGCTTAAAACTATTTAAATGATTCTTCCAGGATTGACGAATATTTGCAAAGTTGTCCTTCAATTCATAATGATCCATGATTATTTCCTCAAATAAATCTTGCAATGATTTTTTTTCTCGAACCAGTCGAGACAAATATTCATTTCTTCTTTCCCATGTACTTTTCATTTCATCAATCTTCTCTAAAAGCTCTTCGTTGCATCGGTTTTTTTCATTCAAATTTTTCTTTTCTTCTTCCAAATTAGTAGATAAACTATCGCACTTTACTTGTAATTTACTTAAATTATCTGTCTTAGTCTTCAGGTCCATTTTAAGCTCTTCAATCATCTTCAAATAATTGTCATTAAATGTTTTAAGAGCATCAATATCACTGATTAATAAATCACATTTTTCTTTCACTATTTTTAATTCTTTCCTTTCTGTATTTAAATCCGTTTCAAGATCATTGATTTTTTTCAAATGATCCTCATTTGTTTGTTTTAATGATTCACATTCACAGTTTTTTTCTTCAATTTGTGTTTTATACTGTTGAATATTAGCTTCAAATATTTTCTTCATTTCCACGTGTTTTTTCTCAAGAGATTCGAACTCTAAATTTTTATCAGCAAAAGCCTTAGACTGTGCCTGCATTACACTTTCATGACTTGTTCTTACTTCTTGCAAATTCACAATTACTTCTTTCATCTTCAGCTCTGATTCAATTTTTTCTTTAGTCAACTGCTCTAGTTTCGTACTTATAACTCCAAGTGATTCTTCCTGCAATTTTTTCTCTAACTTTAATGTTTCACAAATGCTTTGTGCAGCTAACAATTTTTTTTCTAGAGAATTGATGATTTCATTGGAAGAATTCTCACGTTCTTGATAACTACTCATAGTTCGTTCTTGAATTCTTTTCAGTTCTTCAATTTGTAGTTCCATTTCTTTACATTCCATATTTTTGCCTTCCAATTCACGACATACATCATTCAATTTATTCTGTAGTAAATCGCGATCGCTCATTAATTCTTGAGCTTTAGAATTTCGTTTAGCAAGTTCGATTTTGGCAGTAGAAAGATCAGAATTTAATAGTTCACAAAGTGAATTTAATTCATCAATTTTTCTTTTATCAGCTATTTCTCTTTTCTCATTATTTTGTAACATTTCATTTATTTTCGACTCTAATTCACGTTTATTATCCATCAAAATCGCAGCTCTTTCACGTTCATTGGCAAGCTGACTTTGAAGCTCTTCACGGAGCTCCCTTAATTCACAAAGTTCCATTTCCAAAGTTGATAGAGACTTTTCACTGGAAGTTATTTTATCTTCCAACAGGGATATGTTTTGTTTTAATTTATCAATTTCATTATTTTTTGCACCAAACTCATTTAATAAACCTTCATATTCTTCCGTTTTTTGTTTAATAATACCTTCATAACGCTGTTCGTTTTCTAAGTGCCTTAAAATGGTATTTTCCAAATTATTTATTTTTTCATGATCATTTTTCGCTATCTCTTCCGACTTTAACAATTTAGATGACAATGAATTTACTTCAGAATTCATATAATTAAGCTCATCACATGATTTCTGGATAGCGTGATTTTTTTCTTCAATAATTTTTTCGAACTGTTCTTTTTCTTGCAAAAGTTCAGTAACATTTTTTTCTAAATTAAGGATTTTACTTTCAGTATTCTGTTTTAATTCTTCCAATCGAGAGATATTATCTTGCAATGAGTTATTTTCTAAACTTTTGTTGTCAAGCTCTTGAGTCAATTTATTGAAAGCTTCATTTTTTTGTTCGATAAATACTTCCAATCGTTCCTTGTCTTCTGATAATGCAACAACATTATTTTCTAAATTATGAATTTTATCATGTGCAATTTGCTTTTCTTTCTCTATTTCTGATATTTGATGTTTCAATGAAATATTCTCAGAATTTTTGTTCTCTATTTCATTGCTTAATTGTGTAAATTCTTGATCCTTTTGTTCAATAGTTCTTTCAAATTGTTTCTTTTCTTCCAGATATTCAGAAATATTATTTTCTAAATAGAGTATTTTTGTTTGTAAATCATTTATTATCTGCCCTAATTCCATTATTTTAGTATTTAATGAGTTAATTTCTGAATTTTTATCATCAAGGTCTGTAGATAATTTGTTCAAGTCTATACTTTGATGCTCGATGGTTTCTTGTAATTTTTTATTTTCTTGTAAATTCATAGAAATATCATTTTCTAAGTTAATAATTTTTTCTCTTGAAGTTTCGACTGTTTTTTCGAGCTCTACTATTTTATCATTCAATAAATGAATCTCTGAATTTCTAGATTCAAGATCTTTAGCAAAATTCTCTAATTCTTCGCTTTTCTGTTGAATAGTTTGTTCAAATCTTTGTTTTTCTTCTAAATGTATAGAGATATTTTGTTCCAAATAATTAATTTTTTCTTCTAGACTCTCTTTCATTAATTTATGCTGATCTGCTTGTGTATTTAATAGTTCTTCTAAAGAATTTATTTTAGTCTCTGCTACTGAAAGTTTCATTACCAATACTTCTTTGGTTGCAACAGTTTGAGCTAGAGTATCTTCCGTAGTATCGAATAAAATTTTCAAATTATTCAATTCTTCTTTGACAGATGACAATTGTAACTCTACTTTAGTTTTATTTTCCTCTGTTTCTTTTAAAACTGTTTGTTTAGCAGCAATAGCTTCTTTTAATTTTTCTAAATCATCTGTCAAAGATTTTTTTTCCATTTCTAAAATATTTATTTGACATTGTCTTTTTTCTAATTTATCCTCAGTTATTTCCAGTGCCATTTTGAATTCATCCAAAGTTGATACTTTTTCGTTAAGTAAATCATTCAAATTCTTAAATTCTTGACATTCCTGAATAGCTTCGTTCAACTTTTGATTAACATTATCAAGTTCATGTTTAAGTTTTTCTGATTCTTCATGAGCTTCTTTCAATTGTATATCAATAATAGAACTAGCAGCTTCACTAACATTTAGTCCGGGTGTTGATGGTCTACGCAAATGTACTTGCGGCGTGTTTTCGATTTCAAAACTTTGTTCTGTATCTGGTGGATGTTTTTGTATTTTTTTAATATGAGCTCTTAGTTCTTCATTTTGCATTCTTAAATCCAACAATTCATGCGTTTTTATTTCTAGTTGATTGATCAAAGACTCCATTTTATCTTCACACTCACTGACTCTTGCATTCAGCGTTGTACTGCATCGTTCTTTTGAGGCTAAACGACGTGTTAAGTTCTCTTGCTGTTCTTCAAACTGGTTAATTACTGATTGAAGTTTCGCATTATGTGTTTCTAGGTCTTTAATCTCTCTTTTTAAATATTCTTCTAAATTATCATCTTTGTCTTTGCGGCAAGACTTGGGCGTTTTTGTATTTGTGTTCTCTATTCTAAGTGCTCTCAATTCTTCATTTTTTTTATTTAACTGTTTCTGTAAATGTTGTACTCTGTCTTCTAACTTTTTTACATCTTCTTTTAAATCTATTGTTTCAAATTTCGCTGTCTCTAATTCTGCTTTGCACTGTCGTAGTTCGCGATTGCACTGATTTATTATTTTATATCTGTAAGCAGAATTAGCTGCTGGTGAAGTGAGAAAAGTTCTAAGTGGGCGTTCTTTTGGCGTCATCGGAGGTGTTTTAGGAGCACTATCAGCAAGTTCTATGATGCTTTCACGTAATATGTCAAATGTTAGGTCTTTGCCATAAGGTAAAACTAGTTCTAGAAACTGTTTGATAATAATTTGAGTATCATTCTTCAAAGAATACATCGGTTTGTGGAATTTGACTCTCTGTGAAGCACTTATGAGTAATACTGATACATAATAAACATGCTCTGATGTATTATCAACATCATTCTTGTCGATTTCTAAACCTGGATATTCTTCTTTGATGAATTTTGATATTTCCAAAGACTGATCAAGATTTTCTGCAGGAGCTGGACTTTTTCTTCAAATAAAAAAAAAATGAATATAAACAAAAACCTCTAATAAATACATACAAACGACATTAAATGAAATACTTACAGTTCTTCAATAAATTTCGAATAAATTTTGGAATCATTTTGTAATTCATCAATATTAGATATTGGCTTATCACAGACATCCAAACAATTTATCTGAAAAATAAATAATAACAGAAAAATATTTTTGTAGCTAAAAAATAAGAGGCGTCAGTAATAAAAACAATGTTAATATTAAAGATCTTGGAAAAATTCTTACCCATTCAACAATTACTTGACTCCAATATTCCATGATTTACTGTACACTTTTATTTCAAGTATTTTTAAGTCATAAATGTTATCTGGTTTTACGTAAATAAACAACAAACAAATTTTGTGAAAAATGCAGTTGAGCGTACCAAGCCAATGCTCCGTTTTTTCGGTTACACTACCTATTTCAAACCGTCAGATCCCAAAAGAGACTCTAACCTAAACTGATCTGACGCTTCATCAAGCTCCATCTACAACTCAAAGAGCGGGAAATTGGAATAGCGTTGTCTCGAATATGAATTCAGATATAACAACTAATATCTGAATTGATCAATAGCAATTAAATAATTAATTATTTCGTTAATATATTCTAACTTTAGATAATTGTATATTTCCACGTCTTTTCCAATTCATTTTTGCGGTCGGAAATTATTCAACCAATAACCAATAACCAATAACCGGGTGTATGAACCAGGCATTGATAAAGCAGAGTGTATTCTTTGCAATTATTGATAGAGAAAATGCTTGAAACATTTCATAAAAACTACAGAGGGCACATGTCTCTAATTTAAATCGTCGATTTTCATCATTTAAAAATTAATTAAGATAATTATAAAATAATTAAATTTTAATTAAAGTGGACAACTTTATTGTTTTAATGCAATTGTATTATTAATGCCCTCATTTCTTAATTAACTTGACATAATTTTTAATTCAAAGAGTACTTGGCATTTTAGCAAGCAAAAATCTTGAACTTTAATAATAAATAATAAGGATAATAATCACAGTTAATTTAACATAATAATTATATGACTATTTTTATAAAAAATAAAATGCTTTAATAAGCTAATTTCCTGGAGTAAACCAATTTATCCACCAAAAATGAATTATTCAAAAATATAATAAATTACCATGATAAAAAATTAAAAACCTGCTGACATCAATTATGGCATAATTGTTGAATGTTTTAAATAATTATTAGTGTTGTATATCGATTATATATTGTGAAGAATAAAATATCTATAAAAAATAAAGAGTACAGGTGAAGGGGCAAGCAAATGAAAAGTTGCGCAGAATCGTAGAACGTACACATTATCACTAGTTTACGGAGAGACATACTGCAAAAGAGTTTATACAGAAATGTGTACATGTAGACGTGTATATGCGTACGCATACATGTATTAGATATCTATACCTTGTGTCTTTAGCAGTGGTTCAGTCAACGGTTCGCACCGCCGGCTCGATCTTCTCTTTTGTATCTCTTCTTTGTTCATCAACCGTCTAAATCTTTCCAGGTTGATCAATGAAAATATAAAGGTAATCTAGTTTATATAAAATAATTGCATTTTTATTTGAAAATTAACCACATCTATCAATCGTATACATAAAAGTAATTTTTTTCCTTTAGGTTGAAATAGAAAAAGAAAATTTTCATCACATTATTTTGAAACCTCAATGCCATTTAATTTATTTTGCTAAGTCTCTACTATTACTGCCAATTTACTTGACAGCATAAAACCATTCTCTGAACAAAACAATCCTTTGAAGGACCCACCAGGTCCATCATATACATGTCGCAACCCTTAAACAACAGACTATCAACCTGTATTGCATCTCCAATATTCTTGAGGTAATTTACTACATATTTTTGGTGTTATTGTCATTGTACCAAGTTTATAGATCAACAATTAATCACTACTTTTTGATTTTTATTGTGTAAAATTATAATTATTACCTCAGGTTTGTTTATAACGTAGTCAACGTACAATTTTTTTAATTAATTAAAAATCTTATTGAGAAATAGTAAAAACCATAATCATGAATAAAATTTATTCACCGAATAATATGACAATTAAATAAAGATAAAAACATGATTTGTTTTTGGTTAAAATGATTGAGGCTATAGTAGAGTACAGTCTGATTGAGATTTTCGATTTGATAACATGATTTTTTGTTCATCAATGTATATATTTAACTATCTGTATAGTGGAAACAGCTGTTCTCCGACTTGTTGCATTATCAAACAAAAGAAATATCTATATGTATACATATATAATCGATCTCGTCATCTTGTTGCAGATTCGTGTATGAACGCGTATTTATGTATGTGTACGTAACTTAAACTGTTCTATTATATTTATTATCGCTAATATAATACAGTTTTAGCACTCAATACGCTACTATTTATACAATAATGCTTGTTGCATCAATCACAATGCAAACAACAAAGTTATCGCTTTATTATCCAGCGAAAATTCACACACTTAAAGAGGGATTTTATGTCAAAAAAAATTCTCAAGTATAATAATCAATAAGTACTTTAATAGAAATAGTGTTTTAGGTATTTTATATAATATATATTATATCTGGCTTATATCGCGTGGCATTCAATTACTTTGTGATTAAATACATCACAGTAATTGATTATTAGAGAATATTGTCAGTCAATATCCTTCCTTTCTGTTATTTAGTATGTCATTATGCATGGAAATAATAGTTTCAATACGTTATTTAATATTTACTTTTATGTTAAGATTAGTAATATTGCGCTGATTAATGCTAACAATTATTTGCGTCAATTTTTTCTAATCAATTTATCATTAATAAGAACAAATAAATATCAAACTTAGAAATTTAATATAAATCTTTGATGATTACATTTTTAGCTGGAGACGTGTAGACGATTGTTTTCTTGTGCACAACGACTTTGTGGAAATAGAAGTAGTATTGAAACAATTGGTTCTGAAATTCGACAACAAATACCCCGAGGGCGGAGGGGTGCTCAAGATCTTGAGGGACCAAACTCGTCTTCTGGAACAGAAGATGCTGGAAATTTATCAGCTATTCTTGCAGTTAGCCCCAGTCCTGCATCAACTTCCTCTCAAGAAGACTCATGTAAACCACCACCACGTAATTGTTATCGTCTTATTGTTCTTGGGAGTGCACGTGTTGGTAAAACTGCTATTGTTTCACGGTACGTCAATACTCTGAGATTAATACAGTTGATTAATCATACAGTTGACTTCATCATAATTCATTATTTATCATCAATTTTGACAGATTTCTATCGAATAAATTTGAAGAGAGTTATACACCAACAATCGAGGACTTCCATCGTAAACTTTACCGGATTCGTGGAGAAGTACACCAGCTTGATCTTTTAGACACTAGTGGCAATCATCCTTTTCCGGCCATGAGAAGACTTTCTTTTTTGACGGGTAAACTAATTGATAGTTTTATAAATTCTCTTTTGAGTTTGGTTATTTATAAAATAAGAATAAAATGTCACATTGCACATCACATTTATATGAAATATAGATGTACTTAGCATTTACTGTCTGTTATTTTTAGGAGATTTATTTGTCATTGTATTCAGTATGGATAGCCGAGAGTCTTTTGAAGAAGCCATCAGATTAAGAGAAGCAATAATTGAAACAAAGAAAACTGCCACTCAAAATATAAAAGGAAGAAATAAAAGTAGTCATAATTTGAAAATACCTATGGTGATTGTAGGAAATAAGTGTGACATTGATAATAAGTAAGTTATAAATAAATATTAAAAAAAATATTCATAATTATTGATATTCATTGTATATTTAAAAATTATTTGATAAATTTAGAGCAGTTTCAGTAGAAGAAGCAGAGCAATACTGTGTAAGCCAAGATGAATGTTGTGTATTCGTGGAAGTGTCAGCAAAACGTAATTATCACGTTGATGAGCTTTTTTATCAGCTCTTTGTAGTTGCAGGATTACCTTTGGAAATGGCGCCTAATCATCACAGAAAAGTACCTCTTAGTTTTGGCTCTCCTACTATGCTTCCACCCTCATCACAAGTAAATATTTCATTCATTTTTATTCAATCGTATTATCACAATTGATTGAAAGGTATAAATATATATGTATACATGGTTTATTTTTAAAGCAAAAATATAAAGCAACACTGAGCATCAAACGTCGATTGAGCGACGCTTGTGGTGTTGTTGCACCGAATGTACGGCGTCCTAGTATTAGAACAGACTTGATGATAATGAGGACCAAAACTTGTTCTCTGGCTGCTGGAAATGAAAATATTACCTCTGGATCAAGAATTAATACAATTCGTTCTTCAGAACCGAGGAAAACCTGCGTTATTCAGTGATATTTCTTATGTGTAAATATATTTGAACAAGTAATAATAATATTGAAATAACGATATGCACACATACAGTTCTAAAAATAATTGATGCGAAAACAATCTTACATTAATGTCTTTCCATTTTTCGATGATAATAAATAATCGATATTTTTTAGTTAGAGTGTACGCCACTATACAAATAATTCTGTTTATAGATACATATATACACATATTTTTCTCTTTTTTTCAATTTTCATAACTTGAGTAATGTAAGATACAAATACAAACAATAGCCAACTAGTCAAATGATGAATAAATACTATTATATAGATAAATCATGTAAAGGTAAGGGAAAATTGTAAATTATAATATTATTAGCATTTAAAATAACATTTGACTGCCTTAATTAAATAATACGTGTAGTAGTGAATACGTGAATTAATTGTTGATAATAATAATACAATAACAATACAATTATCGAATTATCATGGGAAACTTATTTATACGGACGAAAAAACATGCACAAAATTTTAAAAGAATATGGATAAATTTTATAATATAAGCAAATTATTTGTTCATGTATTTTGAAGTTGTAGTTACAAAAAAAAAAATCATTTTTGAAGTTATAATATTTTTAATATATTAATAGTATAGTGAGAATAATTGATTGATTACCAAATAATGAAATTGACTTGAATAATTAATAACAATCATTATTCACTTCTTATTAGAAGCATTTATCATAATAATTACTAATCAATAATCAATACTAATGATATGTAATCTTGCACAAATTTACTAGAAAAAATTGATAAGAAACTTACAATTTATATACAAATTTAATTCTCTTATTGTAAAAGTTTACTGTCTTTTGTGGTTTATGACCTTTAAATCATGTAGAGATAAATGTTATATTGATTTTTTGAGAGTTAATATATTAAGTAGGTGAATGCTAGACATTGTGAAAACTTCTAGTATGTATAAGACGCATAAGTTTGCAAATTTTCAAATCAATAATAAAATTATTTAGAAGTTGAATTTAAATAACATAAATTATTAGATATTTCTTTGAAGATTCTTAAAGTAAATATAATTCTAGTTGAACACAATTTTGTAAAACTCATTTACCTTCCTTATAAATGCAATAAAAATTCCTTTCATCATATTTAAAATTCCCGGTTGACATTTTAGCTGTATCATACATGTATTATACATCCATTACATGATAGGCTTTGAGACCTATTACATAATAGAAAGATATATGTATACTCTATTGACACGCGTGATCGTAGATAACCAATTGCAGTATCATCTTATTTTGCTAAAGTTCTTCTGTACGTAATGAGTTTTTAATTGAATTTCAGTTTATTGATATTTATTCAGCTATGTAGTGTACCAAAAAATTCATAAGTATTCCATTTTTAATGTACAAATATTAAATAATCATTTTAATTTAATTAATTATAATCGATAAATTTACATGCATAAATTTGCCAACTAGTTTTCCTTGATTATTAATAATTATAAATATAATTTTGCATAGTGATTTCACAATTACAACTCATGCGCAATGTGAAAATATAATTGTTAAATACTTTTTTTTTACCCCACCACTGATATTTTAGAAAGAATAAAATTGTAAGTTTTGAAGAGTGGTTTATCATTGTCACATTACTCTATCATTAGTTATTGTTCTTGATATTTGTCAAAAATGACAGAAAGTAAAAAGCAAAATAATATATTTACATATGAAACGCTCGTTCATGCAATATCTGGTGCTGCGGTAAGTAAATATGATTATAGATGAACGATACTCCGTTAATAACAATTATTTTGTTAAAATAATTAATTGTAATTTATATTTTTATAGGGCAGTGTGGTTGCTATGGCAACACTTTTTCCTCTTGACACTGTTCGTAGTAGATTACAGTGTAAGTATATAATTTAATATGAGCATCATTTAATAAAATGTAAGAGTTAATTAAATTAATTGTTTAATAAATAGTAGAAGAAGGTAGACAATCAAAAAATACATTGGCCATTATTTATGAATTAGTGTCGAAAGAAGGACCGTAAGTATAACTGTTTATTAATAATAAAATAATTGTAAAATCAATCATTTTAACTAATCAGAATATTTATATTTGTAGATGTACATTGTATAGAGGAATAATTCCAGTATTACAAAGTTTATGTGCCAGTAATTTCGTTTATTTTTATACTTTTCATGGATTAAAACGTTTAAGAAGCTCAAAAAATCAAACTGCTAAAAATGATTTACTGGTCGCTTCAGTTGCCGGTTGGTATAGAAACAATTATTTAATTCACGAACACCAGTTATTTGATCATTAATCTTATTATTTTTCCAATTCAAGGGATAATAAATGTTTTTGCAACAACCCCTTTATGGGTAGTAAATACAAGACTGAAAATGAAAGGCATACCAAATAAAGAGAAGCAAAATGGGGCAATTTCCGAGAGCAAAAGTACAGAAGCATACGATAATTTAATCGGTAGGATGATATTATATTTATTCATTCGAATACACACAATATTTATTATTAATGTTATATATTTTAGATGGATTAATTTACATTTGGAAAACTGAAGGTATTTCAAAATTATGGGCTGGTACAATAGCAAGCTTACTGCTTGTCATTAATCCTGCAATCCAATTTATGACATATGAAAGCATTAAAAGAAAAATGAATGCTTCATATAGTAGCCAAGCAGACGTACCGGCTTGGGTATTTTTTTCTATTGGGGCAATCGCTAAAACTGTGGCTGCTGTTCTAACTTATCCCATACAATTAGTTCAATCAAAACTTAGGGCAAGTAAACTCATAACAAATGTTTTAATAATAAATTTAATTTATCATGAAATGAATTCGAAATTTATTGTTACGTCTTATTTCAGCATGGACATAATTATACCAACCTTTCTTCGGATGCTGGAACTTTACAAATTTTGCTTTACATATTCAGGTACTATTTTATTTTCAGTCTTACAAATATTCCAAGTCAATAATTATATTTCATTAATTTTTTTTATTCGTAGGAAACAAGGTTTTCGTGGTCTTTACAAAGGAATGGAAGCCAAACTTTTACAGACTGTTTTAACAGCTGCTCTCATGTTTGTAGCTTATGAAAAAATTTCTAAATTTGTGTTCAAAATCCTTCTTCATCGTCCACACATTAGATAATATGTATGGTACAAATAATTTTGTAGGTCATCTCGATACCCTTACAATACATTATGTATAAGATAATCAGTATTGAATAATAGAACAATAGACAAGTTAAAATGTTCCTTAAAAATTATATTACAGACAGTTTTTTTTTTAAATTTTTCAGTAAATTCATTATTGTAGTAAAATAAGTACAACCATTATAGTTTGTGCTTAAACAATTTATTTATAAAAAATAATTCTGAGTAATCAAATATTGTATACGGTAATTATATAACTTTTTCTGTAAAAAACTTGAAAGCAATAAAAAAAGTTAAAGTAATTTGAAACATACCGTAGTTATGTAAATTTTCGATCACGTTTTGCGTGTTAATATTAATTTTATTGCACACCAAATCTTGATAAGAAAAAATTATTAATGTTATTAGGCAGAATTTTAACACAAAATTTTAATTATGAATAGCAAAATGTAATAAATACAAACCTTTTCATGTGTGTTTTAGAATTTAATTTAAAATTTTTCAGTAGATAAGCACGTTGAATATTTTCATGCATTTTTTTAATTTCATTGACTGTTCCTTTGACTATTTCATCAAGGCAAATTTCATTATTTATTACAGATTTATCTGCTAATATTGATAAATTTACACTACCGTTATAACTTAGAAAAGCACAGCCTATTCCTGTAGTCCCTCTAAAAATAAAATTATTTATTATCACAAAGAAATTTTTGTTCTCACTCTAATATAAATAATATCCCATGATACCTGTTAGGAATCCAAAACACAACTCTTTTTAAAGTATTTCCTAAAATTTTAATAGCTTGTGGGCCGGGTAAATTACTAAAAACCATGGTACTACGACTATGGAGCAGAGGTCTAAGGAAAAATTCTGGTAAAGCAGCAGATAGCCAGTCCATCACCCAATAATTAATAAGATAGTCGTAATTATTTCTTAATTTTGCAGAAGATTGAGAAATATCATAGAGACGATCGAATGATCGCCAGGGATCATTACTGTCAACAGTTGATGAAAAATCAAATATTTTTCCATTAATACTAGATACACACAATGGTAATAATCCAACTGAAAATCCATTATTAAGAGTTAATTTTTGATTTGGCACTGACATTCTCATTGGAACAACTACTGTTATTTTTTTTGGAGCTGATTTTCCAATCTGTAATCATTCTATAATTATTCAGTATTTATTACTTATTAGCATTTAGATGATTATTGATAAAAATAATTTACTTGATGAAAGTATTTGTGAATATTAGTGGAAAGGGCTGCAAGAATGACATCTCCAAATCTTACTCCAGTTATATTCTTGATATCTCGAATTTTTTCCAGAAGACTAGACTCATTGTTATCGTCTACTCTCTGGAGATCCTCCAACCAACATGAAATAATTTTATTACCCGTCAATAATGGACCATGAATAGCACTAAAATAGTAATATTTGAAAAAATTAAATGTTTATGGTAAATAGATATGAATATTTATTACCTATTATCCATACACCGTAAAGCTTGATGAAATAAAAAGCTTGGTAACAATATCAAGGCTGTAATGTATCTTAAAAATTCATTTACAGTTTTAATAATTTTTTTATAAATTTTTGAAGTCAATACTATTATCAGTTGATAGCAGCTCTTAATTCGAATATTAATTTTCCTCCATGTAAAATTTTTTAATGCTAACTCATTCGTAATAAAAGGCATTGAAGCACTAAGTAAATCAGCTGAGTAATAAATAATTTTTTGTGATTCTATTAATTTGCCACAGAATGATGATCGTTGACGTAGTAGTGGTATATGTCGTTGTTCGTCATCTATCGTATCATTAACATTTTTGTAACTAATGTTTTTTTCTTGATTCAATGGAAGAGAACAGTTAAAATTTTCATTATCAGCTATAACTTCAAGAAGTAATCTCAATAATGCTACACCATCTCCAAGAGAATGATGAATTCTAAAGAGCACTGGTATATTTTGTTTTAATGATGGAGATTGATTATTTCCGTCATTTATAACTTGACATTTTTTACAAAAATTTCCTATCAAAATTTCCCAACAAATGGAATGCTGCTGGGGAAGTGGCTGATTACAAACCTTCGTGATCAATCGTTTCAACAATCCTTTATGAATATCATTACAGTTTCCATCACATTCTTCTCTTTCATCACTATTCAGCCAACGTACACGTTGTTTTAGATTAATCTCATTTGTTTTTTGCCAATAATAATATCCATACTTCTTATTCCGAGTCCACCATAGTTTTTCAAAGTTCGGTGATATTAATCGATCTTTAACTAGATTTCTTAGATCACTCAAAACATCAATGTTGTCTTTTTTCATTTCCAATACTCCAAGAGCATTGATAATTGACAAACCTGATGTATCTTCCACAGCCCATATAGAGTCAGTACCTTCTAGTAATCCACCATAAATATCTCCCATTGACACTTTTAGCACTACATCAATAATTTTTCGATATATAAAAAAAAATATGAGTAATACAGCTATAAATGGAGCAATTAGTATGAAAAATAAAATATTTAAAACTGTAAATGCTATATTTTTTATTGTAGATTCTAGACAATTGTCGATCTGTAATGAAAATAGATAAATCAAATAAAATATTTTGAGAAAAAGTTTAGACACTGAAGAATAGATAAATATGTACCTTAGCTGGAATAATTTGAGATTCCGTAAACAAAATGAGGATGAAAAGTCCAGTGATGAATCCCCATTTAAGGGAATAATCAAATATATTTTCAGATTCGCTATTATTATTATTATTATGAAATTCAATACCATTCCACCACCAATAAAATGGAAACAAGAATGATGTTGAAAGAAATTGAGATGAAGATGATGATGAAGAAATTAAATCGTATGTCATTGATGCATTACCAAATGTTTCCCATAAAATGCACCAAACATCATCAGAATGATTGCAGATTTTCAATTCTCCTGGTGTTTCATTCATCTGTGTTAAAAAAATTCTAATGCTAATTTTTATCAATTAGATTAATTGAATTATTAATAAATAAACGATTTATGTAAAAATTATTGAAACTACTTACAATAAAATTTTGAAATAAATTAGCATAAAAGCTAAAAGCTATCATAGTGCAAAGCACTAACAAAAATTTGCATCTTTCGTTTTTCGATTTATATACTGAAGCTCTTCAATTTTCAAGATTCTTAAATCTAATTATGATAAATATAAATCCTATCAATGTATTTAAAATTTTACTTTGAGTATTAAATAATATTATTATGTGTTTCAGTCAACTAAAGTAACTTCAATGTTAATAAAAAAATTTTTTCATAATTATTTAATTTATCTTTATGAATTTATTATTTTATTTTTTTAATAAATTTATTACTTGATAGTAACATATGTTTATCCATCAATTACCGATAATTACTATTAAAATAGTGCACTCATACGTACCACATTCTTTAACAAATTAACGTATACTTATTATTTACATTATTTTAAAAATTTAATTAATGCATTGTCCACATCTTTATTGGTTTTTTTTTATTTTTGAATTTTAATTGATCGTTTTCTACACATTATATTTGTTAATTATAAATGAATTTAATAAATTTTGACTCTTGATCCAGTCTCAATGTAAATTTTGTAGCCATTGTAAAAATTTTAAGATTAAAATTATGGTGAACTTTATGATCAGTTAAGTATTGAAGATAAAATCAATTTATAAAATTTAATTCCACAACTGAAAATATTATGCATAGCTTGAGATCATAAAAAAGAACAAAATTATTATTTTGTAGATGTCAATAAAAAAATATTTTATATTTACATGTATGGATATGTATAAATAATTAGGCAGAAAATAGTGGGTATTGGAGAAGGCTGTAAGTGTTTTGAAGGCAATAAAGTGGTACATTAAATTCAAATATTTAATTATAATTTATCCACAACAAAATGTATTTGTTACTTTACTATTTTTTATCAAAGAGCAAAATTTAAACAAATTAATAATGAGTGGGTATTAAAAATTACATACACTGACACATGGGCATAGAAAAACAGCACACAATTTTTTTTAATGTCATTGTATTTTTGTACTAATATTAATTACCTTAAAAGATTGTAAAAAAGACTGTAATGTATCTGCATTTATTATTATTGAATTATAATTGGAAAAGTAGACAGTTTTTTTTCTGTTGTGTTCCTTGCACACCTTACCTTTCTCACTCTCTTTCGTTATCATTCTCACTTTAAATCTTCTCTTTTCACTCGACATCGGTAATTACTATCTACAAACACTTAATGTTAATTATATGATGTGCCAAAAGTATGTAAAATATTAAAAGCTACATAAAAAATTCATATACTTTGATTTTTAATTAAAATTCAGACTGCTATCCCTGTATTAAATAATGTACAAATTAAATTAAGTTTTTAAAAATATTTATAAGATTTTTAATATTTAGCTGCTTTGAGTTAAATTTTACCTCATATTGAGATTTTTTGAATTTTTTTTTTTCCTGACAAATGTGTTTATTTATTTCTACAATAGAATACTTTACATTCCAATCGAATATTTTTTTTTAATCATAAATTTGTAAATTACAAATAATAATAATAGAAAATAATAATAATGGTAATAATAATGAAACGCTTTTAAAATTATATATACAATTTCATAAATCTATATTATGGAATACTTGTACAATCCATTATTCCAATAAAAAGAGATTTTTAAATAGTTTCTTTTTACAAAATTACATTACAATCTGGTAGAATACATTTTGAATGTGAATACATTTTATATCTACCCTTCAATCACATGTACATCATTTCTTAGAAATTAACTTATACAATAGCGTTATTATTATTTTATTTTTAATAAATCTTCATTGTTTTCATGATCTGTGTTGTATTTAACAACAATCATACATTTACATAAAACTGCAAAAAAAATTTTTAAAATTGATTTATGTGATGATAAGTAATGATCGTGTTAAAGTTTTGTGAAAGACATTGGTGTTGTTATGGTATAGCAATTGCCATGATTGTATACGTTAGTCATTAACATAATACATTTATGAAAACAACGTGAATTTATTTGATTAACTTAACATTCAAATTGTATTTCTTTTGATAAGTTGGTCACGAGCCCAAAATGCTTTGGACTGCTTGATCAAGTACTGAGTCTTTGGAATCACCACTTTGTAAAGATTGACCATTATTATTATTACTATTATTATTACTGTTACTACTACTACTGCTACTACTATTACTATTAGTACTACTATTACTAATATTATTACTAGCAACTGAACTTGACGGTCGTTTTTTGAGATTCAAAATACTATCAATCGCTGATTGAACTTGTGCAGTGATATCATCGTGTTCACAAAAAGATTGTTGACTCTGTTGTTGTTGCTGTTGTTGATGTTGTTGTTGGATTTGAGCTGATTGAAGTGCAGTTAAACCTTCAAGGCTATCCGTATCTTCCAATAAATCTCGCTCAAGATCTGTAGCTTCACTGCACCAATAATTTTCAAACGTTGTCTCCGATTTTATAGAGTCCGATTCATAAACATTTTTTACAGAACTGGTCATATTGTGAGCACTCGTCATCGCACTGTTACTAATATTTTTATTACTGATACTATTACTATTATTACTACTACTATTACAGTTATTAATAGAATTGGCACCACTACGACATTCACCATTAATTCGAGTCCTTTCCGGTATTTTAGCTGCTTTAGGTATCGTACCAATAACACCTGTATTGTTATTACCACTATTATTTTTATCACCAACACTAACATCACTAGTAATATCAGTAGTATAATTAAAGCTTTTTGTTTTTGAGGAAGAATCTCGACACGTTGGATAAACACCAAGTTCTTTTTGGATTTCCAACCATTCATCATAATCACCACTTGTGCAATTAGAAGGTTTGATATTTAATTTTGAGTCAGCAGCATCGATACTTGTGAAGTCATCTTCAAGTTCTTTTTTCACAATAATATTTGATAATAATGATGATGACGATGATGATGAAGATGAAGATGATGACGATAGTAATAGAGATGGTGGAACTGCTGGATCTACTGGCGCTAAAATTTTCATATCATTCATCATTTCTGCTTCTACTTTTGGAAACAGTGGCTTTTCTTCCTTTTTTAATTCTTCTATACATAAAATTATTAATCAAAATTAAAAAAATTAGATCAATTTTTAATAATAATAAATCTTTAAATATATATATGGAAATTAGTGAGAAAATATTTACCGTTTGCTTTTGCTTCTTGTTCACGTAATCGATTTAACATGTTTTGTTCTTCTGCTACAAATGTTCGATCTATCATCATTAATTCAGACGTACGAACTTCTCGCTGAAAGTAATTAATAAAATGAAAAATAATGACGTTATTAATCAAACTACAATCAATTTTATAACACTAAACTTACCATGCTTTCCATTAAAAGTAGATATGTATATTTATTCATCATTGAATGGAATTTTCCTAAAAGATGCTTTGCAGTCTCTTCAAATATTTCATCAGCTTTAGCAAGATCTTTAATACTAAGTACTTGTTCATTGAAACAATGATATTTAAGTAACCGTTTACACGCATTTCGTTTATTAGTGAATGGAGTATTTACATCTGGTTTAGTTGCATCATTCTGATCTATTTTCAATTGTTTCTCAAACAAATCAATTTTATTAACTTGACGAAATATAGGACTAGTAGCTGGCCGTTTGACACCTTGTTTTGGACTTGTTGTTACTGCTATTGTCGCTGTTGTACTAGTACTCGTTGTTGCTGTACTCGTAATTATTGTTGATGTGGTTGTCGTTGTTGATGCGGTCGAACATACCGTACTGGTAATTAAATTTTCAAATTGTCTATTATTTTTAGAATTATTGGTATTACTGAGACTAATTGAACCTTCAGCTTCAATTGGAGATATAATTTGATGATTCATAGGACTAGTTGTTTGAAGTTGGATAGGTGATAATAATTCCTGCTTGACCGTACTGATTAATTCAATATTCGGTTTTACATCTACTATTTCATCAGTTTGGCATTGAATAGATTGCTGAGTACATGCAACACTTGTGCTATGTTGCTGTTGATCTGATTTTATAACATTCATTGAAGAATGCATTGAAGTCAAAGAATGAACATTTGGTGAAGAAAAATTATGTACATTCAATGCGGACAGACGGTTACTTAGAACTTGACTAAGTATCTGTTGTTTATTATGATTTATTGTATATGATAAGTTAGAATTAGAATTATTCTGACTGGTAGTAGTAATAATAGATGTTATACTATTATTATCCCCATCATTACCAATACTCTTCTCATTATTGACACATTCTCCAGCTGTATTATTCATTGATGTATTTATCATGTGCATCTGTGATACAGGTATTTGAGTTTTATTGGTAGTTAACATCAATGTATTGCATTGACTTGCTGTGATAGCTGTTGTCGTAGCTGCAACAGCTAGTGTTGCAGTGCTTATTGCTGTTTTGGTCGTCGTAGTTAATGCTGTTGTTGCTGGTGTTGATGTTAAAGTTGTTATTGTTGTTGTGGTAGATGAAAGTGGAGGTGCACTAATTACTTTACCACTCGCAACAATTTTATGATGCTCTTGACAAAGAACAGTCAAAGCTGATTGTTCGCTCTGATTATTTAGTGTTTTGCGTTCCAAAATGGCATGAATTCGTGATTGTATATTTTTCAACATTTGTTGTTTTTCTAGTGGTAGTTGGATATATTTACGTGGCTTCTGAACTGCTTGAGGGCTAGTAGATTTTAGTAATGGTAACGACGTTGATAAAGGTGGTGACAAAGATGATGAAGATGGTACTACTGATGTAGAAATAATGTGTGATTGTTGAGAAGTAATATTTTTCATGTTATTTTCAACTATTTGAATGCTATCATTTTTATCAGTAATATTTGGATTTGATGATGAATGATGATTATCTGATTTAAGACTGGTAGATGTTATCGGTGTCATTAAAGTCGTGGTAGTTGCTGTGGTTGTTATCGTTGCCGTTGTTACTGCAGTTGATTTTGATATTAATTCTGTTGACGGATGACTTACAACTATTTCATTAGATTTTGTACCATGCACAAATCCAATATTTTTGTCAACAGTTAAAACAACTTTAGTTCGTTTAACAACTTTTGTTTTCTTTGTGCTCGGCACTTGTTGTTGATTATTATTGTTATTATTATTTGTAGTATTGGTAGAAAGATTTTTTAGTTGCTGCTGATTAAAATTATCAATAAATTGACCAGGATATGAAGAATTATGAATTGGGAATGAATGATGCAATTGAGATGGTGGTGCTGCTTGTACAACAATATTTTGAATATTATTTTGTATTGTAGGAGCACCTCCAGAACTATTAACAATTATCTGACCAGTTGGTGCATTTATTTGTATACCATGAAGCCCTTGAGAATTAGCATGTGATGTTGTATCTCCACTATTATTATTGTAACTTCCATCACTACCACCAATTACAATTTTTTGAGTCTGATTTTGTCGAGGTGAAGAATTTATTTGACCTGTTAACAATTGTTGAAGAAATTGTTGACTGATAACTTGCATTTGTCCATTAGCATTCGCAATTAATAATTGATCATTTGGATTTAAATTACTCAGAGCACTAAGAATTTCCGGTGTTATTTTTGGAACATTATTTATCGTATTAGTATTAGCTGGTGTTGGTGCCGAATTTAAAATATCTGTACGTTGATGAACGTCTTGCTTATGTGGAGTCTCATTCGTCATTGTAGTTATATTTTTAATACATGGTTCATTTGAAAAAATAATATTTTGTGACTGTTGTTGTTGGGGTAATTGTAATTGTAACTGTTGAACATTAGGCTGAGAACTAATAACAACTGAAGTTTTTTGTGCATCATATTGAAGTGAATTTGTAGAGGAAGGAACATTACTGAGAGTAGCTTTTTGTAGCGAGTAAAACTGGTGTTGACTTGGTAAATTAATTGTTGCTACAGATTGCTGTTGTGTTTGCTGTTGTTGCATTACTTCTTTCTTTATAAAATCTTGTTGCTGTTGTTGTTGTTGTTGCTGCTGCTGCTGTTGTTGTTGCTGAGAAGCTTCAACAATTACACTTTGCTCAGGAGCTAAAATATTTATGGCTTGTTGTTGATGAATTTGATTATCATTTGATTGAACTATTTGAAGTTGAGAAGTGTTTGGTGTATTATGTTGCAATGTATTGAAAGAATTATGTTGCATATTTGGCAATGTAATCTTGTGAAAATGTTCTAATAATCGCTGATCATTTGATTGCGGCTGTACATTAAGAGATTGAATTGATTGTGGAATCTGTTGAATATTCTGTTGGTTGATTTGTTCATTAGTTTGTTGTAGTACGTTACTCTCTTGTTGATTTTTTTGTTGTTGAATAGATCGACTATTTTGAGTTTGACGATTAATTGCAGTGTTCGTTGTTGTTTGTCCTGATGTTTGTTGTTGGAAATTTTGCTGTCGTTGTTGCTGCGGTTGGGATTGTTGAGATTGTGGTGTAGTCGATTTAATTGGATTAGATCGAATATTCAAATTCGGCAAGGAATTCTGTAAAACAAATTGAGTTGGTTTTTTCACAGCCATATTTAGAGTCTGTTGTTGACTTATAACATTAGATTGATTCACAGTTTTTCCAACTTGATCATTTTGCACAGTAGTACTTTGTCCAGGTTTTGGTGAAGTGGATCCAACAGCAATTTGAATTCCTAAAACAAAATTCATATTTTCATTCAATCTTCAATATATAATATTAATAAAAGTATTTTTATTTTAATTATTTTAATTTACCTTGAGTGAGAGATCGGATTAATGCTTGAGTAGTAGCTTGATCCATTTCTGGTTGATTAGGTTCTGGTGTATGATGAAGAATAACTTTTCCATCTTCACTAACAGTTAAACGAAGATGACCGGAAATAGTATTTTGCACTGGCACTTGTAATTGTGCTACGAGCTGATTTCCAATATTATCCATTCCAACTGAATTTTGAGAAATATTAGGGGTACTCGGTGTCAACGAGGATAATGATGGAGATGATGTTGTTGATGAAGAAACAGCCGAAACAGATTGTTGTGGGATACCTATTAAATGAGTTGGTAATTGATTAATAGTTTGGGATTGTGGTTGGTCAGCAATCGTTTGAATTTGTCGAGATGATGTTGTTTCCGGTACTTCTTGAGGAACAATATCAGTATCATACATGTCATCGTCATCACCGATTCCAGAAATTTTCATGATACTTGCTAAATCAAGCTTTGGAGGATCCTCGTCTTTTTTCTTTACTTTTTTTCGTTTTTTCGCTTTTTTCTTTGGTGGAGGTAAAAGATTCTGATCAATAACGGTAAGTTGTTGTTTTTGTTGTTGTTGCTGTTGTTGAATTTGATGTTGAGGTGATGATGGTGGTAATGGCTGTGATGTTGATATTATATGATTCACTAAATTGTTAGACGATGGTAATGATGTCGTAGATACTGATATTGACGAACACGACGGCGAAGATGATGAAGGAGTTGAAGAATTTATCTGAGAGTTCATCTGTGACTGTGGATTTTGTATTACTGTATTTTGCATAAGAATTTGATTATTACTATTATTTGAATTAGCTGAAATAAAATAAAAATGTTGATTAATATGTATTTAAAGTAAGAGATATTAATTTGCTGAATAATAATAAATCTTCTTATTACCAGGTACACCAGGACTAATCGTTGTGGTTGTCGTTGTCGTTGTTGGAGTGTGGCGAGTGACAGTTATAGGTGATGGAACGGGTGAAGGAAAATTACTATTATTTGGTACTGCAAAAAATGTCGGAGTAATTCCCTGTAGTTGCATACCTTGTGCCGTTACAACTCTTATTAATTGTTGTTGTGTAGTTAACTAAAATAAAGTGAAAACAAAATTTAAATAATTAAACAGAATATTTTTATTTATTACATTCAGTGAAAAATCTAAATAATTGAATCATTATCACACCTGTGCAGTATGAGTTTGCTGTTGGGCGTTCGTTGGAGTCCGAAGTATTAATTGAAGGCCACCTGGTTGTGGCTGCACAATGACAGGTCCAGTTGATGGTAGAACCTAAATATTTAATATTTAATAGCAATCGAATATCGAACATTTTTTTTCTTCGATCTTGAAAAAATGTGAATCATATTTACTTGATTCAAGAAAAGTCCTTGTGCAGTTGGTATCACAGTTGCTGTAGCGGTGGGATGATTTTGTTGAGGACTAGCAGTGGCAAGTACAAATTGTGGTTGTGTAGGCTAGATCATTAAAGAATTATATATTAATATTTGAATTAAAAAAATTTATTCAGAGAAATAATGACAAATAAATACCTGATTAGTAGTAATAGTTGTGGTAACTCGTTGTTTTTGTGTTGGAGCAATACCTTGTTGGTTTGCGGGAGGTTTAGGTAATATTTGTGGTGGTTGTTTGGCCGGTGGTTTGGTAGTTGTTATTTGAATCGGCTGATTACCAAACAGATGATTATTATGATGAGTCCTTGTGGTTACTAATTGAGATGAAGTCTGTTGGTGATAAGCTTGAGGTGTGCCAATTATTTGAAGAACTTGCATCCCTTGTTGTATCGGTATTGTAGGAGTGTTAGGCCTAACCGTTACTGATGGTGGTGCTGGACTTCTATTGCTGTTATTATTACTATTATTTAAATTAATATTTGTAGTACTTGTACTGAAATGATGCGGACTTTTTGCTGGCGCATATGGACTTGTTACTGGACTATTTTGTATTTGTCCAATATTCATCGGAGAATTGCTTTGATAAATAGGACTTTGTTGAAGTTGCATGTTGAAATTAGTGTTGCTCAAAGATGTTATAGGACTTGGACTGTGCCTAGTATTATTATTATTATTATTATTACCACTATTATTACTATTATTATTACTGTTGTTATTACTAGTATTATGCGACTGGATGGAATTTGTAACCGGACTTTGTAACAAAAGCCTATTCGGACTTGGACTTGGAGTTGGTGGAGCCGTCATATTTGAAACTGGGCTTTTGAGTGGAATAGAGAATGGACTTGTTGGTGAACAAACATTTTGTGTTTGTAAGTTTGATTGTACGGTAGATACATTACAAACAGATGGTGAATTACTAACTTGTTGATGTGTTGTACTACTAACAATATTAGATGTAATATGGCTCAATGTATTTGCGATTGATCCTGAATCATTATTTGTAGAAAATTTTGTAACTGTGGTAGATATAGTTGGAGTAGTTGTTGAAATTGTGGGCATTCCTTCGTTATTGTCATTGCCATTATTTCCTGGATTATGGTGAAAATTAGTATTATGAGCACTAGTAACAACAGTAGTGGTAGAAGTGGTGTTATTTAAATTTGCAGTGCTCGCCATCACTGAAGAATTTGTTGGATTGCATGTAAATCCAGATGTCAATACACTGACTGCTGCAGGCCGATGTAAAGTTTGATTAACTTGTTGATGTTGATTTGACAAAGATGATTGTGAAGATGCTGATGTAATATGTTGATTTAAATTACTTACAGTATTACAACCAGACGTACTGGAATGATTATTTTCAGAAACACTAACATTAATAGTTGCAAAATTTTGATTTAAATTGGAGTTAAAATGGGTAAACGTTGGACTGCAAACATTTGAATCAATTGCAGATAAACAACCAGTAGCAGCAGAATTAATATTAGGTGTATGATTGAGACTATGATTCAGTCTATTAATTCCAGAATTAATAATATTAATATCTTGAACAACTCCTGTAACACAGGTAGTTGCAGAACCATTGTTGTTATTATTACTGCAACCACTAATACTGTTTGAAGATAAATTTGTATTCAATGTTGAATTGAGCGCATTTAATGTATTAAAGTCCGCTGGGGTTGTAAGATTATTTCCACTAATAACACTACCACCACCAGCAGTAGGAGCTGCTGGATTAGGTAATCCAATGTTGAGCAAAGGATTTGATGTCGTAATAACATTTGATGTAAAAGATGTTAACCGTGAAGTATTCAAAAGTGACAATGGCAATCCCATATTAATTCCCACCCCAAAGGTGGGTGCTGCTGGTGGTGGTAGACCCATTCCAGCACCTGATGAATTTATGGTGTTTTGATGATTTAAATAGACTATATGATTTCCAGCCGTTGAATTGTTACTTGGTTCATGTTTATTATTACTGGATGGTGGTTGTGGTGATGGTAATGCAAACGTTAGTGATTGATTACCACAGGTGTTGTTTTGAACAGCAGCTTGTTGAAGTTGTTGTTGTAAATGTTGCAACTGCACTTGGTGAGCAGTAAGAACAGTAACAGGATTATGAATATTACTATTTCGTCGTACGGTCGGGGAAGTCGTGGAGGATACCGCCGAGGAGTCCCCGAGGAGAGGGCGTGTCTGAGGTTGCTGCATACCCACGTTGCAGCACCTCGTAATCCTCGGCAGCCAAAAGCCACCTTTTTATACTTCCTACTTTATGTTATATACTTATTTCTTCAAAATGTATTACACTACTATGTTAACAATGTATTGATATTTCACATATTTAATAACTATAAAAATAATACTGCATTAATAAATATATTTTACACATTTCAAATGCTCTTGAAATTTTAAAATTATTTACTTTATTTTTAGTTAAAACAAAAACACTGGTTATTTTTTGTAGATTTGCGCTACGGCGCCACTCAACGCGTCTGCGGCCCACGTTGCCAATTCCTGACATTCATACAATTTCGTATTTATCCAATTAAAGTTCAATTGAAATAAATAAAATTTTATAAATAATATTATAATAAGATAGAAATTTAATAATTAAGTTGCCCGTAGTTACTGGCCATAAGTACGTATTGCTAATCATGGTATTTTCAGCATTAATAAATGTGTACGAATTGATGTAATGTTTACTGTGCAGTAGCTTTGTAATTCTATAAACTTTTTTTTATGTTATGAATATTTGAGATATTGTTTTATACAACTCTCAACCAATCACTTTCATAATCAAATTGAATTGGTTCATCCCAAATCCAAAACTGAAAAATAATTCGCTGACATTGTCTGAGTTCTTTAAACAGCAATGTTATTCTTAAACTATTCTTATTCGATTTAATAACGGAAAGATTTTTACTTATGCAAAATAAATCCTCCGTTTTCATTACACTCCATATCTGTAACAAAAAAAGTAAAATGAAATTTTTTAATTTTCAATAATAATCGAGACAAAATAAAAATAATGATACACAAATTTTTAGAAATAATAATTTTCACTTAAATTTGCAATTAGCATAAGCAAAGTACGAAATAATCTCATAAAGGTTTAAAAAATCTATGTTGAATGAAAAATTTGTAAAAAAAATTTGAGGTTAGAAAGAAATTCGAAATGATAGTATAGAAATATCATGTAAACATAGTAAAATCATGTAAATGTACTTATATTTATAAGCAATAATGTAATATTTATTCAATCACATGCATTGATACATTAACATACTTGTAAGTACACTCGTAGTACCAGTAAGAATAATATTATAGATACAATCAGTTAGATAAGTAATAACTAGTAGCATTTTTAAGCAGTAATTTGCTTCTGTAAACAAACAAAGTGTATACCAAAGTTTCTTATAAATTTGGCAATTAATGAATTTATTATTTAACAAACTAGCATCAGTGGAGTATTTACTGAAGCACAAAAAAGTGTATCTGAGAAAGAGAGAGAGAGAGAGAGAGCGGTCGCGCGCGATTATACACAACAAAAGCAGGACAAGTGACAAGGCGTAAACAAAAGAAAAACTCGCTTCACTCCAGTATTTCATGCGTATTATTAAAATGAGAATTGTTTAAGTACAATTAGAGATTGAATTATAACATAGAGTAAACTGTAAAAATACGCAAAGTGGCGTAATGAAAAAGCATCAATATTACCTTGACGAACGCGCGTTTAGTCACCCGTGTTTTTACCCCACTTATCTTCAATATATTTTATTGTAGATTAGATTCACGTAATAATTATATTGTGCTGTAATTCATTGACAGTTTATTTTATCAAGCACTATGTACACAATAACATATTGCAAATATTGCTTGACACACAGTATAATTTTTGTATCACGACAGTACACGACAATGTTGTACGCGTATCACTGTGAGGTGGTGCAAGGTGGTGGCAACGGCCATAATGGGTTTAGCAGTTTTACCAATTTTGCTGAAGTAAAATTTTTTTCTCATTTTTGAAACTCCCTAGAATAATCAGAGATCGTATCGAAAATCCCCAATGTGAGTATAATATGTTTATGTGCGAAATGCGCATTGTCAATATGTGTATAGGTACAGATATTATCTAATATAGTTTAAAAGGCTTTCATTGAGACGACATCGAGTTAAATCGAAAGGTTTGTTTTATGAAAACTGCTGAATGACCGAAAAAAAAAATACTAAACATTTTTTTTCTGAGAAAAATAATTCTTATTTTCTTAATTATATTTTTTGTATTGTCTACATAAAAATTATTATCAGAAAATAAATTATATATTTTTTTTTTGTATAATATTTTTATTTTTTGTTTAAATGTGACAAATATATACAGTTATCATTCATCAATTTACGAACACATCAATAGTAACATTCTGGATCAATAAATTTAATAAACACGACAATAAAAGGAATGTATCGAATTTTCAGTGAAATTAAAACACAAATTATAATAAAGTTGACCAATTAGCACAATACAATAATTTTTCAATCAACTGAAAGTTTTATGTTAAAATTGTCAATTTTCAATAAGTTTATATATCACCACGCCCATTACAGTAACAAATGTTCCCCCTATTAAACTCCAAATAAGGAGCTTATTGGTCTTTCTACTACTGATAACAAATGGAAGTTTAAGATATTTTTCTAAAAAGCTAGTAGAATTTTTATTTTTGTTGTTAGTTGAAGTTTTGGAGTTTGCTGTCGTTCCAAACATTTTCCTGTATAAGTCCCTTTGAGAAGCTGTGCTCTGAGCATTTTTGACCTTAAGAAGTTTTATTTGATGACTTATTGCTGTTGATTCTGGATCAATTCTAGCCGCTTCATTAAAATTGTTCATTGCTTCTGTATATTCGCCCTTTTTTTGAAGTATACATCCTAGAAAAATCGAAAATTTATTTAACTTATATGAAAATATTGTTTTTATTTCAAAGCTATACCTTTTCTATACAACGCTTTGACATTCTCTGGTTCAACTCTCAAAACGTTTTCAACACTTTCTAAAGCAGCTTCATATGCTTCAGTTTTTAATTGTGCAGCGGCTAAGTTATTGTATATTTTTGTTCTATTTTGTAAAAAATCTTCGAGAATGGAGTCCATTGTGTTTTCAGATAAATTATTTTGCTGTTCATTCTTTTCATCATGATTCATTTTTGTCAGTGGTTGGAAATATTCAAGTGCTCGTCGATAACATTGAATAGCTATGGTTGGCTCATTCCGTGAAAACCACCAATTTCCACGTTCACGCTTTTTAATTCTGTTTATTAAATAAGGAAAAAATATTAAGTATTAATAAATAAATCTTCATATCAGTTGAAGATAGAGAATTAAATTTACCCAATATTAAGTCTCTGTGTAACATCTATATTATCAATTTCTGGTTCTATTTCTACTTTTTTTAATTCTACCTCATAAATTACTTTCGCTCCCGGAGGAATATCAGGTTCTTTGCCAAGGTCTCCATATGCAAATCTTGCAGCTACTTCTATTTCTGCAGTTTCTCCTATATTCATTAATGCTATTGCTAAATCCAAACCCTTGAAATAAAAATTCATCAGTAAAAAATTTATCATAAAAAAAAAAGATGAGTAATTATTCGAACAATATTGATACCTGCACCACTTCATGATCTCCAAGTTGTATGATAGTATCGTCTAAATTTTCAACCAATTTTCCATCTTCAAGTCTACCAATAAGTCTTAATGTACAAATATCTCCTTGATTGGGCCGATTTTGTTTTTTATCAGAGCCTTTAACAAGTATTTTTTTCCGTAATTGCCCATTGCCCAAAATATCCATCCATTCTGGATCTTCGTCATTGCTTTGAGAAGCTTGTTCGTGAACGGTATCATCGATTACACTAGCGTCAACATCGAAATTTAATTCATTTTTTATAAAGTCTTCTTGTGAATTATAATGAATTTCGTTCTCATTAATATTCATGGAAGCTGCACTTTTGACTTCCATTCTAAAGTAGCTGGCATTAAAAATTAAAAATAAGTAAACTATTAAAAAAAAATTCGTACAGATTTATATAAATTCTATATTTAAAAAAAAAAAAAACTTACCACTTTTTGTATATATAAATTTAATTAGGATTGTAAAATAAACAATTTTTTAGAAATTTTGTACTTTATTTTATGTGTAGAAATATTATTTCTTAATGCGTTATCTATCTCAGATGTATGTTGAATAAAGATAATTGTATTTAAAAAGAATTAAAAAAAATTAATTAATCGAATTTTTATACATAAATAGGTTACTAACAGATATATTATTATTTTAGTCAAGTAATTTTTTTTTAATTCGAAATAGTATAATACATATATGTGTATATTATGCACTGTGGACTGTACTTCCACTACAACCTCATGAGATTAAATCCCTCTATATCATGGACAGAGAAGAGAGAACTAGTGATAAAAAACGGTAAAGTAACCTATTGATTGACCGGCTCGCGGTATAAAATGATTCAGAGCAGACCTTTTTACCGTTGAAATATGAGGGAAACAAATGTTCTATTTATTTAACAAACCGCCGTTTTTTCTTTAATTAATAACTTACTAATTTAATCATCACTTTTTTGTTTTTAATTAATATTTTTTTTCATTTAAGTATTTTATTATTTCACTTCCTGTTGTCGCTAAACTTGATTTTTAAATTTTCGCGCCTGCTGATTTAACGGTTAAGTAGCTAGTTAATTGACTGGTAAATTAACTGGTAAAATGGTGGTACAAACAATGTTGGTAATTTTCCATCGCTGCTCTTGTAAAGAGCTTACTAAAAAAAGTTATTTGTGGCTATGATCATTCATTGGCTACAATATTCATAGATAAGAAAGCCCCAAATATGATTGGATGATTTGGTATAAAATGTTTCAGTGGAAACGGAACCATCGTAGTCATGTCGAAAATTTTTGCCGCCAGCCTATTATCCCGCCAAACACAACTCATAATTAGTTGAGAGAGGTTAAAAGTTATTAATTTTCTAGATATAATCCAATCCGTTAAGCTATTTCACCGTGCCTCACAATAATAGCAATCATTTTGGTGCTACTGTGCTGTTGCATTAATCAATTAACTTCCTATCTTACAATTGAAATAGGTGTTATATTTTTATTATCGGTTTTATTGTATTTCTGAATTATCTAAATTTTTGTAATACTTTTGTGGTGTCATTATTTATTCAGTGCTTCCTTAACGATATCAAGTTTAAAAAAAAGACTTTAACAGTATGGCAAAAGTACAATTAGCAAATGTTGCTGTACTTGATAACCCTTCACCATTCTTAAATCCATTTCAATTTGAAGTTACTTTCGAATGTATTGAAGAATTGAAAGAAGGTAATTAAAAATATATAGCTTTATAAATGAAGTTCATGTAGACATATTTGTACAATATTTATATTTTAAATAATTATTATTTATAAAAGTATAAGTGCAATGTGTAATGAATGTTTCTGTACAAAGAATGAATAAAAATCTATTTCTATTGTTTGTATCTTCACAGATTTAGAATGGAAGATGATCTACGTTGGTAGTGCAGAATCAGAAGAATTTGATCAAGTATTAGATACCATTTACGTTGGTCCTATTCCAGAGGGACGACATATGTTTGTATTTCAGGTAGGTTGTGAATCATCAAAAAAATGATCATACAAAAGAACTTCCTACCCAAATATTTAAAAATGTTTAACTAAATTATTTTTTAAGGCTGATCCACCTGATGTTAGTAGAATTCCAGTCAATGATGCTTTAGGAGTCACAGTTGTCCTTCTTACCTGTTCATATAGAGGTCATGAATTTGTACGAGTTGGATATTTCATAAATAATGAGTACACAGATCCAGAATTACGTGAAAATCCACCAGCACAACCACAATTTGATAAGGTTCAACGTAATATTCTTAGTGACAAACCACGAGTAACGAGATTTAAAATAAATTGGGATGATGGAGTAGAATTAACAAATAACGATACCTCAGATAGTATGAATGCTCACACCATGGAGGATGATAATTCACAAGAACAACCTTCGACATCATCTTTAAGTTTTGCAGAAAATACGCAAAATAGTATGGAAGTTATGTGAAAGCTCTTAAGTGTAAAAATAACTCGATTTCAAAGACGTATCTTTACTATTTATTATTTGTGGTTACGAAAACATATTTTCTATTTTTCATAAATTTTTTCGCCAAACAAATGTTTACATTTTTCCATTTTTTTTCTTTATTTATCCGACAAATACAGTGCAAATGTAAAATCACTCTAAACTGAATGTTTATCATTAATCATTTATTAAATTTAATGTTCAAAAATTGTACAAGAAAATGCTGCTACTGTTGTTATGCCATCAAAAGTGTGTACATTATTAAATTTAAAAAAAATTATAGATAATTTTCTACAACAAAATTGCACATTTTTTTCTTCTTCTTTCATTAAATAATATTCTTTTAAAAATTATTTCAGATATTGATAATAGTACATAGTGATTTATTACTAACAACAATGGGGTGATATTGGTAATCAAAATAAATAAAATTATTTATAAATAAACTTTTTGCTAATAAAATTATTAACAATTCTATTATCAAATATTAAAACTTCTTGTAGTGAACTAGTGAAGAGCGAACTCTTTATTCATATAATACATTACTGGTAAGGAGTATTTTGATTAACATTAATAATTTCGTTTGTGCTAAAATAAAAATATTAATATTAGTCAAATTCAAGAAAATAATAAATTGAAAGAAAATAATTTTACCGTCTTGTTTGCTCACCTTTTAGAACATTTTATATGTATAATTAATAACGCTATGCCTAAAACTAAGCATACACAGCCAACTACAATATATGCAATTCCTAAAAATGGATTTTTACCACCTAAAAGTGATGTCGTACTGAGAATCATTTTTTTGCTTCCGTCAAATGCTGATACATAGTAGGCTGAAAAATTTTTTTATTTTTTAGTAATAAATTAATTTGCATTAATTTTAGATGCTTTCTTAGAGTTAAAAATTAACTTACAATAATCAACATCAAGTCTATACTTTCCACTTTTTAAACCACTAGCAAATAAGTGTGAAGAATGATCTATACGACGATAAAGCTTTCGGAAAGTTGGTAATGCCGCCGTTCTCATCCACACAATCAGATCTTCATTTTGAAAGCCATTATTATCTGGATGTTCAGGATCTAATTCCCATATATTTTTGGACCAATTACGTGGTTTTGCAAAATTTTCAAATGCTTTCGTTAGATTTCCAGGTGGATTTTGGAATTTAATATTCTTGTCTGATGGCCAAGCAATACCAGTTTTAAGAAGAGGTACTGTAGTATTTAAGTCTAAGAAAAATAAAGTTAAACGATCGCTAAATAGCGAGTTTGCAATAGCACCACATGGAGCTATTGGATGTTTGGATTCATTATAAGCAAAAGGTTCACAATCAGTCGATAACACATCACTCAATTTTCCTAGTAGTTGATTGTCGTCTCTTGATTTAACGTATCGACGATGATTCTGATAAAAATTGCTAAGGCCATAATACATATAAACATTACCAGCAAAGTCTTCAGGTAATGTAAAGGTTATTTGGCATTTACACACTGCTTTTGGATTGTTAGCTATGATTTCTGAACAGTGAGTACGATTTGTTGAATTTATTGATTCACAATGTGTATAATCAATAGTGTATTCTTTAACTTCATTAGAAAAATGTAAAAGACCAATGCCAACAGGAATAAATGCTATTCCTATCACAAAAAAAGTCGGGAGAACTGTTCCAGCAGTGAGAATAGGCTGCCAAGCTGGAAGACGTTGCTGTTTGAAGGCACTGTCTATAAAATGATTATTGATATTATTGAATTATCACTTATTTTATTATTGTAAACATTGATTGTTGTGTTATTGAATAAACTTACCTGACGGCTTTTTTGTTTTTGCGATTGGAGTACTGTCAGACGTAGTACTTGTCATTTTTTCGTCTAATTATATTTTTCAATTGTTTTTAGCATTACATCAATTTAATAAAATGTTATAATATATTAAAGATTAATGTGACAAACGTTTTTGATAAGAATAAGTGCTCAACTACTAATTATCAGTCAATTTTAGTCTGGTGCTGCCTCTTGTGACAGATTTTAACAATAAAATAAGGAAACACGTAATGTTTCTATCTGAAAATAAATAAAATATAAGTGGTTTGAATAAAATAATATCTTTAATAATTATAAATCACATTGAATAATACAATGATACATATACATATGTATAATTTAACAGATAAAAAAAACTGTTAATCTGTTGTTTTTTTTTTACTGTTACGTCATTATGATTTCTAACCTTGAAATGATGAAAAGTCTTAAATGTTTCAATCGTCAATAAATTCCTCTCTAATCTATCAATTATTATATTTATAAATAACGAATAAATTTTATAAATTGGCTGATTCAAATGCAATTATATTTCATAATAATAAACTCAATAGTGTACATCTATTTTTATCACTATCAGTAAACTACATGTATAGATGTCAATATGTTACTGAACTAAACAATAACAAATGCATTTACGAAAATATAAAAAGTTGTTGCAACTAAAATTAGGACTAAATATGCATTATATTTTTGAAAGGTATCGATAACAATTATTTTATTACTCTTATTAAAATTAATTTTATTTTTTAGTTTCTCATTTGAATTATTTAAAAAATTTTGGCGGTAAAAATAATAAATTCAAAAAATCTTTCAAGCGTTTCTCCCTTCAATTTATTTTTCATTTGTCACATTTACATAATTTAATTATTATATTTGTTATAAATAACTTCATTAAATTTTTAATATATTCTTTATAATATAGAGTTAATTAATGATATTCTAAATTATAATAATTAGCTTTTTCATTTATATATGGTACAATTAATTCAAAACAACTTGGTATATTTTTTACAGTTATATTTATTGTTATAAATTAATATATATATAATTAAATTTATTATTTGTTAGATTACAATACACAAGTCGATTAAAATAGAATAGTTATTCACATTTTTGTTAAATATCATCGTTGATTCGATTAAGTCTATTACATGATCTCATTAACTTCTTTCCCAAAGGAAAAAGATGTGAATTCTTTTACATATAACGATTGCGTAAGCTAAAAAGAATTTTTAATATTTTGGTATAAGAAAAAATAAAATAATCGGTATATAAAATGAAGAAAGAAAAGTAAAATAAAGTGATTACTTTATGTCACTGAATGAGAGAAATTTAAAATTTATGCCAAAGGTGTTTTCAAAATTGAGGACGTTTCACTTATTAGTATCCGTTTAGTTTACTATAGTTAGCGGTGAATCTTCTTGAAACAGCAGCTCAATTCTCGTGTAAGATCGTACACTCCCGCAATCCTAACGGCAAGTGCAGAGAAAGTTTTAGTTTCAATTTCAAATCGTCGCATGTTTCACATCAAATCACCTTTAACCTTGGCGTCTAAAGATCATTTAACAACTGTACAATAGACGACTATTAATAATCATAAATAAAGATACATTTTTGAATTAAAATTATATAAGATTTACAAAGATAGATTTTTTTTGAGCACGTTACCACGCATTGCGTATTCTTTTGTATTTAATCGCAAGTTAGTTGATTAAATCAGTTGACTAATTGTTTGTAGGAATCACCACCATCATCAACATTATTACAATCATTTCGCTACATCTTTCAGCCTACTTAAAAAGTAATTAATTTTATTCCAATTTCTCATTAACCGTTTCATCGTCCACAGTACAAAACATTATCATCTTGATAAAAGGAACAAATAATAAGAAAATAAGAATTGAAAAAGAATGAAAAAAAAAAAAAAATCATGGTGAGAAAAGTAATTACGTCGTTGTACAAAGCAACCTAATTGTTTATGTAACTGCTTTTATCCTAAAGTAGTCTATTAAAAGTACGGTAATCCTAGAGGTTTACATTATATATAAACAGAAGGATTCCCGTGTTTTGCTCTCAGAAAGAATGTACGCTTCCCGAGTGACTTTTTCTAATTAATATCATTAATGTTGACGATGGCAGCTTCCTTGTTATCATTATTACAATAACGACGATGTAAAAGGTATTATTTCTCTATCACACACAGACATACACATACACATACTTACATGTTATATTAATGAAATTTAAAAATATATTAAAAAAAAAATATAAATAAAAGACATTGTGACGAAAAAAAAAAAAAAATAAGAGAGAAACTATATGAGTTGGCAAACATGAGTTTTGCTTTCACGGATTCTTTTAACTTTTTCCTTGATAAAATAAATACGATGAATCAATTGCAATGTTACGGCGGTAGCAGTGGCAATGGCGTCTTCACGCTCTTCCAAAGAAATCTTTGTTAATACTTTTTGCAGGAACTGCGCCAACATTAAGTGCCAATACTTTAGAAACAATGTTTAAGTCTTCTGGATTACTATTTCCTTGGTATTTCCCAAAATCACCAGCTACTCCAGATTGATATAAAAGTTGCTGAATCTGATTAGCAGCTGATGGTGAAGGTCGATGTCTATACTGATTGAATGGTGTGACAAATTGTGCAGGTACTCGGCTTGGTAATTCTAAAAAGGCATTATTTCTTGATGGTAGTTGTCTGTTGTCATTTATTCCAAAATTTCCCACGGACTCATGTCCTTCTTGGCGATTAAATCTTGTAGCTACTGATGGTTGAAATTCAAAAGTTTGTTGAAACTTTTGCTCTTGCGGTATTGTTTGCAATCTTGGCAATGTCTGTTGATTTTGGAGTAAAAGTGATTGATGTGAAGCCGCCTGAGGTAATTTATACCTGTCTAAATGGATTTGTTGATTAAAATTTGGAGGTGTTATAGTATTTGGTAGTTGAAATGCTAAACTAGGTTGAAACTGAACATTCGATGTCTTTGCTGGAAGTTGAAACGACAAAGGATTGTGATGAGAAAAAGCGCCGAGGGGCTGTTGTACTGATAACTGTTGTTTTTGTTGTTGTTGTTGCAAAGGTAATATTTGCTGCGATAATGTCTGAGCCTGTAAAGCCAATGGCTGAGGTAACGATTGAGCTTGCAGAGGCAGCTGTTGTTGAGATAATGCTTGAGCTTGTAAGGATAATTGTTGTTGTTGGAGTTTTTGTTGTTGTTGTTGTTGTTGAAGGGGTGATACCTGTGATTGTAAGGATTGTTGTTTTAATTGATGATACTTTTGTTCTTCAAGTAACTTCAATCTTGCTTGCTCTTGATAATAGAGTTGTTGCTTTTGTCTTTGTTGCTCTTGATAAAGTTGTTGTTGTCTCAATAAAAATTGTGTTTGGTGATACTGTTGTTCTTGAAGTTCTGCTAATTGTTTTTCTAATAATTTCTGTTTGAATTCCAACTGTTCTTGAAGTGTTAGTGCATCAAGACCATTAGGTTTATAAATAGGAACAACACTCTTAGCAATACCTCGCTCATCTTGTTGAACTGTAAATGCTGCAACCAAAGGCACTGGGTAAATGTTCACTTCAGAACTATCTTTCTTCTCTGACTCCGTTGAAGAAAGCCGTTCTGTTGTTGATTGTAACACTTGGGTGCTAGTATTTTTCGCAACTAAACTTGCAGCTGTTGGGCTTGGTGATATTAAAACATTTACTGATGCTATTCCATTACTTGAACTTGTAGCTAATCCATCTTTTTCGTGACTTAAAGATTTATGTTTTGGTGTATCATCAATTATATTAGATAAAATACCATTTTTAAAACTTTTAGATTCAATTTTTTCTATTTCAACAGATTCAGACTCAGAAATTTTTTTTTGAATCGTTGATGATGGTTGATTATTATTTAATTGATTATTATCATACTTTTGAAATACAACTTTTTCGAGTTTTGGAGCTTGGTCTTTCGATATTGTAAAATCATTTACAATTACTCTTTCCGTCTCAAATGATGAATTTTGTAGTTTATCTTCTTCGTCTTTTGAATCATTTTCAGTACAATCTCCGGGATATTTTTCAAATGTTATAAAAGCATCATCAGCATGACGATCCTCTATGTTCGGAACAGTTGTAGAATCCTCAGGTTCAATTGGTTGCTCTTGCAATTTCTTTAACAAATCTTCTGGTGTTAGTGAATCTTTTTGCTCAGCTGATTCGGTTTCTAAATCTTCAAGAGCTTTTAATAAAGCTTGACGTAAATTTTTGTCAATTTTCAATGGTGGAAGGTCACTGTTTGAAGTTGCAGTAGCTTCCGTTAAGACAATCAAGGCATTTACCAAAATAATCGCAATTACCTGAAAGAAAAAAAAATTTATTAAGAATGAATGGTATACAATTATTTTCATTGATATTGGTGGTATTAATGAATTATTTGTAGAATGTTAGTGAAAATAAATTTGAAGGTCGGTGCCGCATAGTAATTAACAAAGTTTAATAATATTAATTATGAAGAACCAGTTAAGGTTTATGTAAGAGTGTCAGGTTTCATTTAAAGCTCCTATGATGTGATTAACTGTCACTTTTTCCCTGCTACGATTGAGCACACTTTAACAACCTGTATTCTTGTGTGTCTTTCACTTCATATTCTCACGCGAACTCATCAAAAAATAAAAACGCTTCTCTTTAACATTGATTGGATCTCTAACACATCTCGATTTGATAAGTTAACATTTAGAAGATGTAAAAAATTGAAAGATCATTGAAACCTTTTATGAGGTTACACGAAAGGAAATTTTTTGTAACACCAACATATCTCAATCGGTTGGTGTTACAGATTTTTTTCAGTAACCTTACGAGAAAAAATCTGTCGGTACAATCCTAGTCTGTAACTGTAAAAATAATTTAATTATTACACCTCAGGTTGAATACGTATAAATATATTTTTGATATCGACTTTTGAATATAACTCGCGTCTTGTTCAATATATAAAAGGAAACTTTCTTTTTTACCATTTTCCCATGGATGAAGATCGTAATTTAAAAATAAATCATTCGAGTATTAACATAAAATTTATGAATAAATGATAAATATTATTTTAAAAATATCGCAACTTTTTATTTGCAATACGACATACCGATTAATACCAAATAATTAAAATCTCATTACATGAATATAACCTAAACAAACTTTCAACGATTTCAAGTGTGTAAAGATTATCTCTATGATATTAAGTTTTCTTTTTCTGTATCAAGACAGATGTGCAAATAATAGTGTTATAAACAATTCATTTGAATAGTCATTTTATAAAGAAATAATCAGAGACTTGAGCATAAATTGGACAAACAACTTGTCGTCTCTGAATGTTATATGTCTATCTAACATTTACAATACAAATTATCTATATGTACGTCTTTAAATAATACTGTTTTACTGGCATCTTATTACAATCCTCATTTCTTATCTCATTTTCCTTCCGATGGACCTATCTATCTAGTACATGTGTTGAAGATGACTCTTAGCAGATTTCTATTTTCAGAGTCTTCGTCTTTCCTGTTATGTGGACAAAGAATACATAGCCGCCACCCATTTTATACTTCTTCATGAGAATACTCCACGGTGAAAATGAAACATCGTGACCTCACAGAGAGAAAAATAAACTTCAAGCCTCGGGGTGAAATCGTCAAGTAATAAGCAGCCGATTAATCCTACTACTTCGGAATGTCTATTTGTTTTTATCTAAATACATTTTTATGATTGTTAACGAATCAACAAATTACTCTTTAAGGTATGTTTCAAAAATTAAATAAAAAAATAATTCAAGTAAAAAATGTGACAAACTTTCTCATTAAATTATTACTTAGTATTTAATAGTGAGTAGTACTTGGCGAATAAAATTGCATATCAAGTAAATGATAATATCTACTTATGAATAATTAATTTAATTGTAAGATTTATTTTATTATAAATAATTGTTACGTGACTGAAATTCAGAAAATTTTTTTTTGTAGGAATATGCATAGGATTCATTTGTTGATAAGGAAAACTGCCAATTTTTATTCACTTGAGCTGTCCAAGTCTCTAATAATGCCGGCTATAGAATATAAATAACCACAAAGGTAATTTTCCATATAAGAGAAAATAAGCTTGACATTTACAACGAAAGCTAATCGTGAATAAGCCGCACCCGAATACTTTTGTTTCTTATTTAGCAATGATCAATACTTGATATGTTGAAGAATACAAAAAGATTCATCAGTAATGAAGTCATGATAAAAATTTAATTTCTTATTGATGAGGAATTTTTTCTGTCATAAAATGATTGACTCTTTACCTACATATCTGAGGACAGGAAAAAAAGAAAAGAATTAGATAAAAGGGTTCTTTTTAACGGATTATTGTTAGAATAGTCGAAAAAAAAGTTTCTATTTGATGAGAGTATTCTTCAAATTGTCACATGGAATCATCACTTGCGCATCTTTCTGTCCTTATTTTGTCTGTCTCCAGAAACACGCCTGAGGCAATAATGAGCCTCTTTCGAAACTTTCTAAACTACCAAATAACCCAATGACTCCATGGAGTCTTCCTCTTTTTCTCTTTTTATTTCTTCTCCAGCAACTGTTGCATGTCGTTTTATTAATTTTTCCGGGCACTCAAAAATTGTCAAGTCATTTTGTAAGTGAACAGAGCACCTGTTTATTTCACTTTTTTGCTCCATTATTATTATTTCTTAAATTTTATTTTTAATTTCTATAGATTTTGCAAAAATTTCAGCAGATATTACCTTAGTTGGTTTTCTAAAATCATAATTTTATCTATTTTTCGTCACTTCCTGTTAAACTTTAACATTCATAAAATATCATCGACCCATGACACATTACAAATTCATTGTCTTTCAGAACCTAGACACAATAATATTACCATGATATTTTCATTTGTTAGATTATAGTTACTTAATCTTTCATTCAATCCACTTTACAATTACACATATTCACCTACCTCAACATTATTTTTATTTGAGTGATTCTGTAGTGACCCTCAGGAAATGAGTTATTAAATATAATAAATATAAGAATTAAAACTTAACTTCTTTGATATTGCGATTAATTTAATGATAAAATTCTATGAACATCAAAACCACATTTCGTGTTCATCTATTATTTTTATGTACACGAAACATGAAAATTATTATATTACTTTATCCGGCTTTTTATCATTCAATTGACTTAAAATTTAATCGACTAGATTAGTATTTACAACTTCCTAGAATTTTATTTTTAATTGCATATTCATAACGGAAAATCGAATGATGTATTTTAAAAAAAACTAGAGAGCTGTTTTTTTTTGTCTTCCGATTAATTGAAATTTCTCCTATTTGTTAAAAAGTGTAACCAAGTTAATGTAGCTTATCTTTTTTTTAAGCAAGTATAACTGTTTAAAAATTCTTTAAACATCTTCAATTTATTCTGCTCTTTTATTTATTGAATGTATATTAGTTGTCAAATTACCTGGTAACTTTCTTTGATGAAAATAAATGTGTAATCTCATTTAATGATATCTTTTAATCAAATAATTTCACTATTTACAACTTTTTCTTAACGTACACGACAATCAATTTCTAGTTACTTTTACTGTATATTTTTTACGTTACATTTTACCATTGTACAACAAAATTATTGAAAAAAATTATTTTTTGGTGAAAGTACATACTTGCCATTTATTGTTATTAAAGATGCACATAAATTATGTTGGCTTCATATTTTATATTGTATAATACAAGTGACAGTAATGACGTGGTTCCAGTTATTACAGTAATTAAAAATTCCCATTTCTTTAAAAAAATATTGTTACAATCTAATAATCATAAGGGTCTACAAAAAAAATTATACTCATAATTAATTGCAGGTAATGACTCTAATTATCACATAATCATATTTAACTATAAATAAAATGAGCAAAAGTATAGAGGAAAAAAAATGTAGTTGATTTTAAAATTTATTTGAAGATTTTCAATGAGGAAATCACGCTGGGAATTTAATTTAATGTATCTTGATGTTTTTCAGATAAAAAAGTGATATTTGAAAGAAAAAAATGTACCGTAAGAGTGTATTAGTTGAAGCAGTAACGTGTAGATAAAATGTGTAGAAGCCAAACAGAAGAAGCATCAAGCTGTCGTTTAAAGAGGAAGAGCAAGAGAAAGATAAATAGAGAGATCAGGGATACTTTCACTCGATGAGTATGTCATCGACGATGTACACGCGCTCATGAACTTGCCGCCTTGTGCGATGTGGAGGTATAGCCCTACTACTTATCTACACGGATATGTACAATGAAACTTATCCCAATGCACAGTGCATTCCATTCAAGTGGTTTAATATTTAATACATACTTTAAACTAGCAAGACAATTGCTATTTATTATCAACAAACATTAGATCATTATCTGGTGACTAAATATCAATATTCACATCATCAATAAACTATTTAGTAGCACCAGTCAATAAGTCATTTTATAAATTGGTTAATTTCTTTCAAATGACCATCTTTATTTTTATTGAACTAAACAAAGAAACGATTGATGGTCTTGGCGAAAGTGTCAATTTGTGTCACTTTCAACATACTCATTGTAAAAAATAGAAATACTTGAAAGATATATCAGTACAACCTGAATGGTTGAAAATGATGAGGGGAGCAATCAGGTGAAAAGTAATCATCGACACACGTATGCAGCAAAAAGGAGGAGTCAAGATGATTATTTCTAGACAAATTATTCAGAGAGGGAGGTAGCAGCTATAACGAGAAATTTGCTTGCGGGTGAAAGCCCTGGTGTGGTTTATCAGGAAGAAAAGTCAACGTATCTTCGACTGTTGGATGGCGCAATTCATGCATATTACATATACTTGATATTTATGTTGACACGAGTTTTGATCCTAAAAAAATTTGCCACGATGATCACGATCAATGCTGTTTTCACAAATAATCTCTATCATGGTATCTATTTTTGTTTACAACTGAAATTGTTTCAACAAGAAACATAACCATCATCAAGTTTCCATAATTATTCAATCAAAGCTATCTATCCTAGTGAACTAAATTCCTGGGAGTTATTACAGCAACTTCCGGGTGAGTAAAGTATTTTGTTTTCCATCGAAAATGAATTAAAGATATTCAACGTGACTGCATTTAGATAAGAAGGCCAAGTAATCTACTATGTAATAGAGAAAGAGACAGTAATTAGTTTAATTTTATTCATTAATTAGATTGAATTTCTAATATTTTCACTGAAACTTGTGTTATGTACCATTTATCTACTGAAAAATTTCAAAAATTTATCTTGAATAATGAATATTAATTAACATTCGGTAATACGACACGTGTATCACTTTTTTTAATGTATTCAGTTATTACATTGTCATGAATCAGTGGTGTTAATTGTGAAAATAAAAATCTTAAATATATTTGAAATGGATACAGTTCGGAATCTGCACGATCGGTGTTGATATTTATCCATTTGACATACATTTAATGTTTTCTATTTTATAATCAACATTGTATACAAATTTTTATTTTAATTTGTATAATTATACATAATTTTCTCAAAAATAAAAAACAATATATTTCGAAAAATTAAAATTCATTATTAATTAACTAATTGTTTTTTAGATGCCAAGATGAATAGATTAGCTTTATAATTAGTTCATTACATAGACGATCAATAAAATTAAGGAAAAAAATTTTTTAATTATTTATGAATACTACCAAAATAAAAAAAAGTCATAAATTTCCTATAAAAAAAGGCAAAACTCAGGAATGCCTGTGCAGATAATAAAAGATTGTTAATTAAAACAGTTTCTTCTCAATAATGAAATTCATAAAATAGCATGAAATTAATAAAAGAAATCGCAAAAAGTTTTTATTTTTACTTCTAATTAAATCAACTAAGTTTCCATTATTTTCCCAACATTTTTACGATTTGTGTGGTTACTATCTAATTTTCGAATTATCATCGCAATTTGAATTACCACGCCCCTAATTGCTTTCACTCAACAGGTCAAAATCTTGAGGTCAGAAATTACCCTCAGGCTCATAAGAGGACTTGTGTGTCATACTCTTGCGAGTCACGCCCAATAAAAAACTTTCTTTGATGTATCGGCGAGTAACCACTTTTAATCTTAATTACGATAATGATTACAATAATAGCAATGACTCTTTAAAATTAATCAATATCATTTTTAATAATATTAGTAATATCCTTGGGCAACTTTCGATACAGCAATTCAAGTTAATTGTCTTGAAATCTTCGTGAAATTTTTAACTATAAAACGAAATGCACGCATGCACTACATCGTAATTAGGTCGAAAAAAAATTGGAGATTTATCGGCACTAATAAAATAAGTGAACAAATTGATCGAAAATTTTTAGTCTTAAATATATCAACATGAAGACATGATTTATTGAATATTTTCACTTATGAAGAGATGAACAGGTGATGATTAATGAATCGATTAATTGTTTTTCTTTCTTTTTTTTTTAAATAATAATAAAAATGCACATGAAGAATAGAGGGAAAGTAAAACTTTACACATTTGGAATACCATTAAAATAAAACGTCCCACGTGTGCGAATACAATGGCAAATGCTCAATCACTTTCTCCAGATTATTGTACGAATTCTTCTTCATCAAGATTAAGATATAAACAATTGATAATTTTTTAAAATCAATAAGTTAAACACTCGTATGACTTGAAATGCGCTTGCATTACCCGCGAAACTCTCTAGCATTTAAACTAGCCGGCTATCGATTCAATATTCATCATCATCGTTATCACTGTCACTATTAAATAAGAAGAAACACAATTTGATAATTAAATTTAAAATGAAACTTTTTAACCAGCACAATGATATTAAATGGTTAATATTATTGATGAATTAAATGATAATATTGGATAAATGTACTCACCAAACGCATTTTGACTGAATATAATTCGTTGATTCACGAACGGATCTCGCGCGGTTTTTACTCCTCAAAGATGATCAAACGATTGGTATGGCTCTCCTAATCTCGTTGCCGAACAACATCGTTGAGCTGGAATCGTCGTGGTAAGGTAAAAGTAGAGGTGGAAATATTCTCTCTCTCCGTTATACTCTGCTAACAAGATAAAGAGAAGGAGAAATAAGAAAAGGGTGGGCATACCTGTAGTTTATTTGCCTCGAGAAATGCCTTTGCACTCTCACCACTTTCGTCCAAGCTCCTGTCTGACAACAATATTCTTATGAACGATGAGAATGACCCACTTTTTCGTTAACCATTTAAAAATTGTGTGACAATTTATTTTTTTATGACCAATACAATCAATGCAAATCAATATTTATGACCAATATTCCTGGAGATCCATAGCTAATGAAAGGTTTTTAAATTATAATTAACAATCGATTTCGCTCACTAAAGAATAAAAGAATTTTATAAAAAGACTATTTATCATAAAAACAAATGAGTTAAATATATAAAATAAATGCTATGGAAAAGATGCTAATTATTTTTAATAATTATTCGAAGCTTGAGACATAAATGTTCAATGACGATTAGAAAACACGTATTTTATTATTAATTTCATGGTGGTGAAAACTTTAAATAATAGTGTAACATTTAATAAAAATATAATGCTAATAAACAAATATATATCTTCAATGGTTATGCATTAAAGAAGAGTACTTATGAAATGATACTTTTTTGTTTTAGTGCTAGACTTGATGTACTCATTCTAACTCATTCCGATGATGCAATAGCATTTGATACTCTGGAAAAAAAAAATTTTAGTAAGATCTAAGAAAATAAGATATCATAGAAAATTCATTATTTGATTAAATTTTACAGTTAACTAAAAAATTCGGGTCTCAAGTAAAAGAAAAACTGGTAAAAAATTGGAATTCAATGCTTCTGAATAATGTTATGTCATGGGATTTTAATTACAATTAGATTATGTTTTTATTTCTTAACTACAATCACGTAATATCAAATATATTCTTTTGTGTCGTTACGGTAACGGTTTACTGAACTGATGATATAGAAAACTGATGAGAAAAATGCTATCGAAGTTTGAAGAGAAAATATGTGAAAAAAATATTTGGATAAAGCTTATATGAATTGTAGAAACAAATCATGCTTTACAATTATGTGTTTTATTAATTGATGAATAAATTTATATGATTTATTCATTCTTTTTATTGAAAATTCAATTTTCATTCTAAAAAAATTTTTAAAATTACACTTGAATGGAATTATGGTAATTTAATACCATGATTCTTTTTTGGTAAGAAAATTATTGTCATTTGAAAATTCGTATGAAAGTTTCAAATAATTCTAGTCCTAATCATTTTTATTAATGATGTAGATTAACTAAATATGAAGATAATCGTACCATTTATTAAATTAGACAGATTATAATAGAAAATCTAATTGGTCAGCTTTTATAAAGAAATAAAAAATTAACCGTCATTACATGACTAAAAATTCTGTAAATAAGTATGAATAAACACTTGATTATCTTGACAAATGTATTATCAATTTTGCTGAAGATTCTTTTATTAATATTATGTACGATATTGATAAATTGATATCCAAAATGCAAAGATTAAAAGGTATTTCAGGAGTAATGCTTTTTTTTATTGAAAAAATATGAGATATAAAAGTGTTGGAGCCAAGGACCCTTTTTTTAGGTTAAGGAAGCTAAATATGCTAGTAGCGACATCTTCCAGAATTTTTGAGAACTTTTTAGTCAAAAAAAATTCCCACTAACGCCACCTTTGAAAGAAATATTGAACTATTAACTCAACAATTTTTTAATTTATTACCGATATAAATATTTTTAATAAAATATTAATTTTTGCAAATTTTTTCTGCTCAAAGTTACTAATATATTCACTAGAATATGCGTGCAAAATTTTATTTAAATCGAACGTCTGGAAGTATGTTTTTTGAGACGTCGGTAATTTTCCTGTAATTTTGTCCCTAGAATTGCGTTATTCTTAATTCACTAGGGACCCCAAAAAATTTTTTTTTACTAATAATAATCTTTTTCTCTATATAATTCGTTTATTGACTTCTCCAACACTACAAATCAATTATTATATATAAACATGAATACAAATAAACGGGAATTTTGTGAAAATATATATTTGTAATCTACTCAATGTTATACAGATACAATTTGACTTCGCAAACCAATAACTCATTTTCTAATTATTATCTTCATAATTTTTGATAAATATATGTATTATTCATTTATACTATTGGGCTGTCTTTCATTTATTAAAGGTATCATTTTATTTTCTTCTTGCGTACGATTGTATTGCTCTTCTACGTAGAATATAAAAATTGCTCCTACTACAATGTTACTGAAGACTAGACACGTAGACCAACGTCCTTCTGCAATAAACAAAAAAAGTACAAATTACTTCACGCAATTTATGATTTTAAACATCTATTATAACGTTACTTGCCCATTCCAGGTATGCAGTACGATAAATAAAAAATAGTTCCAACAATATTTGACAAAAAGATCATGTATCCACCGACAATTGCTTCTGATATAGGAAATGCAATTTCTGAAGCAAGTTCAAGGAATAAGGCAGGAGTAGACCAATTGGTAGCAATACCAAGGATAACAGCTGCGTACAGTTCATCTTTATGAAATACTAAAACCTTTGAATCGAGGAGAATTATCCAGAGAAACATCATTGCAGAAGTAATCAATAAGGAACCAATGGCAATTTTTAAATGACCCTGAAACATATCAGTAACTCGAGAAGCTAGTAAGCTCAGAATGCTACTGACAATGACAGTCCAAAAAGCTAATTTATCTGCTTCATCCTGTGATAATAAATTAAATGAAACCATTAGCTACATTTGTTCTGGTGTTTAAGACTAATATTGTGAAATAATTTTTGTTTATAAATTACCTGAGTTATAGCATTTCCAAAAGCCATTGTAATCATTCCAAGCCAAGGACCAGTCATTCCTTGAGTCAAAGCTGCAGAAAGACATAAGCACCACATAGATTTATGTCTGTTGAACAAAAAAATATGATACAGTTTAAATGAAGCAATCTTTAACTCTTAGTACCTAATCACAGTTCTACAACGATTTTTATAAATATTTATGATGTCTCCAGCAAAAATTAAACATCCCTTGTGGGGATCGAACCCACGACCTTTGGATTAGAAGTCCAACGCGCTATCCTCTGCGCCAAAGGGACTTCTGGTGCAGCCTCGAAAATTCTCAATATGAACTCAAGTACCCATATTTTACATAAAAAATATTTCTACCTTGATTCCCAATTATGTAACAAGCTAAGGAGCATTCATACTAAGAAGCTCAATAATTTTTTTCATACTTGATCAGTTTCGTTAGCGATTCCCAAAGTCCGAGCGTTGAGACTTGAATGTTTGAGCTAGATATCTGAGACTGTTTAGGGAAACAAAATAGAACTCCTATCAGAACCATAGCTTGAATAACAAATTCTGTAATTATATTATTTCTTAGAATAAAAAATTATAATGAATGAATATTTTTTGACTTACCAATTCTCATCAAAGACATAATTTGAATTCGTAATAAAGTTTGATAGATGGTGATATTCTGAAAACTCAGAGCTTTCTCTGAAGACAATAATGCTGGTTCATCAACTACTTCTACCAAATGAAAATTATATTTATTTCTTTTATGATGATGAGGAGGATCTCCTACTAAAGCTGGTCCTAGCACATATGATATTGCCATTCCAAGCTGACTAAAAGCTGAAGAAATCCCTGTAGCAGTGGTACGTTCACCAGCAGAAAACCAAACTGCAGAAACGAGTGCAGTTGCCGGTCCAATAATGACACCAGCAAGGCCATTAAAAATAGCAGCAAGGTGGGCCATTCTGTGGTGATTATAAAAATCAATAAGATTCGTACTTACTTCAGGAAAATAATTTTTTATTAACTGATTATAATTTTACTCTAGATGAATAATATTTTTTAAATTTTTTCTACTTTTAAATTATTATAATTTCGCACCTACGTCGTGAAGATTACATCTCGTGCAGAAATACATCTAATAAATGTAGCTATCGTTGATAAAATTGCTGCTAGTTTTAAAGGAATCGCTAGATCTAAAAAATGAAAATAATTATTTACTTCTGTGTAACTTTAAATATTATCGACATTTAAAAAATTTAGCTTTTATTTCACTCAGATTTACCTGTTTCATTGAGAAACCAACAACAAGGTAGACAACAAGTTAAATATGTGATACAACCCCAGTTGCATAACAATGCTACTGAGGTCTTGTTCCAAGTTGGAAAAGCTTCCATCACCGATTTTGCTATTGGTCCCCAAGTATTCCAAACACAACATTGGGTGCAGCTTAATGCACAAAAAAGGCCTAGAGCTGCCCATCGCTTTCTCCATGATTCACCCTCATCGTGAATTAAAAGGGTCTTCCCTTCTCCTAGATCACTTAGGATAATATCTGTATATTGTCGACTATGTCTTGCGCTAGATATTCCTAAAAAAATTAGAATCATTATAATATATTCAATGAATAACTAAAGTACTTACGAGGACGAAGTTTTCTCTCTTTTTTCTCTTTTCTTTGCTTCAATTTTTGCTTTAATTTTTTAAGTTTTCTGCTTGCTTGTGAATTTTTGAAAGATTGATTCGATTTAACCATTTTAAATTAAAAATGACGAGCAAATTAATTTTCTTCGGATTTAATCAAATTCATTTGATTAATAATTTCAAAAATCTGTTATTATTGCTCATAAATTCAGAGAAGATCGTCAACTGTTTTCTGTTCTTCTAGATATTATATAGTATTGTAAAAGTTTTCCTTATAATAAAAAATAATTTATGATCTAATTAACATTCATCTCCAAAACCACGACAATGACATAATTATTTAATTAAAAACTTAACACAAATTCCAAAAATCAAACTAAGCTGAATGCTTTTGTAAATAGTGGCTCTTTTTCTGGTACCGGTCTTGTTGTTAGTAATTATTACCGACATATGGTAGAATTTACTACTAAAAACACTAGTTTACACTGACTCCACAGATAAGAGTTGCTTTCAAATTCTACTGTTCTACCCTAACAATAATTTTACAAATAAGGTTTTAGCATCTTGTGATCTTAAAAAAGCAAATAAATTATTGAAAGCTTCATTGCTGCAAACAATTAAATTTAAATATCCATGAACAGTTAATAGAGCATAACAGGCGTAATCATTTGATCATAGTAATCTTTCTCGTTGTTTTATAAAAAATAAAATATTAGGATGATATTTATTTTATTAATAAAAGATTATTTCATTAAGTTTATATTTAAAATATGAAAATAATTGAAAACAAAAAGCATAAGTATTGTTAAATATAAAAAAAACCATATTGATTGTTACAGTTTTATAATCCCAATTTTTTGTATCTATTTTAAACAATAAAAGTTTAATTTTATTTTTATCAAAAAGAGTAGTTAAGGGTGGGAGTTTATCTAATAAGCCGGCCAATCAAAAGTCAGTGACAAATCAATATAATTAGGGGTAGCCAATCACAAATGCTAGGAAAACTAGACATGCGCTTCTAGAATGTTTCTTTGTCCTTTACTCTGTGTCCTCTTATACACCCCTTTGTCGTCGTATCAATGGCGCTATTTCTCTGTTTAATTTCCCTCATTTTTTTCTGCTTAATTTCCAGCTTAACTTTTTGCAAGATCATTTATGTACTCCTCTAATTTTCCTTCTCCCCGGAAAATACCTTCAAGATGAACTTCTCAATAATAACAAAAAAACTTATTTATCGAAATATCACTCTGATTTTCTAGAATACATTATTTCATTTGGATCTAAAAAAAAAGATATTTTGAAGGAGAAGAAGATTGCCTGGAGAGCAGTTGACCGTATCAAATTCCAGAGATATTAAAAAGACTGATGTTTCTTTTACTTTTCTTATTTCCATTACTGAGGAGTTCTCTTAAAATCTCTCTATTGTTCATTGAGATGATTGATAGGGAATAGTTTAATTTTTTTGCTGATTCTTCTTGTCTTGATAAACATACTGGATCAGACTTGTATTTATGTGGTAATAAGAGACATAATTGTTATGAAGAAACAAATAAAATAAGAATGAAATCCACAGGGTAAAAGTAAGCAACATTTCCCCCTCCTGCAGCCCTTGATTTTCGTAGCAGTTATGAGGTGAGCGAACGAGCTAGCCAACAGGCCGATTCATATACACGTTGAACTTCCCATCCGTACGGATCTCTGCTCATTTAATTTATCTGTAAAACATAATATTTATTTATATACTTTGATAAATAAAAAATAAACAACACAAGAAATTGGATACCAGTACATAAAATACCTTTGTTTTTTTTTTAATTTACTCCAATTTTGCTTGTGATGGATAAAATGGTCATTATCATTTTATATTGTGAGTGATATGGATATTTAAGAATACATTGTGTTACAAAAAATGATAGACAGTTAAAATTTTAATAAATGTTACTTGATATTACCATAGAATTAGATGAGTGCGAATCACGGAATTTGATGACAAGCTGAACGACGATACTTGAGAATGCAAGACGAGTGAGTAGAAAAGTAATTCAGTCGTGGAAAGAAAGTCTTCTGGAACGTTTGATATACTTATTCTCCATTCATTCATTCATTCATTCATTTCTTTAATTTATATTATTCGTTGGGGATAATTATTTTCAAAAAGTAAAAATGTCAGCTAAAAAGTCCAATCCACGACCCTCATCTCCCCGAAGATTTTTCGCACGTATTTATGGTCATTTGGAGTCATCTGAAAGTAGTGAAAAAATAAGTAAATCATCAGATCTCCAGTGTCCTGAGGATCTTTCAGTGTTGGAAGATAAATCGAAACAATCAGATGAAGAAAAAGTGCAAGAATCAAGATTGCGATTGTTAAGATTAATGGAGTTGAAAGATGATCGTGAAAAAGATGCTGAAGAACAAGTTGATAGTGTAAAAAGAGTGAAAGAAGATGATGAATCAGAGCCGAATCAAAGAAAAGAGAAAGGACAAGTAACTGAGAATGTTTCGCGACCTTTTTTACCTCATGGACTTTTTACCGGAAATCCAACACATCCTCTTCACCTGGCACACGTTGGACATCCGGTTCCAATGCCGTCGCATCTTCATAGTCTTGGGGGACATCCGGCTGAAGCTCACTTTAATGGTTTCTCGGCGTATTGTAAGTTCAACCCTTATTTCTACGTAACTGAAAATCAAATATTTCATTATAGGACATACAAAGTAAGATGATTGATTATTGATATTTGAAGCGCTGAGAATATTTAAATCATCATATCTACTGTAAAGTATATTTTTGTAAAAAAAATTTAATCCCAAGTTTTTGGCTATACAATAAGATATATCGTCACGACGAAAATCGTCTTATCGTATCAAGTATCATACTAGCATATACACGTTCCCTAAGATGGTCAGCATAGATTCATATATTCCGGATTTACTTTGAACATATTTCAAAGAATTTTTTTTAAAACTTATCCTGGACATTTTTTTCATGCATTTGTCTTTTGACAATGTTACAATTTATAATATAATTTCAATTGTATTTATAATTTATTGGTAATTTAATACCTTTAATAATAATTAAATATAAATAAATCATTAAACTGTTAAGTAGGATTTCAATTAATAATAAATTTTCAATAAAAGAAGCAATAAAATTAAAATTGCGAATAAAATCAGTATAATTTATAATATGTAGGATAATCCGATACGTGAAACAGAAACTTTCAAAATTTTTCTAGTATTTAATAAATTCTTCACTTAAAGATATCTAACTGAATGTATATTTGTAAATAAATATTAAGTGATTCACTTAATGAAAATAATTTATATCTCATTGATGATTAAATTCACTCATTATATATATCATATTACACTACATTAAATTACAATTAATAATAATCTTGAACAAATAAATAGATTCTTTTCAACAAGATTCTTCTATAACAGAATAAAATAAAATCTCCATCAGTACATAAAGAGAAATCGTTTATATTAAGAGAAATTATTTGTTTCTTTGATAATAAAAAAATTAAATTCATACCCAATTAAGAAATTTAGTTGCTAGAAGTGTTTGCTAGCTAATCTTTACTGTTATTTAATAAAAATTGTTCTTCAGATGAGAAATCTTCTTGCATTAAAAAATAAAAAATTGATAAAACTTCAACAATACTTCTGAATATACATTACATAACAGAGTAAATTTTTTTAAAACCCTAGAAAAAAATTTTGTTGTAAAAATTCCTGCAATAATAGTTAATTTCGACATAAAACCCATTTTTGTTATATTACCTTAATTTATGATCAATTAATTAAATAATTCAACGAGTTTTAGTTGGATGATTTCTGAGCTGGATTTTCTCAATTTTGATAGCTTAGTTTATTCTCTATTGGCATAGTAGCTCATTGTTATACAAAATAAACGTTACACACGCTCGCTTAGAGACGCGAGTCGCGGTAGTTGTGGGGTTTATCCCGCCTCGCCACCTCGCAGCGATATTGTGATGAGATTACTGAACGCAGTTGGCCGCATCTCAATGTTGAGTATAACACCACTTCCTCTTCTTCTTCCTCCTCTTTCTCTTCGGTTTCTGCTGTTATCACTCGACCATTCATCCCCTTCTGTAACACATTCAACAGTCATTCTCCATTAGTAGTTCTCTCTTGAAATCCGCGTAACGAAATTGGATGCTTCAAATGTCAAAATGAGATTTTAAGTACTTTCTCGAGGCGATTAAATGAAAAATTAACTACTTTGAGGTTTAAAAAAAAAAGTCTTTTTTTCACTAAAAACCGGATTTAATTCAAAATGATTTTTTAATTAAAAATAAATCTGTTCATAAAGGTGGGTAATATGAGACAAAGTAATCTTCATACATTACAGCGCACCTGATAATTAGGATGCGGGGCAAAACGATACCGGAAGTTAGTAAGCACGAGGCTTCGCGTAATCTCGTCAAGTGAAAATGGAAACCGGATCCTAATTGTCCCTCCTCGAACTAAGTAACCACAACAAAATGATATCAACTTGTGACACAGGATGTAATCAAAACGTTCTTCTTTATCACTTTCATCAAATTCATGTTACAATCCTTTTGTTTATAAAATAAAAATTATCACTTTTGTGTTCCATTCCTTCAGATTAGCTTCATTTAAAAATAACTAGAATTCTTATTGATAATTTCATCAAAAATATCATGAATGATGATCAACTTCTTGATTAATATTACCAAAAGCTTCTTCTGCAAAGTCATTTGATTTGTTTCAATCATCGAGTTGGTAAAACTCTTAGTAATTACTATTCGTAAATGGAGTAATTAAATTAAATAAATTAATGCTTTCAGCCTTGGTGAGCATATTTATATGCACATATGTATAAGGACGATACTTGAAGCAAATAGAGCCTTAGGTTAATAAGCTTTACTTTTGTCAAGTAGTTATTTAATACTTAACTGCAGATAATAAATTTGATTCCATGTTTAATTTATTCTAATTGAAACATTCATCCATCAATAATTTTTCAATACACTTTTGTATTTTAATTAAACCTGTAATAATAAAAATCAATTATTTATTACTATTTTAATAGACACAATTATGAAGAATTTATTATTAAATGATACGGTTGTCACCTTGTGAAACGATTTTCTGTTTAAATAGATAAATGCTTAAGAACATCTATCCCTAAATTAAACATCTCACTTATCCATCTTTATTTGGTTTAATTTTTCGTTTAAATATTTTTTTTAATAGACTCGTCAGATGTTTTCTTAATGATTATTTCCCATCCAATCCAATTATCCTCAGGCGATCACTTAATCATTGAAGTTTGTTTAGATCCACCCTCATACCCCTTGAAAACTCATCCAGGTGTTAGATGCTGGTGAGAACAAAAAGTAGATCATGCATGTGTTGTCTATAACTTCAATATTTTTCTGATACCAAAATATCAATTTTGTTCAATAGGAAATACTTACCAAAAAAGAGATTTTAAAAAAATGTAAATATTACAAAGTAAAAAATATTACAATAGAAGAAATAATGTTACAAGTTATTGAACAGCATAAAAATAAAAATAAAAATGAAAATTTACGGATGAAATAGTTGGATTTATTTTTTCCACTCTCTTTCTCTTTGAAATTCGCTGGACAGTCCTTCTGTTCGTTGGGTCGGTCGACTGTCCGTCGAATTTGATCGGATTACAGTTGGCGCAACAATAAACGTGATACACATATTCCAAACGCTTACTCGTTTTTACGCACCAATCAACAAAGTTTTCATAGAATTTGCAAACTAAACAATACAATAATACGGTGTAATATTTTAATATGAATTAATAATCTCATAATAAGCAATTTAAACTCTACAATTAATTTTGAATCATTTATCGTCATCATTATTATGTAGTCATGTAGCAATTATATCATAACAAAATATTATTCAATAATTATAATACTCACGTATTGACGTTGATTACATTGTTGTAGATGCCAGGAGAAGGAGAAAAGAAGGTAGACCAAGACGACAGCGAACAACTTTCAGTGGAGAACAGACTGCAAGACTTGAGTTTGAATACCACAGAGGAGAGTACATCTCCAGGAGTAGAAGATTTGAATTAGCATTATCATTAAAACTCACTGAAACTCAGATTAAAATTTGGTTCCAAAATCGTCGAGCCAAAGACAAGAGAATTGAGAAAGCACAATTGGATCAACAGTACCGGTATTTTTATTCTCCAATATAATAGTGCTTGCATTTATTTACTTTCTAAATCGCTTCTTTTAAATTACTTACACATGAACAATTCGACACGTAGAACATCAAATTTCGATACTTATGATTGTAATTAAACTGTTATTAATATCAAATCTCAACTTGGCAAACTGATTTTACTTTTAACATTGACATAACTTCATTTCTATCCATGTCTTACTCACACTCGTGAGAATATGCCTGCTGTAAATCAACTAGCAGGGTCTTCATATCAACTCAATCGAGTGCAACAATGTGGAATGTATTTATCGAAGGTTTATCCATCGTTTATTCGCATAACAAGTGTTTCTAAACTCTTGAAGTTAGTGAATCAGGTGCTTTGGGTGCTATTTGTCGAGCATTCTCAGGATTGTAATTTCTAAAGGCACGAATGACAAACAAAATGAATTGATTCTTGAGTGCGATACACCACTAAATAGCTTTAAGTGGGATTATACGCGTGAACAAAACTATTGTTACGATTTTTAGACCCCTCTTTTACGCATTTTTTTCATCAATGTTGCCAAGCTGAGATTACATTGAATTTCTTGTTAAATAAGTTAAAATATGTTCAGTCATTCATTTAAATTTTATTCACGCTTTTATTATCGAATTAATTTATGATGTCAAATAAATTCCTTTCATATTAGAATATATTTCTAATCCAATCTTGTTATTATAATTGTATGAAAGAAAAAAGAATCATTTTTTATATTAAAAAAAATTAATTAAATCATCGAGCAGTTGGAGACTTTGATCGATAATTCTAAATTAACAGAAATTATTAGTGAATATTACAAAAATAATTGAGTGTAAAAAGCATTAATAGATCAAATATGACAAGATAATAAGTAAAATACTTGTTAGGGGTCCGCGAGAATCAACATATGTTCTTGCATGAGTCTTTAATAGCTCTAATGTTTTCTATCTCTTTTCATTTTCATTCTTGCCGTGATAAACTGATTGAGGGTTCTAATAGACTCATCATTCTTTTATTTTCATGCTTGCATCGTATCTCTAATTTCCAACTAACAATTACAATAGAATAGATTATTCTTTAAAAAACGTCTAATGAGATCAGTTTCACGCAATTTAGTCATCCATTGAATACCCTCATTTTTTTGTAATCTATTAATAAATAAACATCATTTATAAAATTAAATTAGTAATTTTTTGTTCTGTTACAATAATTATTTATTATTTATTAATGATTAAAATTAAATTCTTACAGGAACTTTGCAGTTTCAAATGCTCTGACAAACTTTCGAATGTACACAAATAATTTTTGTGGTCTATGTCTATACAATGATGCCAATCGCGACTTACCCCACGCTTGTATTCCATATCGCCCTGATGTTATGACAACATCTTTGGAGCAAACACAACGAAGTAGTAGCAGTAGTTCTAGCAGTGAAACCTCAGAAAATCCACCAATTGCCGTGTCTCCAATGTAGTAGGACTAAGTTTATAGTCTTTTCTTAATTAATCTTACACTTAGCCAAAGATATTACATAATTTATTATTTGAAGAGTCAGGAGTTTATTTTTAATGTATTAATGTAATTAAGAATTGAATAAATGTGTTAAGGATAAGTTGATATGGTGTGGAATTGATTTGGTTAATCCAATAATAATAAGACAAGATTTTTATACTGAAAAAAAATCTTTATTAATTCTTTTTTACAAAATTAATTAATGACTTAAAGTTAATTTGTTAGTAACTTAACTAATAGTATAAAATTATTAATAGTTTAAAAATATTTTAGCAAGTATTATTATTAATTAGTATCCCTGTATAAATTCAGACTTTTTCAATCATATTTGAGTATTGTTGATTAATCGTAATTGTAACCAAAACACAAAGTTTTAGATAAAGGCATTAAATTTGAGTTCAATTTCACCAATGACTGTAATTTAATTTAATGTCAGGAACAAACTACACTTTCCAAAAGTCAATAAATAATTTAATATCAACAATAAATATATTAACTTCATACTGAATGTTTATTTCAATATTTATGATCTTTTGTTCATCATGAAAACATCAACCATTCAGTTAATTTGTTCCATACATTAATTTATGTACAAGTCATTGTTTATTGATAAAATATTTATAAGACTTTGTGAATTAGGTTATTAGAAAACTAATAAAATTATGCCTAAACCCTTGATAAACACTTACCTCTTTACATTAGGATGGCCAACCACCAAGAACAGCCATGTAGACTTTCTCTCTCGTGAGTACCAGGCCAAACGGTAAACCAGAAATTAATGAAAACGAAAGACAACAATTAATACAAGGAGAAAACGTAAAACTAAAAAAAAATAATTAAATAAATAATAAAAATTGTTTAAAAATAGCGTGTATGAGATATAAAATATTTGACTGACTTCTGCATATTCTATTCCCCCTCTTTGGCTCAATAATGTTTTGATTTGATAAATATTTATACATTTTTTACTGGAATTAATAAATAAAGGAATAAATAAATAAATTCTCTTGCTATCCTCAAATCCCTAATTAGTATAAACTCGATTGCATCTGCTCTTTGTCTAAAAAAAAATATCTATCAAGTCAATCAATTTCTCAACACTTGGAGTCATTGTCAAATCACGGTGAAGATAAAAAAATAAATACTAAAGCATTCATGCATTATTTCCATATAAATTCACGCAGTAAAGATTTGGTTTTTTTTTCGTATAACTAAAAATATTAGAATCAATCTAATTACTTCCTACCTGTATTTATTATGCTATAGAAGTTATCAAGAAGCCTAGCAAGACCTAGTCTTTGCTAGATTTCCTTTCTTTTCCTGCCTGCTTTCAGTTTCTTCCTTATGTCATATCCTAAAATCTCTTCCTATTTATTCTTCTACTGCATTGAAGAAAATAACTGTAGAATTTCGCGCTTTCTTTTTCTATTCTTCACTATTTTAATTAATAAATAACGAATTTAAAAACAATTCATATTCAAATAAAGAAAAAAAAAAATTGAAAAAAAAAATGACTAAAAGGATATCTTATTTCAAAGTAACAGATTCTTTTATTTATTTTATTGATGAGTCAATTCGACTGTAAATGAGAATTTATTCTCACAACCTCAAAATCCTGATGGACCTCACTTACATAAATTAATTGACAGTAATTATTCATATAAATTTCGAGTGATAAAATTCAATATAAAAATGAAAGAAGACACCCCTTGGTAGGAGGAATTTCTACACAAAATAGTGTAGATTCTAGATAAGCCTAAGCTCATTTTTTATTCTTCTCATCACAAAAACTGCACATCCCTTATCTACAAGACTGACAATGAAGGTACAAATAAAATCCAATGAAGAAATCAGGAATAAACTACAAAATAGTAATGATTGGTCGTTATACCAATGATTTAATACTGTGCTTACAAATAAATTACTGAGCTCTAGATTAATTGAGCGACACATTTTTTCCTTTTGATATACAAAAATCCGTATTTCATAATTTTGTCATTTATACATAATAAACAAATTTTTTTTTTTATTAATAAACTAAAGTTCACTTTAATCAGCTACGTTTTTCAACCATTTTTTGATTAAAACATGTATTCTACTCTGATGTTTGTCCTATAATAAACTACATGTTATTATCTCATTCAAAGAAAAAAACTTATAGCCTAATCTTTATGACAATAATTTTATTTTTGTTTTTTTTTTTTTTTTTAAATTAAAAATTGTCGTGGAAAAAGGTTCTGGTCATATTTATTATCTAGCTTAAGATATTACAACTTAAAAATTACGTGGTGTATCCTACATTAACACCTGAAAAATGCTGATACGTATTGTATTTTTTTCGCATTTTAAATTAACTCTTATCAATAATTTTTTTGGATTTTCTGTATTTGAAAAAGTTTCATTTTTATTTTCGCGCGCGTCTATTTCATATCTCTCCCTCGAATGGTCTTTATAATTTATTCTGTTTTTGATTTCTTTGGTCTACATAAGAATCATATGTATCTAATGATTAACTTCCACAATAATAAATAAATCTTTTTTTTTTTGTTAAAACCTAGATTCTTACATTGACCCGTTCGCTCATCACTCTCATACATATATATATATATTTAGTGCATTGACCATTAAAATCTGACATATAAACATTTTAATATCTCCCTTGTATTACTGAATTGTGATATTCACGCAGAAACACAGGATTATTTAGAGAAATAGGTAAAAATACGCGTAAGAATTAAGTTGTTCTATTTTTCTTTAAGTGACGCGATATTTTTTTGTTGTAAAATATGTATGTAAGAAGTTTTTTATGATACTGACAAAGGATATGATAGTGTAATAATAAGAAGAAATGAATGAAATAGAATAATAAATAGTTTCTGTCAAAATACGTCATGAATCGATAACTGTAAGACTGAATTGCAGACACGGCCTAACAAATTGCTCAGTTACAGAAATAATGAATTAACTGATCTATTTTTTCAAACTCGTATCTTTTCTGATGTGGCACTAGTGCTAATAAATAAAATACAGCGAAGAGGTTTACGCTAACAAATTAATTAGTATTCCCTCACTGCAAGCTATACAACTGGGTGTCGCTTCTTTCACACTGTTCTCCTGTATCTCCTGATTGTCCTGCCATGTCCTGTCTCTCTAGCCTTTTAGCCCTGCCTGCTCCACAACTAAACAGTACAGAAGTACTGGCGACTAGAAGACAAGTAGTAGGGGGTCACCTGAGGTTCAAAATTGACAAAATCTCGTTAGTTTTCGTTGGTACGCTACGATTACCTTTTGGTGGAGAATGATTAATCACTGTGTAAGACATATTTCTTTTAGTAACTAACTTAGTCTCTAAAACAAATGCAATCTACTTTTTTTAATGATAAATACAGTGGTCTACTCGCTTGTTTGCTTTCAACTTTAATTAAATAATGTTTAAAAGAAGTCAAAAATAAAACTTCTGCCCTGGTTTTACTATAAAGTAGTAGTCAGTGGCTGTTTAAATATATTAATAAAATAAAATAAAATTTATGTCCATATGGTTGATTAAGTACTCACCGATCGAGGGAGAGTTCTCTGGTTAACATCTTCTTAATATCTACGTCCGCCTCCACCACCCATATTTCCTCCTCCCATACCACCGCCACCACCTCCGTAACCTCCTTGGTTACCTCCGTAGCCGCCGCCACCACCACCGCCGGAGTTACCACCCATTGGTCCTAAAATAAAATATTTAGATTATCTTCTCTGAATGTTGAAAATAAGCTTACAATTAAGTTTAATTAATTACGATTTCTAGTTAGGTCATTCTTTTCAAATTCTGTTAGTAATTCATGGATTGAAAACGAAAATTTGCCAAAAGTATTTTAATAGTAATGATAACAAAAGAATTTCAATGAAAATGAAAGAATTTTGAATCAATCCATTGAAATGATCCATTGAAATAATAGAAGGTAGACAAAAGATCTCCTTCTGGTATTATTTCGAATGACAAATTAAGTTATTAATACTTGTTGAAATATTTAAAATAATTTCGTAGTTAGTAAAAAATTAAACGAAAAATTCTGATTAAAAAATCTACATTTTTCCAGCCTTTAAATAAAATTCTTCTGTTCAAAAATAACTTGTGCTGATAAAATTATACTACTTTTTAATAAGCTACTACTTTTGAGTATTACGCTTTTGTTAATAAAAAAAAAATGAAAAAAAATTGTGACTTAAAAAAATGGAGATGTTTTTTTTGTTAGAATGAAAAAAATGTAATAATTAATTTGTCAAACGCAATGTTTCATTTTTTTATGGTGAAAAGAGCAACCTTGCCCACCGAAGGGTGGCATCCATCTCGCGTCTCCAGATTGCCGGCCACTAGGACCCATACTAGTACCGTAGGGTGCTGGCCGTCCGCCTGAGTTGAAGTTATTTCTGACTGGACCACCGCCATAGCCTTGCTGGTAACCGCTTCCGAAGTTATCATTACTCCAATTACCGCCACTGTTATATCCTCCCTGACCACCTTGGCCTCCCCAACTTCCACCTGATTAAAAAACCGACAATGTAAGAAAAAAAAAAGCATATTAACATTTTTCCATGTTCCGTCATGAATTATACTTTGATTCTGATTTTCCCAAGGGCCATTACCACCCCATCCTCCTTGATTTCCGCCGTATCCTTGGTTGCCTCCGTTATTCCAATCACCACCGCCACCACCGCCGCCGCCACTACCACCACGGCCTCCCCAGTTTCCACCTCCTTGATTACCTCCTCTAGGACCACGTCCACCACCTTGGCTTCCACGGCCACCGCCGCCACCACCACCACTGGATCCTCCAGTTCCGGATGCCATTTCTGCTCTACTCAAAGCCTAAAATAAAATTTTAAATTAGTAAAATTCTCCATAATGATATTATTGACCTTGATAAATAGAGTAAAATAATTATTACTTTTTTGACATCAACATGTTTTCCACGGATTTGATGATTGCGTTGGAGGCAAATTTTGTCAACAGGGTCATAGTCATTAAATTCAACAAATCCAAATCCACGCTTTTTACCAGTCTCTTTATCAGTAACAATACTAATTGAATTGATACTGCCATAGCTCTGAAAGTATTGTCTTAAATCTTCTTCTTCATGATCATCTTTTAATCCTCCAACAAATAATTTTTTAACAGTAGCTCCAGCTTCAGGCCTTCCAATTTCTTGCCTTGGAACAGCTCTTTTAGGCTCAACAACTCGGCCATCAACGCGGTGAGGTCTAGCACTTTGTGCATCATCTACCATATGGGCTCGAGAATACGTAATAAATCCAAACCCTCGTGACCTTTTGGTTTTAGGGTCTTTCATTACTACGACATCTACGATTTCACCCCATTGCTCAAAATGTTTTTTCAATGAGTCGTCAGTTGTTCGGTAGTCTAAACCTCCAATGAAAAGCTTTCGAACATGTTCTGGCTCATTCTTGCCATCCTGAAAAAGAATGAATCATTGGTTATTGATTTTTGATGGCGACTATTCTACAAATAGTAATAGAAATATACAATTTTCTACATTATTTGAAAGAAAATTATATTAAAATGATATTAAATACAAATACATTAATTATTTAAATTATTTAAGGTATTTAGCTTATCAGAAAACTTATTTTGAATATGATTATGAGTATTATCATGGCTAAGTAAACAAGTATGCCGAAAAAAGAATTCTTATTCAAAATGGCCCGGCTCACAAATCGAGTGAATTGAAATGGAACAAAAAGAATTCCAAGTTAATTCGTATAGATTGGGAGTGTATAGCTTGATGCATATTGTAGTAATTGTAAAGTCAAATGTTCGTTCATAAACAGTTCAATAACAAATGAATGATTAAATAACACGTAAATATAGAATGGTATATTAACATGGCACTAAATACAATGACGCTATCGAAAGAGAATGAACGACGCCATTTTTGCCGCATCTCGAAATTACTTTTGTGACTTAAAATAGATCCATTGACTAGATTTTTCTTCTTAAAAGCGTTACATTATAAAATCTCTGTTAATATATTTCAAGATAATTTTAAACGTAATAAGCCAATAAAAATTGCCATTACTTAAATTTTTCAGTACAAAATATGTACATGCAGCAACCTTGAAAAAGTTTATTGCTCCAACTGGTAATAATCACACTTAATGCGAATATCTTTTAAGAATATTTGAAAAATTATTAATATTTCATCGATGAATGTATGGAAATATGCTTAAAAAAACTTTTTGAACAATAATTTAATTACTTTTAATACAAATGGAATATAGCTTGGTGCAGTTTGCCTGTATCGATGTGTTGAAAAATGTTGTATTAATATTATTGAAACATTTTAAAAAGTACAAATGAAAATATACTATAATAGATGTTTGAAATAAATGTTCACTCACCTCATGATCCATTTTAACCATTTTGGAGAAGTAAAAAAGCCGGCGTTTTCTAGATAACTAAACAAACACACGCTTCAAGACGCGACGCACTTCTAACAGAATGGCGATTGAGAGATGGCTGCTAATCGATTCACACGATTCACACTCCGTTGGTTTACTCAAGTGAACCCCGAAGACGAAGAGAAAGACAGAGAGTGACGCTGCGCATGCGCAGTTCACACAGACCATTGGAATGTTCGAATTGACATGCAGAGTCACCTAACAAAAAATATGAACTAAATTTGTGAATCTCTATCGATAAAGTCGGTACAACTTCACCAGCAGTCGTCGACCGATTGTCATCTATTGCATTTCGAGGTTTGGAATTTATTGAATGTGTATCAATAATGACATTCTTATTAAACCTTTTTATTTGTTTAAATAATTCATTTTATTTAAAATAACATGTTTTTATAAAATTCTAAGAATTTAAATGTAGAATTGTAAAAGGGCGTGCTGCATTGAAAATCATGTGTTATCTTTATCTTTGGTTGAATGGAGTTTGAGGTTAGAAGATATGACAAAACAGACGTGAATTTTCGTGAACTGTTTGTAGTCTATTCATATCCACGAGACGTTGTAATTTTAAAAATCATTATCCCCTCTTCGAATCCATTTAAAAGCCTACTTTCAAAATAAGCTCTTGTCCTATTTCAACAATTTTCTGTAAAACATTATTTTTTTACAATGGTAAGTGTTTCTCCATTTAATACAAAATTATTCAATCAATTTATAAATAAAAAATTCATCAGATATTTATTTAATATTTATTATTAAATAAAGCATTTTTTAGTAATATTAACCGTTTTTTTTTTACGGTTTATAAACTTTTCATCAATTTTTTCAGGCCCTCCTAGGGGCTCAGCTAGTCATTACGCTTGTAATGGTCAGCTTGATACAGAAACTGAGTCCATATTTTTCATTTGGTCGATGGATTTTATGCTCTACAGGGTAAGTTTCATAAAATAAAAATATAATATTATATTATCTTCGCTCAACCTATTTAATGATAGAAAAAAATTTCTGTTGAATTTCTATGTTCTTCAGTCTGACGAGGTATTTATATCCAACGGACCAGCAATTAAAATTATTAGCTGGGATACCAAAAGAAAAACCTAAAAAAGGAAAACATCAAGAAAATGGAAGAACTCCACAAACTTTTCATGTTCCTCGAAATTTAGATATTACATTAGAAAATGCTCAAGTTACTCATCTAGATGTGGTACATTTAAAATATTATTCAGAATTTCAGTGGTTGGTAGACTTTTCTGTCTACGCTGCATTAACATACGTTCTAACAGAGGTATGATAATTGATTGATATGTTAAAAAATTTCATTAAATATTTTTACATAAAATTATTTTAGGTTTACAACTATTTTTATCCTATCAAGGATGAAATCAACCTCAGTATGCTATGGTGCACTCTAGTCATAGGATTTGCATTGTATCCTTTTATACTAAATTTTAAAAATAATTTAAAAACAAAAAAAATAATAATCAATAGTTTATTCCTTAATATAATTCTAGTAAGATGTTAGTCGTGCTTTGGATTCAGTACTTTAAAGGTGAAGAAAGTGTTGGAGAAAGATCTACATGTATAGTAACAGGATTCATGTACTTGCTAATTGCAATGATGATTCTTATTGTCGATGAAAATACGTTAGAACTTGGGTTAGATAAAGCATACTCTAGTTTTAATGTCAGTGCAACTAAATTTCTTGGAGAACAAGGACTTTCATCTACGTGAGTGTTAATTTTATTTATAAATATAAATTAATGTTATTAATAAAATGTAATCACCAACATAAGAATTTATATTTTTTTAGTGGTCCAGCTTCAAAAATTGTTCTAAAATTTTTCTTAGCCGTTTGGTGTGGATGGCTAGGATCTCTATTCACATTTCCAGGGCTTAGAATGTCTAGAATGCACTGGGATGCATTAAGGTTGGTCATGATGATTAAAAATACAATAATGTTAATAAGAAAAAAAATACATTTACTAACATGTAATTTCTTATCACAGGTATTACAAAAGCAAAATATTTTTGGTTCTCGCAAATATAAGCTTTGTTTCTCCACTCTTTTTGGTATGTTTATGGATCAAACCAATCAGCAGAGATTATTTAACTGCAAGAGTATTCACAGGAATGACTGGACCAATGTATGTTGTTATTCATTATTTATTCGATTGAAAAAAAATTTCTTTCATTACACCAAGTTTATTTTCTGATTTCAGAATGTCAGTTGATGCATTTGAAAGTATGAGGCTGATTGCAGTTGTAGGAGTTGTAGTATTAAAGTTAGCTCTCATGCCTATGTATTTACAAGCTTATCTAAATCTTGCAGAACAAAGAATCGAAAATCAAAAGAAGGAAGCTGGCAGAATAACAAATCTTGATTTGCAAAAAAAAGTAAGCCATGAATACAATCAAGTAAAATGAATAATTGAACTATACAATTCTTTTAATTTAAACTAGTTTTAAATTATGGATTTATTTATTTTTTTCCTTTTAGATTGCTGCAGTTTTTTATTATCTTTGCGTCGTCACATTACAATTCGTGGCACCGTTATTAATGTGTTTATTTTTTACCTTCATGTACAAAAATTTAGGTAGGTATCATAGTTGGCTTTTACTAATTTCATAATTAATTAATAAATCATTCTTTTTTTTCATAAAGGAGGTTATTCATGGAATGGAGATGCTATGTTTCTACCATCAGATGAATGTTCTGTTAATGAAGAGTCTCAAATAAATTTGAATGTTAATACTGATGAAGTAATAGAAGCAACAGAAAAAACATTTACAGAGACTGCTGAAGACTTGCATCTAGCATTAGGCTCTTTGAAACAAGTAGGTTTTTCATCATGTTTCTTATAAATCGTTAAAATAATAATTTCCACTATTTTCTCTATTGTTTTATTTATTATTAGATTTTTACTACGGAAGTATTTAGAGGAGTATTCGGTCTAGCAACTTGGTGGAGTTGTTTCGCATTATTTGCAACAAATGCAATGGGAATGTTATGTCAATCCTACTTCTCGACTTCGTAGCCAACGATTGAAACTTCATAAGTGAAACAGACGCACATTAATTAATATATAGAATGATTTTAATTGTACATACTTTGAGTAAGCGACTGATAGAATGAATAATTTATCTGGAATAAATCTCTTTGAAAAATTGTTTATAAGATTGAAGCTTCCAAAGATTCAGTTGTTGTGTTCATTTTAAGTTCATTATTTCCTTCTGGTACATAAAATTGTACAAGAATTATCAAATAAGTGGTAATAACTCCAATGAACTGAAATAAAATTATATTTATCTGTATTTTGTAAATAAGTAAATACAAATGAAATACATAATTGTAAGAAAAGTCACTTACGCTTCGTAATAATTTATTGTTTATGACAAAAAATTCACAAGCACTAAAAGTGACATCGCAGTGATAAAGTTGTAATGAAAAATCAGAAATTTCACGTCTTAGAGAGATTTCAGTTGCATCAGCAGCTTGTGGGTTTCCAATGGAATAAAAATCATAAGAACGTGGACATCTTGAAATTCGTCTGTAAATTTAATTATAGTAAGAAATATTAAATAAATTTATAGTTAATATTTTATTGCAAAAATTACCTAGATACAATTCTACTCATTATTATTATTGTTTCGAATGATTCTTTACATGCTAAAGTACTTATAAAGCAAGTTACAGCAAGCTCAGCTGTATAAGTAAGCCATATAATATTATTTATCATTATAAACATATTTTTTCCTTCGACTACACCCATGTAGATTCTAAAAAGCGTGGCAACGACCATGGTGAATGCATTTAAAGAACTCAAAAGTAGGTGGACTCCATGAATATTATTAACAAACCTCACAACATCGCAAATATCTGCAATTATTATGACAAAAACCGTCAATTATTACTCTTTTTATTGAACAATCTAATCATCATATTATTTCTTTAAAACGAATATTTATAACTCCAAGCTTGAATTCTTTTATTCATGTACAAAGTTCAGTAAGGATATGTAAGTCTATTACATAAGAGACTTTATTAAAAAAAGAAAGTTTTTAATTAAAAAAAGCAATTTAATAAAAATGTTTAATAAATATTTTTTCAGCTCTAATTATTTTACTTTATTGTACATTTCATGACTTGTCGGCAATTAACGACATTAAATGATAAGAATAATAAGGATAATAATTTTAAGAATAATGATATTGAATTACAAATTAAATTAATGAATAATAATTATTCAATTAAAATACCATGATGAACTTCACGAACTCGGCGAATTTCTGTAACTATCAATGCAGCAGTATATTGATCATTGATTTGATTAATTCTCTTATTCACCGCCTTGAATTTGCAGTAGATTACCAAAACAATCAGATCGAAACTAAAGTTCATTGCAAGTGATTGAGCAATGGTATGATATAACAATAGATCCGATGCAAAGAGATCTTCTGGGCGGATGTAATAGTAATAAACTGCATGACAAACCAGAGAAAAAGGTCCTAAGACAATAGTAACAATAAGTGAGAATATTTGAAATTTTTTTACTAATCCATTGTCATTTTCCATTCCATACTGTTGCATCTTTCTGTCAATTATTCTAATTTTTTCAATGAATATAGACCATTTTGAATATTGCACAAGACCGTGGAATACATACCAATAAGATGATATGTAACAAACAACTTTGTTACAATAATACATTATTTTAAATGTATCACTTTTAAAAACACTTTCGAAAAAAAAGAAATCTATCGCACCGTAAACTACGATTGTTGTGCAAAGACAAAAATTTATAAACCGTAAAAAATATGTTATTATTTTAGAAAATCCTGGAGGCCGTGTAATACCAACCCCCAGTAGTGATGAAAGCACATTCCAAGGTTTTAAAATATTTTCAATAGACTTTGAGTAAGTATTTCTTGGGATTTTTATATTTAATAAGTCTTCACTCGAACCCATTTTTCACACTAACGTTTTTGGAGTTTGTGAATTTTTTGTCGCATTACATTCTTCAGAGTATGAATATTTCTAACTTATGACTCGTAGTTAGAGTGTGTGAAATGTGTTCACATTTCTTTTATTATTAACAGATAGCTTCATTCTTCCTAATGTAAATGATTATCATATGAGTTTCTTTAATAATATATAACCTCACGTGTAATAAAAAAAAGTACTCAAAAAAGTCAGAACTTTCTTTTTGATGTTATCTTCTTTAGATTAATATTTAAATAAATTTCTGTTTAAATGCAAAAAATTCATTAAACTGCTCTGTTTATATTTATTTTTAAATTTCTCAACATTATTCTTTCCACATTAGCAATGATTCATAATAAATTGACAAAAAGATTATTTAATATATATTTAAAATTAGTAAATAAATATTATGTACATATGTTGAAGGTAAAAATTATAATTACGACATTGCCAGGGAAATTTTTTTGAAATATTCTTATTTTTTCAATGTCATTTACAACAATAAAAATCAATAGCTTAACAATAATTTAAAAATTTCATGCAAATAAATTTTTCATTCTTATATGAATTCATTACATAGCTATCATATCTAACATAAGGCGGAAGCCTTTATTAAATATTTTTTATTTTAGAAACAATCATCATATGATTTTAGATGATGATGATAATCATACATATATAGCAATACATAAATTATTTCTTATTTTCAAACATGTAAACGTTAAAAAGGATTTTTCGAGTGATGTATGAACTATAGTGATTCTTTTTATTAATAAATTATCATTTATTATTCATATGTTATTTATTTAAATTGTTTCTTAACAGGCAATATCTTAACGTTCCCAATTCTTCTAGCCTATACTCCTCTTATATACTTTATTAATATTTTTTTTTTATGGAAACAGCTTCAAATCTGATAATATAAATAATCTTTGCTTAAAAATCAGTGTGTGCGGAGAAAAATGGATATAAGTTTTATTTATGAGACACGATTACGTAGTTGATATGTTATAAATGAATATCGAAAGTTTTGATGATTCCGTTAATGAAAGTTAATCATTCATTTCTGTTATTAATATTATTTAGTAATTATCATTTGAGTTGACATTGAATTCACGCAGTCAAGAACTATTTAATTTGTTTTTATAAACATTCTTTTTATATAAATCGGCTCGTATCGTGCCTCTATAAAATAGCTCTTATATAATTAATTTAAACATTAAAAGAAAGGCTAGATTCCATAATAATTTCACTAAAATTAACATCCACATCGCCTTGACATACTTACACATTTTGGTAACTTACATCAGTTTATTAACTTTTTTTTTTGCTCATGGAAGTTCCGACGACTCAATTAAAAGTTGATTAAACTCATTAGGTAATTCGAAGTGATGATTTTTTCATGAAGTTGAGCGAAGATGACAGACTTGAGTCTTAATTTATTGGAATTTAGCGAATTAATACGAACTGAAGATGATGGGCTAGGGCTATGATTCAAAAATGTCAACTACATTGGAACATTTCTCGGCGTCATCTTTTTTAAAGGCTGATGTATTCATGGTAGAAGCAGTAAAGGCCGTTTCACTTGAATTAGGCGTTTGTTTTACTGATACTCCAGGCATTAAAGCACTCGTTGACATCATCGTTAATGATGTTTTTTGAGGTAAAATTTTCAATTTTGATGTACTAGGCATTCCTGAGGTTGGAGATGTTGTTGAAGTTTGCTGTTGAATAACAAAAATAAATTATTATTAATCTTCACATTTATAATAATTTAGGAAAAAAATTTATTTTCAAATATAAAGCAAAGCTTTGAAGCTTTATATATTAAGAAAATGAATTGTAGTAAATGATTCCAAACAAAGCTAAAAAATGTGCAAATCAAAAAAAGCTTATCGTAATTAGAAGAATTTAGCCGCTTATACAAATTTGTACGTATGCTTTCGTGTTTAAAATATATTTCTTTTAACGGGGTGAAATAAGATTGTAAAAGTACCTCATTATAAAATGCCTCTTTGCCTTCTTCAACTGAAGGCAAAAGTTCATCCGTTGAATGTGGCGTTCGTGGACTCGGAGTTGGCGCACTTTGCTGCTGAGATTGCTGTTGCAATTCCTGTTCTCGCTGTTTAGCAAGCCTCAATTCCTGAAGAGCCTGCCTCTGCTCTTTTTCATTCCTCTCTCGCTCTAGTCTTCGTGCACTGTAACTCCTTGCTGATGAGACCGAGCTATGAATTGATGCCAGGCTTGGTCGTCGAGAACCTGTCGAGAGAAAGTGATCTAATATAATACCATAAAACTCCAATTGTACATCATAAATTATAATTAATCAATTCATGCACAGTAAAAAAATTTTGTGCATACATTTTTTTTTTTAATTATTTACATTTCATTATTTTATTTATTGAATAATATGCTAGTGTAAGCTGACTCTTGATAAACTATCTTCTTTTAGCTGTGATTTTTTAATGCGCCTTCACTCTAATATTGAATATTAAAAAAAAAATATTCTATAAATAGCTAGTAAAATATTATTCAGATTTACTAAATTTACACAATATCAATCACTTTGTAGTATCATCATTACCACTATCAAGATTGTTTCATTATCATAGTTATCAGCAAAATAGCCTGATGTATCTACTTGATCCATCTTTTGAAAAGATTTAATTATACTTTTTTAGCAGAATAAAGTCTATTATATAATACACAATTCATTGTCATCATAAATTTTTTTACTGTGTATCGTAAATATAATAATTATTTTTTAATTAAGAAGCTCAATAGTCTAGAAGCTTCTATAAAGCTTGAATTGATGAAATACAGTTGAAAACGAAAGGATTAGGTTCCATGCTAGGTATGTATACTTTCATTTGAGTAGTCTACATCTTTTATGTACTTTTTAATAGGTATTAATTTGAATGCAAACATGCAGTAGTCTTGAGTGCAGCGAGTTAGCTATAGTGCACGATTGATCGGTGTTTCTTACCAACATGTTATCACTTTAGCGATATTTATTGTATGAAGTAACCGGCCGCTGCCATCTTGCTGACTCGTAAACACATTTACTTGGTATAAATTCATGACAATGTGCGTATGAAATTTATTTATGATGTGATTCACTATGAAAATGACTCAGTAAACAGATCTGAGTAGATGAAAGTTTGCTCTCATTTTTCTTGAGAGTTAGCATTCAGGTCTCTTAAGAAGGAAATTGAAGTAGATAAGATGGATCGATTTCAAAGTGTCAATAACTTGTGTATGGAGCTTCATACATAAAAAAAGTTATTGAAGAAATAGAAATATTACAGTGTATTCTCTTACGATATGTTACATAAACGTGGCCAGAAGCCAAGATATCTTAGAAGTCAGATATTCTATCGTTGTTTCCGGCGAAATGTCGGAAGGAAGTTGAGTATTGTGTTTTCAAGTAATGTAGTCATGTGTTTATCGTTTGGAAAATTGAAAATAAAAATGAGAACAGAATGTTAATAAATTATTGTTATTATTTATATTCATTTATCGGTATAAATGATATCATCTAGTGAAGTCGATAGAAAATATCAGTTGTTTCATTTGTAAATGAGTTATATATTTTAATAAAAAAAATTAACAATCTCATCAATAGTTATTTCCCATTATCCAGATAACTTCATTTTCAAATTTTCAAAGCTCAAAGTTTTATTGATTATCCAATCTTTTGATATTCATACTGACGATTTTCTAAATCGAGCTTTGAACGATAAGTCTATAAAATTAACGACTTTAATGCTGATATGATGGATTTTTTATGTATTCTTAAATGATCTTCTACTCTAATATCGTCAAGGTCAAATTTAATATCAGATGATGTGTTTAGTTTTATGCAAAATCAATACATCTTAGTTACTTGGATAATAGAAAAGACTGATAATTTTTTTTTTTATTGAAAATATATAATCTCTTTTTCCAACCACAGTCATCAGTGAAAAATTTTGAATAAGATAATAAAACAAAAGGAAAACATCAAAAACACAACGGCACAGATAGCACGATCAGACGACGAGTAAACTTGTGCGAACACAGAAAAGGAGGATTGGCGAACACAAGCTTCAGTCGACGTAAAAAGCCCTCAAACGATTTATCAGATAAATCAATAGTGCAAAAGAAGGAAAGCGAGACTTTCCCGAAAGCGCGCACAAGGAGAGGACAGGATAAACGAACGTCTGGATGTGAGAGTAACTTTATCATCTACCAAGGCCATGAGAGGATCCCTCAGCAACGTCACTGAGAGTACGTCGATGCTTCTTTCCTGCTGCTTGAAGATGACACGAAATAAGCAAGATGGCGGCGGCACGAGCCGCACCTGCTCGAGATGCTGGAACAAGAGGTCCACGACTTCCACCACTGCTCGGTCTCCTACTGAAGGACCCACAGCTCAAAGGATTCCCATCACTTCTCTGGCTCGAACGTGATGAAGGTCTTCCCGAAAGTGTCAAAGGAATGCCTGAAACGCAGTTCCAGGTCTCAAAGGATAACAATAAGTCATATCTCTCCTTGAATGTTTCTGAATCTTAGTATTCCTTATATGGTTTAAATTTTCATGACGCAACCCAACAACGTGAACCTGAAGATCGTTCTGTTTTGAATGTATTCATGTATGGTAGCAAAATCAAGAGAACTTGTAGTTCAAGCTCACTCGGTCATAGAAAATGTATCAAGTCATGCAATAGAAACAGGTTTCTTTAAACAGTGTCAGAATGGTAGTCAAGAGCCTCATTGAACAATCCTGAGGCTGCATGTTTCATTAATAGGACTTGAAGTTCAAGTAATTGGGTTACAGAGATACTTTAATGTTTAAGAGATTCTTTCAGAAAAGGTATTATTGTGCAGAAATGTCTTGTCCATTCGAGCACGTCCTTCGCACTAAGCGAAGACTATTACTCGTGCAATAATGTTAATGTAGGATACAAAGACATTAACTATACATTTTATGCTAGTATTATTGTTATTAGGATTATCCGACAATTATTATTAGCAATACACTCACCTGTATCGCTGGAGAATAGCATTGGAGGTGCATGATTGGCGTTGGCGTAATGTCGAGGTCTTGTATATCTTGCTCGACTGAATAATTTCAACACAAAGCATAACAATCCTGATAATACCGCTATCCCAGATGCTATGCCCAAAAGCGTTGGTAAATCAGTGGATATCAGCACCAAATCTGCCATTTGCAAAATAAAATCATTTTATTGACTGCTAAATTAGTTTATATGCATTTTACGATCTTGATAAGTTAGAAAATTATCAGAATAAATACTTTCAAATCTGATATCAATTATTTTTTATATTGTACACTGATGAGGTTCATTTTAGAAATTTTAGTCAATGAAATATTTAATTTGGTAATTTGTAGTTAAATTGAGCATAAAATTGCTTTATCTGATGTTATTAATATTAAGAATAAATTTTTTCAAGCATTAATAATACGCTTGGGAATAATCTTAAGAAGGTTATTTCACGGATAAAAATATAAGAAAATTAAAAAAATATATTCAACTGCTGAAGTTTATATAATTATTATACAATTAGCCAAATTTTTGCTGACTTAATTAAATGTTTTTATTGTGTTCAAATAATGAGTTTAAATGTGAATGGTTGTGAGAGAAATAATTACAGACTACTTGAGAATTCATTGATTCATAGGTCTTAAAGTTTTTTACCACCAGATGAATAGTATCCTCTTATACTCATTATTTTGATAAATTTATTCTATTAGCTTGATTTATTATTGAATTACTCATCAATGTACAATTGTCATTGCTTCAATCATCTCAAGTATACTCGAAAGTTAAATCTTGTGTCAATGTGGTACCAAAGAAGTAAAAGGTTAGCTGAATAAATTAATGAAGTAACTAATGCAAACAAAAGTTGAGCTGAATTTTCAACAACCTTCTGCACAAAAGACTCTTTTGTTCGGTCTAGCAATTGCAACTTTGTGGTAACCCTCATCGCAATCACAGACGGCATTATGTTGGACTTGAGTACATGTCGCGTGCTGATCTGCGAATGTGCATGTTGCTCGGTAGAAACATTGTTCTCCAAGTTTTTTCGCTAAACAGATTAAATTTTTTTTATAAATAAAATAACCAGATATTTATAGTAGTTCTATAATTACTGTTATATCGTTTTTTTTTAGAATATTAAATATATAAAATGATAAAAATAATGATAAGATACATACGCTTTGCACAACCTTTCGTTGGTCCAAGTCTAACTGGATAGAATTTTTCACATTCACATAAACCGGTGACTGTGTCGCAAAACACATGTTGTAGATCCGGACTGCACGTGTTGTCGCATGGTGCACCGAGGTACCGTCCCTTCTCTGTAATTGAAATCGGTCGATAGAAGTTTATTTAGTTTTACGTGACTTACATCTAACAAAGCTCGTCAGAAAACATATCCGACGTTGTATGACTTTATAGGCTGCAACCTAATTTACCCTGGCATTTAAAATCAATAAAATCCAGTGTTTAATTCTTGAGTTCATTTACACGGTTTACAAAGCATCTCTATTTATTATTCCAACTACATTCGTCCCAATTATTATTCTTACCAAAGAACTTCTAAGATTCTTATTAATGGTATTCCAAATTCCAGTTTATGTTTATTGTGTAGGCTTGATAATTCATTGCACTACTACTAGAGCAACTTCAATATTTATCAAACAATTAAAAACAATTTTATCGATCTGATGTAATGTTGAATAAATGTTCAACGACAATAGTGAAATATTTTCAGAATAATTTTAGTGTAATGATATTTATTTAAACGACAGAGTGAATTACAAGGAATAATAATTTAATGAAAATCGTAATTTAAATTTGAATTTCTGCTTATAAAGCGAAAATGAGTTAAGTTTGTACTGAAAAATCAAGTACATTGTTTAAAATAGGATATGTTATTAAATGAGTTTCTTGTTTTAGTTGGATGCAAAATAAATTTGATAAATTTAATACATAAAAACAGTAAGAGAAAGCTTAGAATATTGATTGAATTTATATTGATGACTGGACTTTACAAGCAAACTGATGGTTAATAAGAACATTAATCTTACAGAAACTTTAGTGATAAATCCAGTTGGAAACTCTACTGTACACCAGTATCGTAGAGTTGATATTCGTCTTCCGTGAAATCAGAGAGAAATTCTTGATTATGTAACTCAAGTTGTTGATGGTCATGAAGGTCTGCTTGAACGCAGGTTATTGAATATACCTCCAATGCCATATTACGGTCATTCACATCCGGTATAAAACATTCAGAGTATCCCACGTGAGATAGATTACTCAAAGGTGACAAAAGATATAGAGTCACGCGAGAATTGATTTAGAATTTATCTATACTATATCACTTTTGCGCATTTCCTAGCTCTTTAAAGTTCTAATCAACTCGACCCAGTTTTTTCATGATTTATTATACACATTTCCTTTTCCTACATCATCACAATTATTTAGCACTTGTGCATTTATAATGAACAGAAATAAAGCAAAATCCAAATCAACACTTCACAGTGCAGCAATGAAATATTACCTGTCGTATTCGTCTCGAAGTAATCCTCATCGCCGTTCTCGTCATACGACATATCCGTGTCTTCGTCATAGACATTCTCTTCTTCAAGGGTGGTAACCAAATTTCGCTGGTGATCAACTCCAGGAGCTAACACTTCCCGGCGTTGTCTTGGCTCAAACTCAAAGTTCAGGTTGTCCAGGAGTTCCTGGGCAGCGTTACAACTTGGTCGAATTAACAGAATGATGCACGTAAACCAGCAACAACAACAGTAAATTAATTTCAGGGCGAACGGAAGTGCGCTCATCGCCCCCGCGGCGTGAGTCTATCCCCGAAACCAACCATCGGCGATGCATCCACATCTTTTACCCTCTCCGCCGTTTTGGCTTGCCATTGCTTACACCCTATATAAGATCAACTCACGGTGCGCACACGTTCGCCGTCAGTAAAATCCCAAGAGAGCATTCCCACAGCGCTTGCCCGGTTCTCAGGATTCTTCTCATCCAGCGCCACCGAGTGACTCGACCTACAACTCCATCGAGAAGGTACAACCACCTCTGTGTGCTCGAAACTGTAACCCTTCAGCTCGACCAAATCGATTTGGTCGCGCAAAAGAACGGGATCAGCCAGTCAGGGACATGATAGTTTATCAGTATTCATTTACTCTGGATCAATAACATAATGTTCCACCATCGATTTTTAATAAATTTTGTTTAGAAGCTTGTTATCTGACTTGACTTTAAATTTACAGCTAGCTTTAATGATTATTTACATCACATGCTGGAAGACAATTATGGTTAACAGAGATGCATTTTTGGGAATTACTTTCCTGGTTAGAAAATATTCAACCAAAGGTAATAAGGAAGACAATATTTTCCTTATTATTAAGGATGCTGTTTAGATAAAACAGTGTGGTTTAGATCACTATAATTACTTTTATGAGTCGTATTCTTACCTATCTATGGCGGGTAGTATATTATATTAGCTTAATCTGGTTACCAAGACACGACCAAAAATTATGTAAGATGGACAAGTACTAAAATTTAGATCAATTTAAATTATTAATGAAATTTTATTAAAATAATAAAGCATAAAATATTTATATAGATAATTATTTATAACTTAATGACGTATTGATTTTTATTCTATTCATCCGTAATTTGTAATTTGTAAATCCAATTTAAAACCACTCTTAATTAGATGAGAGCTAATAATATCACTTGATTAAAATTATCATCTCATCTATTTTTTAAATTTCACTTTGTTGTATATATAAATTGATCATGCAGAATAAATATCTCTTTCAGATAATCCTGATTCTTTTTACAATAATAATTAATTTTAATATCAATCCTATTAATTAACTACTAATATTAATTCTCCGCATCAGTAATTATTTTTTGGAACGCACCGTTGGCTACCTTTGACACTGCGATCTTTGACATATCCCGGTTTACATAAACACAAATTAGGACCTGAACAAACTCCATTAGGACAACCACCAGGACATCCGGATATACATCGGGTTCTTGTGGGATCATTTGGATCTGGTAAATAACCATCGTTACAGCTACATACGTTATATCCCATACAAACGCCGTTGATACAAGGACGATCACAACCAGGGTTTGGTGACTGGTTGATTCCTGGTTCTGGTGCTTCGCAAACATCTGAGTAAGAATTCATATAGTAGCCTGGTCGACATCTGCAAACTCCTGGTGATTCACATTCTCCATGATTACCACAATTCTTTGGACCACAGTAGGGCAGACATCTTTTAGATGAACCATCAGGATCATAATATCTGAAAAAATCAATTATTTATTCATTAAATTGTTGAATGACAAGTTTTAGTTGGAGTTTTTTTTTTTTAAATAGATTGATTTATATGAACGACACTGACCCTGAATTACATCGACAAACGCCAGGGGCAATACAGTGTCCATTGCGACATTCTTCTTCACAATCAGGAACGCATTTCTGAGAGACTTCATTCAATGTATACCCAGGTTTACACACACATGTTTGTGGTGCAATACAATCACCATTGATACAACCACCTGGACAATTAGGTCGGCAATCACCCATTGGTGATCTTTCCCATCCTCGATTGCATTCACACACATCAGGTGTGAAACAGTAGCCATTTGGACCGCATGGTTGACGACATATGGGTCTGCAAACTCCTTCTATTAGCATCCAACCTGAATCACAGGTACACATTCCTCCAATACATCTTCCACCGAAGCAGTTCCCGTCACAATTAGCTATTTCACAGCTATTAGTCCTTTGATTTTTAATGTAGCCATCACAACAGTCAAGAATTGTTATCCATTCACTAGAGTAAGTATTATTCCAAGACTAGAAATAGAAATTGGCTAATTTATATTGAAATGATTGAAAAAAATATGTTAAGTGAAATAGAGGATTTATGTGAAAACTTACTTGTTTGACACCTTGATTATATCCGCCTCCAACGTGACTTCCATTAAATTGAGATCCGGCATGGTGATATCTATTATTCAATATAGATTACGGAATATTATTGTATTATCTTCCTTCATTGAATTATCTAAAATCTAACTGCACGAGTTGATGTATTTTTTACTACCGATACTGGTTATTTATTTTAGATACCCACGAAAGGTCGAGGTCACTCAAACTCTGCTTCAATTATCTTCAAGTTATTCTCGATCAAAGCGTAGTTAAATTGAACTTTATATAAAGGATTGAGCGAGGATATTGAATGATAAAAAATGTATTAAAATTTCTTTTTAAAAATTTTATCCTTAGAATTATTTAAATCTTGACATCATTTATAATATTGTTTATTTATAAAAGAAATTAATATTAACAATTTTAAAATGAAAAAAAAAAATTAATTATAAAATATTTATTGAACATAAATCAATTGCTTAGAGAACCTTCGGGTAAACAATTACTCACGGAACCCTTTTATAGCAGTAGCCAGTTCTATTGGCAGGTTGAGAATAAGGCGATTGTTGATATGACTGATAATGACCTCCTTTGATGCCGACTTGAGCATTGGATATAAAAATTCCAATAGAAAAGTATATAACACTTAATGCTACTAATCTAAACATCTTTGTTCTTAGCTTGCTATAAATGTACTGATTGTCGTATGCAATAAATTAGATTTCTTAATTACGTCAAGATTACATTAAAAAAAAAATGTTAATGATAACACCCAACTGATTAACATTTTTTGATCTACTGAGTATGACAGAAAATTATAATAAATAAATATATAAATTCATCATTGCATAGATTTTCACATATTGAATCATAGAAGTGTACGCTTGACCTACATTCTTTCTATTCAATGTTGATATTAGATACAGACATTTTAATTAAGATGAATACTTCGATTAGTATTTGATCCAATTAAATGAAATGGCTTTAAGAAAAGAGAGTATTGTTTTGTTTATAAATCTTGGTACTGGTCACTTTTAGAATTACAAAAATAGAAACTAGTAAAAAATACTATTATATAAAAACCTGTTGAAGTTAATCTAACGAACTTACTAAAATAGCAATATCCTTCATAATATTTATAGTCATTAAAGTTTATCATGTTACCTATTTGTAAAATATAAAGAAGCTATTGAATATAATGTAATAAATACAGAAATTACAATCTAATTTGTGTAGACATATACAAAAATCTTAAACTTATAATCCTGAATGATGATAAATATTGATTATGATATCCTAACTAGTTGTAATGGCTTAACATGTTGTTTTCATGATATTAAGATTTTTCAACGTTAGATTTATGATCGCTTTTATCGTCAGGTGTTGACTGAAGTGGAATTTCATCGTAAAGATGTTCACCTTCAAAGAATTCCAGTCTGAGCTGAGAAAATGCATTGATTGATAGTGGCTTGTCATATTGAGCTTCCAACAGTTCTGTAATAATCAGATTATATGTATCGATATAATTGAAATTACATGCTACAGACGTGTCGAGTAAAGAGTTTCCGTTCTCGTAATACGATAAGTGGAAAACGATATACATTAAAGAAATGGCGTAGTTGTTCCAAGAATTTCGCGAGGTTGGCACTTTCCTCATTTCAACTTTCCAATCGATAAGATCAGAATGATCATTTCATTTTCATCAAATTTTTCTTTTATTATTCAGTTCAGATAAAATATCTAACTTACATATTTATTTCCTGATTTAAAGCTCTTTTATTCAATTTCACTTTCTATACTTTTCCTCTCTAAAAATTATTTTATTACGTATCTTTCCAGTAGTTTTAACAAAAAATAAACATTATAAATTAATAATCAATTAATCCATGTAACGTTACACTCTAATGGAGCTAATCTTCATGACAATAATTACATTATCACGTAAACACCTGAGTGATATATGAGAGAGAAGCACAGAAATGGAGAAAATTAGATTATAGCTAACAGGTCAATGACCTACGTTTATAAGTAGGTCAAGTTCAGAAATCCGAATGGAGTCGGAAAAGTGCGAGGATGACTCAAGCATGCTAAACCACACCCTAGAAAAAAAACTATACAGAGTAGCTCTTATTTACATAATGCTATTGACAATTTTTTATTTACTTTACTCCATTATAAATTTTATTATAAATATTAAAATTTTTGTTGCAAAAAAATGATTAAATAAATAATAAGTTATAATAACATATAATTAAAAGATTATCATCATTGGTTGTATATCGAATTGATTTGTACATCTAATATTTCATTATTATATTTATCTTTTTTCAATCATAATTATACCTATGATTTAATCTTAACATCCTTTGAAAGAACTTCTTCGTAAGTAGATAAAATCAAATATCCTTACCTTGAGGAGTATTGAAGAAATGAATGTTGGGATATTGATTGTAATAAGTAGACTCTCTTATTATTACATCATTTATTCTTGGCGATGTAAAAGAAGGTTGTAGAGGAATACTCTTTGGTGTCTCTGTAACATTATGATATGTGAATAATTCATTCGTTAATTCTTTCATTTATTTTGTGACAGTTCAATGAGTCAAATAACAATTCAAATGAGGGGGCTTTTACGAACGGAAGTTTATAATTTACTAATCAATTTTTTTTTCCTCTATCTTTAATAGAAGCTACCCAATTAGTGTAAATGAAAGCGAACGGTACCAAATTTCTTTCATTGAAATATATATTTTTATTTGTGTTAATGACATTCAATATTATAATTTTTTTAAACTTGATTTCTTATGAAAATTTAACTAATTTTTGAAGAACATTTAAGATTATTAGTTAAAGAGAAACATCAAAACATATTTTATCTGATGGAAAAAAAGTTATTTGATATTTATGTTCTTATTTACAATTTAACTTTATCAAGTAATTTACGAATATTTTTAGGTGTTTACTCTTTACTCTAAGTATTAATCAACGTGATACAAGGACATATTACGATAGTAATATAAACTCATACCAGAAACTCGAATTACCTATAAATATTATTACAATGTTGAAACCACTCTCGTCAATCTACATTACAACAACATTTTCATGTTTAATACACTGTGAAAAAGATAGTTGTAAAAAATAATATAGAAAATTCTGCACAATAAATGTAGATAAACATACCATAATCTCTAAGAGGTGTGGGTATTTCACTGGTACGGCATATAGGATTGATTTTTCCTTCATTTCCCTTTTCATTTGGCAATGTGGTAGGACGTGTATCCGGTCCCTCAAGGTCGTAAATCGACAGTCTTATAGTTTTACACAGTTTAGTTCGTATGTGGCGAATAGAAAAGAGTGCTATGATTGCTGACACGAAGGATATTATTGATCCAATAATGATAAAGATGACCATGTTTGCTGGCGCAGGGATCTGGACCTTTTCAGCAATATTACCCAATGGACCTACACATTCAGAAAATTGGTTGTATTGATAAATTTGGTTGAGTTGAAAAGATATTTTCCGATGATTAAACATACATTTAAAAGACTTTCATGATTGATAAGAGGAATATCGAGTTTAATAAAATTGTTGAAAAATTCTATTACTTTTGTTATTGGAAAGTCCGAATGTAATAATCAATATATCAGTAAAAGTTTATTTAATGTACTTTTTGAGTAAATACTAATTTACTTTTATAATAAATATATGCTCTCTCAATGTTCAGTTTAATTGAAAATATCGGTGTTATCATGAGTTTTAAATAATTTATATTGTAAAAATGTTTACATTTGAATATTCATTCGTTGATATAATAGATAAATAAAGAATTAATATGTATTTGTATTTTATTTTCCACCTTTTTTTTTTATTTTTAACTCTTCTACATATTTTGGTATGCGTATTTGGTAATGTAGGTCAATAAAACTGGTACTAGCTAAGAGTAAATATTTACTAGTTGTTAAATTACATCAAAATGAAAATATTTCAATTTTTCTGAATTTTAAAGCCATATTAAAAATCAAGCTTTCTTAGTTTTAATGTAAAATTTTACAACATTTATTACTTTCCAATAATTCTAAGGAATAGTTTTAATAATATTTTATGCTGTTTATTATTCAAAAATATATTCATTAAGTACCTGTTGTTACATTCAACACACTTGTGTTATCATTCTCCGTATTTAATTCATTAGCTACCACCGTTTCCATCGTCGACAGTATAATTTCATCATTCACTTGGGTGTTATTTACTGCTTCTTTATTTGTAACAGAAAAAAATATTAAATTGATTTAAATCAAAGGTCATAAATATTTCTACTTTGTAACTAATTTTTTTTGTTCTCAAGAGAAAGTGAAAAAAATTAGCATTAAACCTGTGCTTACTCACCCAGCAGAACTTCTGCAGTGTCCGTAGGTTCCAGAAAATTAGCATTGATTACATCATTATTACTCAAATTATCATAATTATCCAAAGGAAGGACAGTAAAGGGAAATAGGAAGGAATTTTCAGTTAAATCTTCGTGTGATTCATCAATTGATTCGACACAAGCTCCTGTTTCATGATGACAGCGAGATCCATTGGTACAATCGCATAAAGTTGAACAATTTACACCCCACTTCCCTTCTTCACATTTGTTATCACATCTAGTAAAAATAATTCAATACATTTTAATTCTCTATTTATTCCATCAGCATCGTAAAAGGTGTTCTAAATTATTAAAACTTTCCAAGCAGTTGAATTTTCTAAATAAATAAGTTAATAGATAAAAGCAAACGAATTAAATAAGTCTTCCTTGTTCTTATATAGAATAATGATAAGTATCTGGAGGTGTACAGTCAAGACTTAATAGAAAATTGATATCATCTTACGCTAATCCTTTCCATCCAGCTGGACAATAGCAAGAACCATTGGTTGGACTGCAAATCTCCAGAGGATTACAGTTGCATGTGTTCTTACATAAGACACCCCATGTTCCTACTGGACATTCTGTGAACAAAACATTAAATCAATACTTCTTATGTAGGTGAACGTATTTATATGAAGATTCAATTATTTTGTAACTCAATGTTTTCATTAACAAAGTACTTGTACATTAACACTCCGTGTGAGTCGAAAGCATAAATGATTCCTACGTTACGAGCTGATTGGGAACTCTTGAGTTTGATTTAACGGTCGAAGGGAGAGGCCAATTGCCAATTTCACTTGACTCATTGTACTCACCGATCGTGCATTACATGGTCAATAATACTCTTTTATTCATCTGTTTCCCAATATCAATTGTGTGAGTGTGAAACGTCGTCAAAGTCCAGTTACATTTTGAGTTACGTTCAATTTTATGTACTTTCACATATTCACTGCTTTTCTAATTAATTATTTTTTTTATCAGCGTAAATGATCGCACGTGTTATAAGTCTACTTTATAATTTATACTTCAATCGAGTGGACTTTTTTATTGGACATAAATTCCCAAAAAGATCTTCCTAAATTCAACGTCAGATTTTTTAATACCTCCCCACTTGATGTTGATTTAAATTACTACCTTTTATAGACTTACATGAGCGCGAGTTAACTCTTTACGAAATTACTACCTTTATAGCTTCCGGATTTGAGAAACTTTGTATCCCATGACAAACGTAATATACATATGACATTCAAAAGATTTGTCGGGATTTTCCACGTGGACGACATTTGAAGTAAAGAAAGTATAGGAAATGAATTTAAATAAAGTCATATTAATTAATATTTTAATTATTTAAAACGTATCATTAGCTTATCTAGTAAAAAATAATAATAAAGTAAATATAAAGATAATAATTAACATGAATAAGATATTAGAGTTTAATATTTTTAATTAACTCAACTATTGGTGAACAAAAATATAATGTATAAATTTTAATTAATCACTCTTATGAAATGCAAATTGTAATTGATTTTCTTCGGTATTCTTTTTTGCAACAAATTAAATTTTACTGCATTGCATAATTTCTAAATATCTTATTTAATATAATAATAATAATAATAATAATAATAATAATAATAATATTCATTATTTCCTTGTATATATTATAAAATAATTCAGTCATTATCTATCAAAGTAGATAGACAAAATTCATTAGATATAGATATTTATTAAGAACAGAAAAAAAAAGTTTAATAAATTTCAACTTTGTAGTATGAAGTATTACTTCCTACATTCAAAAAAGGAATGTATGAAAAATGCTGGGAAAGTGAATTTGATTAATATAATTAGTTCAATAAATTTTCTTTCAAATTTCAAACAAAGGAAAAGTAATAATATGAATGAGAGAATAATAAATAATCACCGGTTGTGCAATTTTTGCCAATGTATCCGGGTTTACAGTCCGAATGTGCGACGCACGATTCAATATAATTCTCAGAATTTTCATCCCAAAGTTTTAGCATTGTATATCCTGGACAACATTCACTGACATTTCTCTGCTTCTCTTCACTCTGCAATATACAAGAAAATACTTCAATTATTTTCATAATTAGGAATATTGACAAATATAGGCACAAATATTATACTATTAACCACAAATTTTAATGCATATGTAGGATTACAAAGAAATAAAATAACACTGGAGATTTATTTATGTATTCGCCTACGTAATAACTTTATTCGCAATCTATCTTTTTGATTACAGTCTGCTGCGTTATATGAAAGTCTACCGCGCCTTTCGCTGCTTTTTCTCTTTACAATCTTTATTCGTACTGAAAAAAAATGTCACGAATATGTGAAAGAAGAAATTGCACCCAAGATGCTTTCAATTACTTCTTGATACTTGTAGTAATTAAAATTAAATTCTGTATGCTGGTAATTGGATAATTGCTTGCGTTCTTACTTGTTCATTATTCCATAATAAGTAAACAAAAACTCCTGGGTATTTACACAAGTTTTTTTTTTATGTGAATGCACCTACTTCATCTCATTTTCTACTTGTTTCATTAACCTGCCAGTATTTATCGTTTACTGTTGCTTTTCTTAATGTGATAAAGTCCTAAAGTACTCAAGCGAGTAGAAGAGAGCAAAAAAAATAGTCAGAAGGACATATGAATGTCTTCGAATTAATTCTTTGCATTCACTGTTTTATATTTTAATATTTAAAATATGCTGATGGAAAATACCAATTTAATGCATGAGAAACTATGTTATTTATCCATTTATTTCTTGAGATCAACTCCATGTTTATATTTTTATCAAAAAATGAATAAAAAATATTTTTTGTAGATAAAATAATAAGATTATAGCATCTTAGTAATCATATTCTTGCTATTTTCTTGACGAAGACCAAGAATATTTCATTTAAAATCAAAAACTTTGCTTTTTTAAAGTTACTGCATTCTTTCTAACTTATTATCCTATGCTAAATAGCGTTGAAAGAGTTCAAAATGGTTCGGTGAGAGCTAAATTGTTTAACGGTTATAGAACCGTTTACATTTTTCATGTAAATGAACTCAAATATAATCACCTGTATTTTCCAATACGTTTGTTGAATAGTTTTAGATCTCGTGCATCTTGGAGGTAATGAAAAGCACCATGAGGTCGTTAATACTTCTAGTGTTTTTTGGTAAGGTTCCCGTCGTGTTTCTGTATAACTGTAAAAACATTGTATTATTACCAAGGAATTCACTTAAATATCATTAATAAGTGTGAAAAGAAAAACAAATTAATTTAATAGCTTTAGTCAAAGTGAACTAGTTCATACATTCATTTGATACTCTTGTCTAGTAGGCTTAATAAAAATTGAATTATAAGAATGACACGTGTCTATCAATTGTATACTTCATTACTTTGATGAGTTTGAAAGTCTTTTTTGATGTCGGATGGTGTCGTAAAGTATCCTGTTTAGAAACTTCAATATTCACGGTTTGAAAGCCACGGGAATGTAGTCAACGCAATTACTAACTATTAAATGATGGTGAAAAAAAAATATTAAAATTAACTAATGAATTAAAAAAATTTTTTATTAATTGAATTCTTATAAGATAATGACGACTCCCATTATATATACTATTGTCTAGACGAATTTAAAGCAACTTAGGAACAATTACTCCGTTCAAGTGTATCCGGGGTGAAGAAACCGGAGGATAGAAAGAGAAAGAAAACTCTTTTAATCTTTAACTACTGTACTTTTCATTTATCTGTCATTTATTTATGTCTAAGAGTATTTTACTTCTTTCAAACAAACAGTTTGTTAAAACTTTAATCAAAAAAAGTTGTCCAGAAATGGAGTGAAGGTAGAAAAAAAGTTGATGAAAATACAAAAAAACCAACTTACTTTTCAATTCTGGTACATACGTTTCCAGTCAAAGATTCCACAGAAGTTACTACGAGAACAAGGACGAGGACGAGGCCGTATTTCAACAGCCAGGATACCCTCATGTCGTTACTGCACACCGGAAATAATATCATGCCAACCAAAGAAAATCAACCTTTAGACTTTATTTACTTTTTTTTGACAGCTAGTTTTTTCAATTTTTGCTTTCTTCATGAAAACTCCAAGACGATGTTGACCATCCTAGTAGAATAAAAAGACTGATCTTCGTTAATTATTGCGTCTGATGTATTGAAGCTTCTATTCAGTTGGAAATTATAGTATATGATAAGAAGACTATCGCTATGGAGTATCATATTCTGTCACATTAGCTTTAAATAAAGATCATGTGATAATCATGCAGACATAAACACTTTCATCAATATTTGAATTTAGATGACTCGGAATTCGAGTGAAATAAAATATTATAAAGAACTGATTTCACTGATTTTTAGCCATCACTCAAGTCTTGTTAACTTTCCTCTTGTACGAAGTCATTGAAGAAACAACCGATCGTTTATTTTCTTCTATCATTAAATCGACACATAAGGAAATTAAACAATAAAGACAGTTTTTTTTTCGATCTAATTAAAAAAGAATGCGACACTCAAATTAAAGCAAAAAAGAGCTAATTTATTAAAAGTCAATGACTGTAAGGCTTACAAGGCAAATAAAAGAATTCAATTAGTATATTAAGCAAGCATTTCTTCGCAAGTAAAAAGAATGTGACACTTTTATCACGGAAAAAGTTTAATTCTCAAATTGTCCTATGATTGACCTCAACTAGTTCCTGTTCGCAATAGAATATCTCTCCACTTTCTCCATCACTTCACGTTATATCCTATTATTCTCAACATCATGTTTTACTGTTTATCAGCTCACATGACTTTGACAATAAATCAAAGAAAATTCTTGATTAGCATACAAATGTGTGACTCACTACACAACTTGAAGTCTTTTTTTCTACCACCACACTCAGTTCAACAAATTTTCATGTTTTTGTTTAAATAGAGACTTCAATTCAGTGTAAATCACATCAATGGTTTCCTAAGTAATCATTTTGAAGTATACTCTAGAATGTTCTTTTTTCAAGTACTTGCTAGAAAGATGATGATGATAACCATAGAAGATGTAGAAGATCAAAACTAACTCAGATACAGACAATTGGGCGAGTCAAAGCTACTCGGAATGCACTTGTGGCACAATGAACTGCGACCCTTTTGACAGAATTCCCCTTCTCTATGTCGTTCATTCATTTGATTCGTTGACAAATTAAAGGGTGTAGTTTATTATGAGAATCAAGTCGGCATGAGACATCAGTTAAAAGCAGAATCTAGATATTATTTAACTCTACAAAATAAAAATAAATAAATAAAACTCTTTTACTTTTTCTTATTTTTATAATTTGTTGATGTAAATTTAGCTGGAAAATACTTTCAGTTAATAGTTCAGGTATTCGTAATTATGCTAAAAGTAACGCAAATGTCAACTTTAAAATCTTGATAATTTCTTATGCAACTCAATATCCTAAGTATCATGAGAAAACATGTTATTATTTCGAAGCTGATCAGTTTTCAACTCATCTTTGTATTCAAGCTAAACAATGTTTCAAGTGAAATAATAGCCCACGTATTTTCAACCTATTACCCGTAATTTAATAATCTATGGCGATTATCATTAGCCTAAGAATGTATAGTTGATGTTTCTATGATCGATTTCAATTTCAATCTTAGAACTCTTGTATACGTTGAAAGCAATATGTATTATGTATCAATTTATTTTTCAGTTATTACCAACAACCTTCACCTACTAAACAAGCCATAAACTAAATGCTTTCGCTGATGTTATGAAGCTGCAATTTTTCATGCAGATTTTTTTGCTTATCTAATGGAACATATCCTATGTGTCACTTTTCCCAAAATAGCAACAATTTTTTTCCAACTGAGTCGCTTTCTCTATGATGTAATTCAAAGTGTAAAGAATTATTCTGTGAATTTTTATAAAAAAAATCATCAAGTATTTCATTTATTTCTGTGATATCTATTACTCACATGCCAACATGTGTGGTCGTTGAATATTAAAAATAATTGGTAGTTCAATCAGTTAAAGTAATGTATTTTTTATATTTTATGCCTCAATAGAAGCCTTGACTTATTCATTTTTTAGAATACTCTCCAGCTAATCGTTTCAACAATCCTCTACTTCTTTTACAACTTCAAGATCTTTGAAGCTATAGACCGAGTTGATTCAAATTTACTTATCTTTCGTGTCATTAGCTATATTTTAATTTGAGATTTATTCAAAAAATCTACCATTCAAATGAGCCCCAATCATTCTAGACTACATAACAAACACTTGATTATTTATAATCTTGATCTAGAAAAAGGATGTGTTTTTATATTACAAGTTAGTAAAATATGTTGATCCTGTTCGATCTATTTATACGAAATTTAAAAGTTAAGGTCATGTATCTTTAAAGACTCGAGAATGCTAGATATTATAAAATAGATCCGGCAGTTAGTGATAATGAGTATCAATAAATTAATTTTTATTGATACTTTGTAGTTTATTTTTGGTTCAATTTTCGAAAGAAGAATTTTTAGTAAAACAAAAAAATTAATTTAAAATTCAACAATTCAGACTAATTAATTTTCTTAGATTCTTATTCATCATCATTTTTACAACAATCATTTCATTTCAATTTTTTATAAAGGTATTCTCATGAAGCCAATCAAAAAGCGAGCCATTTTATGAGCTTTTTTATTCATAGAACAACTGAAGACATTGTAATTTTTTTAAACGTCATTTATAAACGTTGGAGGATATTAAATATAGAACTTTATTTTTAAAAAAAATCCAAATTGACAGTGGAATTTTTCTTATTGCTATAATACTTATGAAACCAACATAACAATTATGGTTCTACTTTTTTCTTATGAAAAAAAATTTTTGAAATGACTTGTTCTTTAACTAGTCTCATAAGATTACCTTCTTTGTAGAATATCTATAATTATTTGAATATGTCATTAAGAACAAATTCTTAGCTTATAATTTATAAATAAATCGGAAACGCAATTTATTGAACTGTTTCTTTAACTTGTTTTATTACGACATTTGTTAATCCTATAATTTTTTAATAACTAAAGTAAATATTTCTGTGAATAGAAAACTTATGGACGGCACAGAATGACAAGGTCATTTAGAATATTTTTCTTTATTAAAAATATATATAATTTGGCTTTAGAAAGGAGAATAGTGATGAAATGTAACATTTTTTAGAGTGGAATAAGCAATAGACAGTCTTAATAATTTTAGTTACATACATAAGTTGATTACATCGAATTAAAACGCAAGAGCAGAAGCTACATTCAACGGTTTGGCTAATAGGTAGATTCATTGTTATGTATAATCCAATGTAATCATTATATGTAAACAACCGGTAGTTGTATGTGGACTTTCTTTATTACAAACCACACGTGGTTTGTAAGGTGTAATCAACTGAAAAGATTCATTTCACGTCTTAAGATAATTGAAGAAAATTAACGTCAAATTAATCAAAATTTATGATATTTACTCATACTCTCAGCATTTTAATTATTTATTATCGATATAAATGAATCATACTCTATTGCTACTTCGATTTAACCTTATAAAGAGTGTAAAAAAAATTAATTAATAATGAATAACTTAAAAATTAATTCATTGAAAGATTCCCCATATTTACAAGTTCTACACATAATATGATTGATCTTGATTGAAGACTGGATTGGTTTTAGAGAAAAACTTGAATAAATAGATTTTTTTAAGTTAGGTAAATTGTGTTTAAAGGAATATTTTGCTTGACCATAATAGAGAAGGGAAGAAGCTTTCAATAAAATAATTTTCTTTAGACTAAGTAATTGTTTGTATCTTATAATAGAATTATTAATTAAATTCTAATGATGTTTCAACAGTATTTCCTCTTAATGTAAAGGTCTTTATCAAAGATCCTGAAGCAATTACATCTTGACTTTCAATAATAGCATGAAATCAATGACGCAATGGAATTTCATCCATGCAAATGGCGACAAAATACTCATTTCTCTGCAGCTTTAATCAATTAAAATTAATTGCAATCAAATATTACTGCTTTCATATTCACAGCATGTACCAATGGCCATAAACGTAAGACAATCATCAGAGAATAAACATTTATTGAGTGAATGGCTCTTCTTACGCCACGTGAAAGGTTTTTCTCTCATAATAATTATATTTTTCGTAGAAGGTGTCTCCACAAATGGGGTGGTTGATCATTAGTGTCTTATCATTTTCTTTTCTCTTTTCTTCAAAGATTTTCAGTATCCTCATCAACGCATTCCTTCTTCCATGTTGTTCATAAATGGTGAAAGCGTAAAAGACTGGGATATAAGTCGCTTCATTGTTCGTCACGTTTCGCGGAAAGTCTTCAGAAGACTTCCCTAACTCTTCCCTATTGCGCAAGTTGACGGACCAGTTTTGGGAGGCATGTTATGCGTTACGCATCGTTTGCTACTGTTCTGTGTGCTATTTGCTGACTTCAATGCTACCGGGTCTTATTGTGGCCATTCTCTTTCCACTTAAGAACGGGTGCGTCTCGTGAAAGAGAACGTCCCTCGTAACCATAAGATATCGGATCTCTTGAGCTCTTTAACATGAGTGGCATGCATTTCGATGGACATTGCACTACATATGTATTTACCTCTTTTTTCTTTTTCTTCCGCATTCTAGAAGTGAATTTTTCGATTCTCTGATGATAGGCAAAAATTATTCTAACCAAGTACTACAATGATCTAGAACGGATTTTAATATTAAGAAGACTGAATAAATGATTGACGCCAACACTTAAGAAATATTTGTAATAAATGGATGACTCATATATCAATTTCATGATTTACAAAAAATTTATCTCACATTTCTTTAATGATTAACTATTTTTCTTTTAACCTTTTAGAATGTTTTCAATGCAAAATATCAATAATTTTCCAAAGGTTGTGAATCTTAAGCTTGTTGAAATCTTTAACCCTTAAATGTTCAACGATGATAAATGTTCAACAATAAAAAATACTTATAATTTACAACATATAAAATTTTTTTTTTAATTTTAACATATAAAATTATTCATTTAAGAGTTAAGTTTATGAATTAACTCTAAAAATGATTAAATGTGTCTTTCATCAATTGAAAGTTTGAATTTTTCTTTTAAATTGTTACTTGCAACAATTAATTCTTGGTATTTAAAATTCTCCTAATAAATAAATATAGTAGAAATAATTAACAAGATAGTAATGAGTGGAGCTTGGAGATGTGAAGAGAATGCTGAGCTAAAGTAAAATCCAGCTCCATAAACCTGCAGACCTGCGGTTTCAATGCTACGCTTACAGTAGTCACCATCTGTAAGGAAAATGGCTGTTTAGTATCTTCATCTGTATCATGTATTTAACAAAAATACATGCATAATTAATTAAATGACTTAATGTTGCAGCACGAAACCCGAACGTGGTGTAGAGTCTAGTGTTATAAATCAAAGCGTGGAGCAAAGATGCATGTAATGAGCGGCGGGAAAATTAGTTGGCTATTACTCGAGCTCTGTGTAGTCTATAGAATTGTTACGGAAAACGAGGAGTGTAAATAGCAATGTGGGTGTCCCGGAGACTTGGTACAAGTTAGTAGTATAGGCGTAGAGTAAGCTAAGTGTGTCGTGAGACCAAAACAAAGAGCAACGAGCCATGGAAACAAGAGCGCCCGTAGACGTCGAACGTGTCTCACGTTTGCACGTAGACACCGCCGGATCTATGTCTTTTTCTGCTTCGCCCTCTCTTTACCAACTTCATCGCGAGGCCTCTGCATGTAGAACACCCGGCCCCTTTCGCTCTCGTTACACCCATTTCGTAATCTTCAGTCCCACGAACACCCGAGTAGAGGACTTCACATAATCAAATGCACTCATAGTGACAGCTTAGCATTTATTCATGCGCGTCAGCAAAAGTATATAGAAATAGTCAAGAGAATACATTAAGTGTTGGTATAGGTACCAGTTAGCTCGATCATTTCCGCCATTTATTTTCATTTTTATTTTTATCATTCTACGGAAGTTGTTTGCAAGATCGATAATGATCGATAATCAATGAAATTCTGCTTGAGAAATTAATTACTTACCATAAGACCAGCCAACAACTTCACCGGATCTTAGATTTTCCGTTCTCAGCCAATCCTCCAATGGTCTAAAGAACTCCCTGAGTGCGTCACCATCCAATCTGAATTCACCAGTCGCCTCTTGGAGTATGTCCTGCCATGGTCGCGAAGATCCTTTCTCCATCAATCTTCTGCAAGTGAAAATCGGTCTATCTTATCACGTGGTTAAAAATAAAACTACTTTCTACAAAATGTGGATTCCAAAAATAACATTAAAAAAATAAATATATAGTAAATATGCAGAAATGGTTCGCAAGAAACTATTAAGAGAAGACTGTGTCAGACGTTACTGGTTTACTTAATATGCTAAAGTATTTTACTTTTATTCATAGACATTCTTTTTCTTTTGTGTTCATTAGCTGATTCTTCTAAAATATGATTTTATTTAGTATATTAGTATTACTTTACTTATGCCAATTATTTATTAATGATGCAATTACTATTTTCTGTAGTTCATCAACACTACATATATTGCATATTATTATTTTTTAAATTTATTTCAGTTATGTTCATTTTTCAGAAAGTATTGACAGGTGATATTTAAACATAATGAATGTTAATGATTACTTTTTTTACAATAGAAATTATAAAATGGAGTGTCTTTAGAAATATTTTATGCAAAAAATATGAAAGAAGAGGAAGAGTTTTTTTATAAAAAATTTTTTTGCCAAGGTTTAATTTCTAAAACAAATTTACTAAGGCTGATCATGGCATGAATCATTACCTCACAAGTGTTTTATTAACTCCCGGAGAAATTTTTCGAGCTCATAAATCAAAACTGACAAAATATAACGTAATTTATTCATCGATGATTATGATAATATCAAAGCTCCAATTTTTTGATCATCAGTTATATTATTACATGAGTATTTAGCTTATTCCTTTTCACTTTCTACTAGTCTACAGAGCAATAATCTGTAGCCCACGGCATTATTTACAAGCAACGTGACCCAACGTGCACTTGACCTTTGTGATGTCTTCTAGGCTGTATATCTCCAACTGCTGCAGTTTCTACTGTACTGTTTAAATTTACATAATTACACCATTTTATTCAATCTACCAGATAACACCTCTTCGTATGAAATATTTTCACTTAGACACGTAATACATATATGCATGTATCGCAATGTTATTAAACTGTACTCTCGAACGATCTATTTGTCGAGAGTCGCATGCAACTTAGGCCTGAATTTCTTAGTGCCATTTCTCTTGGCAGAAATCTCTAAGGTATCTGGTTACATCACGTGATAATTAGGTAGTATTTACACAAACCGGATGCATAATAATCCGTACCAGATATATTTTTTTTTATCAAAACATATTAATCTTTTTTTTTTAATACTTTTATTCTCTAAGAGTCATTCAACTTATCTTGAGAAAAATATCAATGGATTTAAATGAAAGTGAATTTATTTGATATTCGTGAAACAGGAAAATCATGATCGAGATTGATAATATTTATTTGTGATTGTTTCAGAGAAGGCTTTAAATTTTATTGAACTGAAGCAGAACATTTGAGCTGATGTTGATGATAGTTTGTTGATCGGGATGACGAACGATATTACTAAAACTAATCGAAGCCGTGAGAACTTGAGTGAATGGGCAAGAACTTTTGGAATGTTTTGCAAAGTTGCTGTAATTCATCGATCTTATAATTTCCGGTATGGAGAGCGAAATCGGGACTTTCCTGTCTACAGATTTCGCAACTGCGCAGGACTCTGAACCATAGATTGCGTTAACCCAGTGAGTTACACATGCATATGTACGTAAAAGCACATATGATGGTCTGAAGTAATATCGAGACGGTTTTCTGATGGGAAAATTTGTTAATTTAAATGAAAAATATGGGAAAATAATCCCATTTAACATTTTAATTAGTTTGTGAAGATACTCTGGATGGCAATATAAAATGTAATAGATGGTTAATTAAAATGTTGGTATAAAAATCATTAAAAAAAAAGAAATCGTAAGACTTGGAGATCGATAGTCCGAGACATTGATACGTGTTTTATTTGTACACACTCAAATGTACTAGACTTTCGCAATCGAAATAGTGTTTGTAACCGTAACTGGCGAGAGTTTACGATCGGTCTCTCTTCTACTTAACTACACTACAGGAAGAGTATACGTAGGTATTTATGAGCTAGTAAGTTTGCGACTAAAGTATAGAATTTTTGTGATAGCATGAATTTTCTTTTGCTTTATACTTTGACGAGTAATCGTTCGGTTATGTATAAATGTTATGTTTGTTTTTTATTTTTTTGCAATAATTGGCGAGAGCTGTTACGTCGATTGGCTTATAGGGAAACACGAAAAATTAATGAGTCATTACTGAATTATATGAAAGAATGTCACCAAATTCTCACTTCTTCTTGTAAGAAATAAAAGATTATTTATGAATTGACTTCTAGGAACTCTGGAGATTTGTTTTTTTCATATAATTGATTTATTAGAAAAAAACTGGTATTGATAAAAATTTCTGGAAAAAGATAAAATAAAAATTAACTTCATTATAAATGATAATATATGATGATTAATCAAGCAGAGATTGAACTTAGATAAAAATAAGTAGATCAATAGAGTTACTTTAAAAAACATTTCGATCTTAGAAACATGCACACGGTTACATTAGATTCAACTTGTTCTTTAACGAATAAGCGCAATAGTTTACACTACACATGTTGCATCATGACCATCTTAAGACGAATGTGAGCACATTATTTTGATGAAAGAAGTACTGGTATTTTGTTCTTAAAATTTCACAATGACCTATCTTCAATTCTTTAAATATATTTAAACATAGGGCATTTTAATTGAATGTCTACTATAATCGACATGGAATTATATGAAATAGCTAGACAGATGAAGTTGAAGATGAAGTAAAGCCCAAATGAATAGATGGGAAAAGCTAGACATGTGTTATAAAAAAAAATGCCAAGTCGCTCAGTTCACTAGCCCATGGGAAATGATTTACATAAGAGCTAAGATTACATCTTTGTACATCTTACATATCAGGAATAAAAATGAAAGCTATTAAAAATGATATGCAATGAGAAAATAGGAAGAATAATAAATTACTTAATAAATATACTTTTTTGAATCATCGTTGCGAATTATATTCCTAGATGAAGCAATCTATTTATCAATGATAAATAAATGTACCTTATTTAATATTCATTTATTTATCAATCACTGACTCATGAGCATTAATAATTGGTTCGTTTTAGGGAAAGTGATTTAATCAATATATATATTGGCAGCTGACGAAAGTCGAAAGGTTGAATTCACCAATTCAAGGGTGCTGGTGAGTAAAATAAATTATTTATTGTATAATTTCATCAGTTTTTAATAAATTAAATTCACTTAATTTTCTTGCATATGCTAATTAATCAGCAGATTTGTCGTGAAATCTTTTTATGCATTTCGTTACCAAAGTTAAAACGTTTTGATGTCGAGGACTAGTTCTAGTTTCCTCTCACTTGCATTCTGCTATTACGTGATACGTTTCTCATTTATTTTACACCCGGTTTTTAAACTTTTTATTTTATTGTCTTCTTTTTAGTGATTTATTATTTATTTATGTTGCTGTTGGTATCATAAAAATAATGATTAATGTCTCTGTTATTTAACTTACCCTAAAACACGTCCAGCATCAGGATTTCTGTAAAAGTCACATCGATGTAATGGTCTTCTAGGATCATTGGCAAAACGTTGTCCTGCGGCTTGGCATAGACCTCGGTATAGCTGGAATTGGAGAACACCGGCCACAAAGTTTCTGTGAACATGTAAAGACAAAAAAGACCATGACTTTCAATTCCGTGGTGACTGAAAGTCAATATTGATTTCAAGGAGAGTTTAGGTTTTAAATATAAAAAATCAAATGGTAAAAAATAGCGGATTAGAGAGTGCAAAATATCAATACCAAATTACGTATTATTATTGAACAACCATTCACTGAAACTTATTCGATTATTAGCTTATTTAATTGGGTCTAAAGTGAAAGCAATTATTCTGAAATATGTAAACTTTTTTAAGCTTGTTGACACGTCTTTATAGTATTATAATACTGTTATGGACATGTTATCGAAAAAATGACGTCTGTCTTTGCTGAAATGTAAGTTGAAAATTTCTCCAATATTGAGAGTAAGTTTTACATAATAGACTTCTCTTCAACGTTTTGATGTAAATTAAAATGCATTTTAGTTGAAGAGCTCTTAAATTCGATAAACTGTCGACCAAGTACTTAAAGAGTTAATCATCATATAATTACAAGGTATCAACAGAAAGATAATAAGTAGTATTTAAACGTGTGAGATAGACAGCTGGGTGATGTGAGAGTTTGGAACCAAAAGAAACAGTGTACGAAATCAAGGCGGAGAATCATGACGAGTAGTCGCGTGTCCCAAGGGGGAGTGGTGGTTTGTTAGCTGAATACGTTGGTTGGTTGGTTGACCACCGTGGATTGGATTGTGTCGGGTACAAACAACTATCTTATACATTGAACAAAGAAACGTGGGGGTACACCGGGCACCTGGGCCTATGTAAGAAGGCGAAAGTGTGCCGCGTATATAAAGCCCTGAACGACCAGCAATCAGCATCCAGTTCACTCCTGGACGCACCCGGAACATTCATAAAAGATAAAATGAAGAGTTTGGTATGTTCCTAAGGGTTTACCTATCAGTCTATTTCATTTTATAGAATATTCGCGAAGTGATTTTTCATTTGTGAAGACTTTTATTTAATACTCCATTCGTGTTTTCAGTTTGTGTTGGCCCTCCTGGCCACGGCGGCATTCGCCGAAGAGGAGAAGAAGGTTGAGGACAAAGTAGAAGGAACAAAGAAAAACGAAAAACGTGGAATCCTTGGTCTCGGCTATGGATACGGCTATGACGGTGGCTACGATCTTGGCTCTGAGCTTTCTCACAGCTATGCATCACACGGTGATTTTGGCGGTTTGGAAGGATATGGCGGTGGTTATCATGGAGAACATCACGTGAAAACCTTGACAGTGGTCAAGAACGTTCCTGTGCCTTATCCAGTTGAGAAACACGTGCCTTACCCAGTGGAGAAGCACGTGCCTTATCCAGTTAAGGTACCAGTCCCACAACCTTATCCAGTGGAGAAACACGTGCCTTACCCAGTCAAGGTCTACGTCAAAGTACCAGTTCATGTACCACAACCATACCCAGTTGAGAAGAAGGTGCATGTGCCAGTTCATGTTCCAGTAGACCGTCCATACCCTGTCAAGGTTTTGGTTCCTCAACCTTACCCAGTCGAGAAACACGTGCCTTATCCAGTTAAGGTACCAGTTCCTCAACCTTATCCAGTTGAAAAACACGTGCCTTATCCAGTTAAAGTACCTGTCCATGTGCCGGCACCATACCCTGTTGAAAAACTCGTCCATGTTCCAGTTAAAGTGCACGTAGACAGACCCTACCCAGTTCCAGTGCCTAAACCATATCCAGTCCATGTCGAGAAAAAAGTCCCTTATCCCGTTGACCGACCAGTTCCTTACCCCGTCAAAGTTCCAGTTGACAGACCAGTACCTTACCCAGTTGAAAAACACGTACCTTACCCCGTTAAAGTACCAGTTCCTGCTCCCTACCCCGTTGAAAAACCAGTCCCATATCCTGTTGAAAAACCTGTACCTTACGCGGTCAAGGTTCCAGTTGACCGACCATACCCAGTTCATGTTGAAAAACATGTTCCTTACCCAGTAGAAAAACCTGTACCTTATCCCGTTAAAGTACCAGTCGCCGTCCCAGTTCATGTCGAACATCACCAGGAACATCAAGGTGGCTACGAATACTCTGAACCACACTTTGGAGGATACGAATCTCACGGCTACCACCATTAAAAGTGGACGACGCGTTCTTAAAAGAACCTTTAATAACAAAAATAGGTTCGTGTACGCGCATTTACATTGGTGACCTGAGAAATTAATTTTTAATTTATCCGTTTTATTTAGTATCTAATCTAATTACCAGTCAGTAAGCAACATTTTTTCCACAATTCTGCATAGAAGTAGCATCGAGTAGATTGAGTAATCAAGTTTTCTTTCACTTATCGACACAGTCGATGTAGTATGAAAATGAATATTCCGCAAAGTGTATAGATAATCTTTCTGTTAATTTTTTTTTTGTCTCTAGTGTCATAATGCGTGACGCATGGGTGAAAACCAATAGGTCGTAACGCTTGTGAGCACTGTTTGCAAATTAATTCTACTCGACGCTGAACCTATCAATGATGCTAAATTGTTAAATTTTTTTATACTGATAGACTCAAGGTTTATATATGTATTTTTGTACTATACAGATTAAAAACAATTAAATGTATTAAATTAAATTGCTCATTACTTTATTACCTCATCCTGACAACATTACTTTTAAGTAGTCATAAAAACTATAAAAATATATAATAATGTAGGTGATTAATTCATTCATGATTCAATAAAAAAAATTCAACTTTCAAAAAAATACCTCTAACTGGTTTGCTTTATGTAAACAGTCGTTGAGGATATAAATTTTGTAGATACATTTCCAAAAATTTAATCATTATCACAAACTCTCGGGAGAATCTTGGAGAAATTTTGCTCGACTTGAAAGAGAACTTGGATTATATAACTGGTCATTCGCGTAAATGATAATAAAATAAAAAGGAGATGCGAAAGTAAGAGTCGTTTGCCTAGTCTTCTAGCGAAAAATCGGTCAAAACAACACCTTGGTTACATAGTTAACCGCATGTATTTTCTGCCTATGCACACACTAATCGTTGCTTCTTCCTCTAGAGTTTTTTTTTTAGCAAACAAAAAGTTAGATATGAAAACATGAAAAAAGTAAATAATTTAGTAGAAAATATTGTCAAGCATGAATGCTTTTATGTGGATTTAATAAGTTAGCTATAAGTGGAATATTATACAAGTCATGAAACATAATTCTTTATTTATGCTTGGATGTACATTGTCCAACATGGTACAATTGTTATTCAAAAACATTTCTTACAATAGTAGGTTATTAATAAAAATTATAACGACCTACTGATACACCTCTATTGAAAAAAGAGAAAAAATAGACTGACATACTTTCACATGACATAAATTTAGCAAATATAGGAATGATTTCACAATTTTTTTCTATCTCCTTAGAAATTTGTTTGAACTTAAAAATGGGGAAAAAATTATAATCAAATTAGATAATGTGGTATTAATCCTCAGCTGTAACGAATTTGAAAGGTGTTAAAATGAGAGTGTAAATCTTACAGAGCCATAGATATAAGTGATGGAAGTTTGTAGAACTTCTTGGTGTTACCACTGTCGACAAGCAAGAAAATTTTCTGCGTGAAGTTGAAGTTAATTCTAACAAGCAATTTCTGTATTTACCCAACATTAAATTAAAAAAAGAAAGCAGTTCTTTTGATCAATTAAAAAATTTTTTATATTGAAACATTCTTATAATTCAATAAAATTGACGTAGAAAGATTTCTTTTTCCAACAGAATATTTTCTGAATGAATAATTATTTTTTAAAAATCACTATCCAAGTATTTAGGATTCAATTAGAGTATCAACTTTCATGATAAGAGTAGTAGAAAAACTGGTTAATCATTGGGAAACATAATCATGAACTTGAGAATTGGAATTAACACTTTCACTGAATATTTTTGAATAAAATTAAATAAATCATCTAATCTATTGTGAAATATTTATTCTGACAAATAAAACAATGATCATTTTTCACAAAACTCTTCTGAATGCTCCATTTCTCTGTGGGAGCAAGTGAGCCAGATAAAATACTGCTTTAAATTTCCAGATGATACTATTTTCCACCTTCATAGCAATTTATCTTTGTTGAAAAAAAAATATAAAATGAGTTGGAAACTATTTCTAAACCTTCAAACTCATAACATTCATGACAGCTATTGAAGTTGTTGAATTGGATTTATAAAAATCTTATTAACTCCTTCATAAAAGAGCGAAAAATCAATTTAGTTTCAATGTAGAAATTCATTAATTTTAAACAAAAAGAATTGACCTTATGTACTTCAAGTATCAAAGTCAATAATTCTCGATCAAATCATGTTTCTCTATGCTGACAAATTGGAACATATCAGCATCTAGATCTTAAGTGTATGTTGTCTAAATACATGAAAATCCAATCAAAGTTATAACCACTCCTGCTGAATTAAATGTCCAAATTCATCTACGTGAGATGCGATCATTTATTGTTACAAATGACATGACTGTAATCACGCAAGCGTAGTTAAAGTAGATGTATTATATCCACATACAGGCAGGTGTAATTGTAGCTATTTACTCTCATTTAACATGCAATGAGAAGCTAATTAATAGCACGTAAAATGCAGCCAATATATAAAGAATTCACATGTACAACTTAAATGCTGATTGCCCAGCATTGAATAGTTAGCGTGACATAAACTAACTGTGAGGATATGCAGACGAGAGATATTTACTTTCGATTTTTGAAATGAAAAACCGAAGAAAAACCGTATCATGAACAAGTAAATTGTTCACGCATTCTTATATCTCGAAAGAGTATTTATGACTTTATTTATATAGGTAACTGGTATTGCAGGTTTTTTTGTTCTTTAATAGATCAACTGAAACTTCAATTTGGTGTAACTCAATTAAATTTGTTATATCAATTAATTCTAATTTTCCTATTTAAATTATTTATTAATGAAATGAAATACCACAGATTTTCTTCATTTAAAAAAAAAGTTGTAACGGAAAAGAAATTGGAATTTAATTGTTCTTAGATTTTTAATATCGTTATCATTAGTATGAGTTAATGATACTTCTCATATTACAAAGTAAAGATACAAATAGAAACAAAATCCACCCAAACGTGACTCATCATTTAGCTTATTCAACCAAACTCTCACTAAATGATCTTGTTAAATTATAAAAAACATCATCTCTACTCTATTTTTGTCTATAAAATCTAAGATAAAATGTTAAAATTGAATTAAGTAAGCAAACAATTTAATTAAATATCTCTAAATGCTTTATCTGTTTTTTATCAAAGCAGAAAAAAACGTGTTATTGTAATATCATTAATAATAATAACAGCAATTCTTTAACTTTCATGATGTTCATTGATCGCAATCTCGTGTCTAAATAAAATAAAGATTCGCTTGTTCACTTTCAACTGATGCATTCCTTATACATCACGAGAAAGAGGTCGTGGACCCTAAGTGTTGTGTTTACTACAAGCGAAATCAAGAAAGCGATTTACCCCACCTACTGGTTAAGAAAAACATTGAGTAGCGTGTTACAGAAAAAAAAAGCCTGTGCATTCATTCTTGTGGGAGATGACACACTTATACAGGTAAGTGTATTATATAGGAGAAAACCTCAGCTATCAAGTGCATCAGTCGTTGATAGATTTCGAAGCAACAAGTTGTTTCCCTAAGAGTTTGAAATAGATCTACGACGTCATGGGACACGTGGTGAGAATTGAATATCAGTGAAATATATCTATTACGATGATTTTATTTTAACTGAATTATTCATTTTATATATTCTAAAAGTTCACTCGGTGCATTTCTTCAACAGAAAAACGTGGCCTTGACATTGGTTTGTTGCATCGTCATTGTGTCGACGAGAGCGATGCAATCCAATTACACGAGAGTAAAGCTCGACTGTGGAAACCAACCAAAACCAGAGGAAAAGTACTCTTGGGAGAGACCGTATTTTGTGAATTACCACACTATCGATGTTAGAGATCGCAATGATTTATCCGTTGGTAATGTAATCTTTATATTTTATATTAGTTCAATTTCATTGCTTTTTTTAAACAGTAATAAAAACTAGATTAGAGTTTTTAATTTGCACTTTGCCAAAATTTATGGATTCTTCTTTGTCAATATTTTGTTTTGCATGTTTTGTTGAACATGAACTCTATGAGGAGAATTACTATTGGTTCTCATCAGAGTTTGAATATATTATTTTATTTGTTAAATGATTTTTATTCAAATTGCAACAATGAATAAAATTTGATAGGAGAAATCCAATGGAGTACCTTCTTATTAAAAGAATTAAATGGTGTGAAATTAAATGTACTATATTAATTGTAATGGAAAGATCATCAGAGATTAAGATAATCACACTTGATTTAAACATGAATGTTACATGTGAATTTTAATACTTATAATTGCATGTTTGGTGGAAATATAATAGCACATCATTTCTATAACAACAAAATTTCACTTTAGAGAAATATAATGCTTTGTTTCAATCAATCTAATAAGAGTAAATTATTATCGTATGCAAAAAATGAAAGTTTTTCTCATATTTTATAAATAATATCAGTCTTTGAATAAATAATTAATGATCGACATATTTTTAGGTGTATTGAAACCAGAAGACTATGCTGAATATTCTGCAAGAATTCCCAAGATGGATATAAGCATTCTAAAAAAACGTCACAATGCTGAGAACTCGGACATCCAAAGTGATCAACCATTTGAAAACAGTATTCAATCTCATTATTCAAGATCAAGAATGTATCACGAACCTCAACACGAAGCACCACCACCACTGCCAGAAATAGAAGAAGAAAAAACTGTAACAATAGTGAAAAATGTCGAAGTTCCATATCCAGTGGAAAAAACAATACGCTATCCAGTAGTTAAAAAAGTTCCATACCCAGTTCAGATTCCAGTACCAGAGCCTTATCCTGTTGAAAAACCGATTCCATATCCCGTTAAAGTGATGGTAAAGATACCACAACGAATTCCATTGCCAATTCCCGTGTACAAAGAAGTTCCTTACGCAGTTCAAATACCGATTGAAAGAAGAGTACCTTATCGAGTATATATCCCCAATCCTTATCCAGTTGAAAGGAAGATCCATTATGAGGTGAAAGTACCCGTTCCCGAGCCTTTTCCAATAGAACGTAATATTCCCATTCCAATAAAGATTCCAATCGCAGTACCGCAACCAATTCCAGTTGAAAAACCAGTGCATTACCCAGTAGAGGTCAAGGTCGACCGACCAGTACCAGTACCAGTGCCCAAGCCTTATCCAGTACAAGTTATCAAACACGTGCCTTATCGAGTCATCAAACCAAGGCCAGTACCCGTAGAGGTAAAGGTGGATAAGCCTGTTCCTTACCCTGTTGTTAAGCATGTTCCGTATCCTGTTGAAGTCCCAGTTCCACAGCCTGTCCCAGTTGAAAAAGAAGTACCTTACCCTGTTATCAAACATGTTCCTAAACCAGTGGAGGTTCCTATCGATAGACCAGTACCAGTTCATGTGGAGAAACATGTACCAATTTCCGTTGAAAACGATGTATCTTATTATGTCTCAGACTACAAGTATCAAGAAGAAATAGCACAGGGGGATGAGAGTAAAGATATCGTTCAGCGCAAAAATGATCAAAATCATCAAAATGAGGATATTAAAGGAAAAAGAGTTGGAGAAGAAACGATACCAATAAAATTTGTAGATAATGAAAAAAAAGAACAGCAAAAACAGAAGCCAAAGAATGTTTCATACTTTGATAAAAGTATGGTTAAAAGTCGTGGTTCTGCTAGATATGCACAACGACATGCTTCAGTTTCTACCAAAGAAAAATCTTCAGAACGTCTCTCTGAATATAAATTCGATGAAAAAGATGCTGCCAAAGAGAGTAAAATAACAGATATTGTAACTGACAAGAAGGAAACTAAAAAAGAGGAAAAGAATGTTGTTGGCCAATCCAAAGAAAATAATGAAGTGAAAAAAAAAGAAAATGAAGACAAAGAAAATGAAAGTCCTAGATATCGTAGGAAAAGCACAATCAAAAGACTTGTCAAAATTCGAGTAAATAAAAATCCGTCCAGTACTACAGAGAAAAGTGATGATTCAGTTGTTTCTGGAAACAAAGATGATATGAAAAAAGCTATTGAGGCAATTGAAGCCAATAATATTAAAAAAAATGAGGAGAAAGAGAGAAAAATTGATAAATTTCGTAGAAATTATAGAAAAAGAAATAACAAAAGAGAAAGTAAAAGAAACGGTGCGAAAGAAAAAGAAAGTAAAGAGAAAGAAAAGAAGACAGATAAATAGAGTATGTAAAATTAGAAAGAAATAAATTATTAGTCTTTCTTGTAAATTGTGAATGAGACCAATGTTTAGTATTGTAAGCTCATTATCTGGTATTGTTATTAGTAGAATCAGTGTACCAGTTATTTATTCAGTTATTTTAAGTTATAATTTAAGCAAAGAAAGGTTATAAGTTCTAAGTCTAGTCAGTGTAATGATTTTATCTACTGCCAGACTATGTCCATGTTCATATAGTTCATTTTTTTTTGTTTTTTGATTACTTCTGTAATTAGGGTTTTATTGTCGTCAATTATATTCTAACGATGCAGTAGAATAAAATTTTACGACTGCTGAGAAAGTTTTGGTACATTAATAAATTAGACAGAAAAAAATTAAGGCGATAGAAAATTGTTTACGAATTGCCTGTAATTGTTAAACAAGAGAGAGTAAGTCAGGCTATATATGTTATTTTTTATATTTTTCAGTCAGTGGTTTTATTAAATAAAATAGTAATTCTTAGAGCTTATTGATTCTGAGCTATGCATTAGGTTAGCTGGTTTAATATTTAACAAATTAGTTGAATGATAATGAAAAATTGGTAATAAAAATAGATTATTCTGGTAAATGTTATTATATTTTATAATAATAAAAAAATATTGTGTACAAGCGAAAGTTGAGTACTATAAATATCACTAGAGATTTTATCTTCGATGTTTAGTTCACAGTCAGTCGTTGTTTGCAAAACTACATCAGTTATTTTTAATCATGAAACACACGAATTTAGTAAGTATTTGGATAATTAAAAAATAATAATAATAATTGGCGTAATTAAGTAGAATTGTGTCAAGCATTGTTGTGACTGAAATTATTTAATAATGTTATGATCAATGATTTTGGTGCGTTACATACTTTTTTTTTTAAATTAGTATTTTTTTCAAGGAATTCAAACAATTTATTGTAATAAATTAAATTCCTTTTCTAAACAAACACAATATAAATTTTAATTTTTATAATATCATTCAATAATATCTATTAATTAATAAGATTATTTTATTTATCACGATTGTTAAATTAAAATCAAAATTCTAAATAAAATGAGTTTATATTTTTTGATCGATTCATTAAATTTAATAATAAAATTTTTTTACTTCAAAAAATTTGATAAAATAATCATTTTCCTTATTTTCAAGGAAATACTTTGTTTTTAATTAAGTATTAATTTCAAGATCAGTGATTGAAATAAATAATTAAGAAATAATAATACATTTCTTGTAATTAGTTAGAATAACATTTTATTAATGCAATGATTAATATTAATTAAAAAATTAATACGTAAAAGATTTGTTTCCTGCTAGAGAATTTATTCAACGTTAAATTAAACAAATCCCAGACAAAAAACTGAAATTGAATTCTTACATTGCTAATAATAAATAAATTTCTTAGTAAAGTAATTAAATAATATGTTTAGAAAAGAAAATCCTTAATATTCTGATTAAATAACTGAATTCGCGAATGTTCCATATTAATTAGGTAGTGCAACTGGTCAGCGTAGCATTTTTTTGTCTGTGCATGGCCACAACTGGTTCCGCTACTCGTAAAGAGGAACTTGAACGAGCAGCAGAGTTAGCAGTCGAACGTGCGGCTGAGATAGTTGCAGAGAGGGCTGTAGAGAAGGCACTTGAAAGTGGTAATTCTTCGACCGAGACCGAGACAATTCGTATGTCTCACTCCAGCGTAAGGAAGCAGGATTTAAGTTGGCAACTTCCGGGTTTCGCTACACCACGCCAATATAAGAATTATGAACGCATTATCGAAGAACAAGAAGCAGGAGAACGAGCAGTAGCACAGATTAAAGGACGTCATAGATGGAACAGGCAAACATATGATAGAAAACATTATCCAAATCCACCAGCTAAACCAATAGATATCAGCACTTTCCCATACAGATCAACACCACTAAGATTCTTTAGTGATCAATATCAATATCAAGGCTCACAGCCAGAAGAAAAAGACAAACCAAGACAGGAAGAAAATGAAAAAGAAAATTCTTATGAAAATTCTGGAAGATCGCTTCAACAACCTTTGGAAGTTTTTCAAGTGACTCCAAAAACTTTTCCTGTTTTTTATTACTTCCCTAAGCCGACAACTTATCCACCTCACTTACAATATTTTTTACCACAATCTCAAGAATTTATAAAGGATGATAATAAAAGCGAAAAATTTTAGCATAAATTACTTTGAATAAGATTTATAGCATGATTAAAATATTTTTTTTATAAAGAAATATTATTTATAATTTAATACTTCTAGTTTAATTCTTAACTATTTATTATACAAGCTAAACATTGAATATAAACACTCAAACTATTTCTCGTACAGAAGTATGTGTCATAAAACGCTATTTTATAACTGATTTCTAGCAACTTCGTAAAAATAATTTTGCATATAAAACCAATTTTTTATACTGACGTTATTATTTTTCAATAAATTTCTTACACTGACATGTGTTTTGACAAATGAAAAATAGCTCTACGGAAATTCTCGTTTATTATCCAGTTGAACAGGTCTTCCCTCTTTTCTGACACTCTCCCTTTCACCCGTTAATTAAATAATGTTAAAATTAAACGAATGTTATACTACACTTGGTATTCATAATCATAACATCTATTGTCCATTAAGGTGATTAGATATTCAAAAATAAAAGCTAAGTAATCAAAAAAAAAAATCCTCGAAAGAGAAAAAAAAATATAATCATTCAAGAACTTCTAATATTTCATGTAATGAGTCTTTTGTTACTCAATAGATAGACGGAAGTCGACAAAGAACGCTTTATCATTCAATCTAATCGAAAGTAACAACTGCGAAGTGCCCAAGGAATATCACGTCATCCGTTCATTTCGAATTGCACTTTCACCAAACCCATCTGCACGTGAAAGAGACATAATGCTTTTATAATAAACTTGGAGATTCACCGAAAGAAAAAATCATACACTTCATTATTTTTTGCCAAATTATTTCTCATCACTCTCGCATCATTGCTCTTTATAGTCAACCATTATTGCATTCTCCTTATGTTTGATTTCCTTTCGTGTACTAACAACCAAGACCAGGTTGTAGATTGAAGCATAAAGATTTAAGGATATGATGAAAAATCATTTCTTCCTCATAGATCTCCAAGTCTAGAATATTCAATTCACAAGATCTTGAAGTTATTTATTTTCCATTGTTTCCTTATCTAGAAGCAATATGACATATTCTTGAGGGTAAGCCAGGGTGAATTATTATTACAATTCCAATAACAATGATAAAAGTGTGGTGATAAATCTTCGAGAAATGTCTAGGTGAATAAAAAAGATGATTTAACAACGATAAGGAAGCATTTGAAATTATTAAGTAATGATTTAGTAAAATGAGGATGAGGAAGATTTGAAGGGGATTAATATGTCGATGTAAATGAATTTTCTATGAAGGGTGATGTGCTTGAAGAACTACCACGTGTTGTAGATGCACGCATAAGAGCAAGTATTTCACTTTCAACTGTGCGCGGAGGGATTTTGCTAGGCGGGGAAAGCAGCTCTACTTAGTATATATAAAGACGGTGGCATCAAGAGGGGATCTATTCAGTAAATTCTTCACTACGACAACATTGCGCTAAACACGGGGCCATGAAAATTTCGGTAAGACATATCACAATATCATCGCTAATTGTTTTTTTTTTCTTATCATTGGATTATTTATAGTTTGCAAAGCTGTTTGTGCTTGCATTGCTGGTTGGTTGTGCTGCCAGCAAAGAAGAAGAGTCAAAGAAGATTGAAAAAGATTCTGAAGCTGCAGAAAGTAAAGTTGAAGGAGAAAAGAAACACGAGAAAAGAGGATTATATAGCTCCGAAGGACATTATGGAGGCGATTATGGAGGCGGTTACGGAGGTGGTTACGAAGGACTTTTTGAAAGTCATGAGATCTCCAGTTTCGGTGATCATGGAAGTTATGGAGGCCATGAGGAATCGGGAGGATCCCTCGGAGGATCTCATGAATCTTACGGTCATGAAGAAAAAATAAAAGAAATAACGATAGTGAAAAATGTCAAGGTGCCTTATCCAGTCGAAAAGAAAGTTCATTATCCAGTGGAAAAAGAAGTTCCGTATCCAGTCAAGGTCCCCGTGCCTGAACCATACCCCGTCGAGAAAAAAATTCCGGTTCCCTACAAAGTCTACGTAAAGGTGCCAGTACATATTCCAGCACCATATCCAGTGGAGAAAAAAGTTCATTACCCGGTGCATGTACCTGTGGAGCGACCTGTACCTTACAAAGTTTACGTACCACAACCATATCCAGTTGAAAAGAAGGTTCACTACGCAGTTAAAGTGCCTGTGCCTCAGCCATACCCTATCGAGAAACATGTGCCTGTACCTGTTAAAGTTCCAGTTCATGTTCCTCAACCTTATCCAGTGGAAAAAACTATTCCCTACCCCGTCAAAGTTCATGTTGACAGACCCTACCCTGTTCATATTATCAAGCCTTATCCTGTACCAGTTGAAAAACATGTACCCTATCCAGTTGACAAGCCTGTCCCTTACCCAGTTAAAGTACATGTAGAGAAACCAGTACCTGTCCCTGTAGAGAAGCCAGTCCCTGTACCTGTAAAGGTTCCAGTTCCAGCTCCTTACCCAGTTGAGAAAAAAGTACCATATCCTGTAGAAAAACCAGTACCTTATCCAGTTAAAGTGCATGTAGACAGGCCAGTCCCTGTTCATGTTACAAAGCATGTACCAGTTCATGTACCTAAACCTGTACCTTATCCCGTAAAAGTACCAGTTCCTTACAAGGTTGAACACAAACATGAATATGAACATCATGAACATCATGAACATCATGAGCACCATGAACCTGCACATTACGATATCTCAAGTAGTGGTGGAGACTTTGGAGGACATGGAGGACATGAGTCTCATGGAAGTTATGAATCTCATAGTTTTTAATGATCATCTTCGTAAATAATCGACGGTAGTTAGGTAAAATAATCAAGGCTACTGAGGATTGCTTGATAGCTTACGAAATAAGCGAGGGTGTGGTTGTCATTTGATGACACATAGGAAAATTATTTTATAGTTGAAGAAGCTATTGATTATAAAGAATTTTGACACACCCAAGTGATATGATCAATTAAATTTCTAATTAATGTAGAATCTATTTTTTGACTGAGAAAACCTGTTGTTAACTATCGTTGTTATAAAAACGATGTATATTTTTATGTACTACGATTTTTTTTTATCAATAAAAACCAAAGAGAAAAATCTCAAAACTTTTTGTGCTTGTCACCTTGACCCTTTCTTTGAATAAGAAAAAAAAATTTTAATAATACTCACCGAATGTATGGAATATTTGCTGGAATGTGGTACTTGGAGCCAGGATCAAAGTCCTCTTCGGATCTTAAAACAGGTGGTTTAATTCCAGCATAAAGTTCCATCATTCTATGCCAATGACAATTATATTCTTGACGAGTAACAACTTTCTTAAATACATCCCATCTCCATCGATCCATGGCAATACTGATTGGTAACATCGGAAGTTTTTCCATTGCTAATGAGAATAAGTAGTTGATATCTGATTGTGGTTCATCAACGTATTTATTAGCCAGGCCCAAAGTTTGAAGATGCTTCGGTGTGCCAACACTTAGAGCAACTGCTTCACCAACGGCTTCATGAAATGCTGAAAAAAATTATTTTTTTACAATAAGAAAAAATTGTATAAAATGTTTTTATAATTAAACGAAGTACAGGTTTGCCGGAAGGCTTCCTATAAGACCCCCTAGAATGCCGTGCAAGGCAGTTCCGGTGTATGGAAAACATCCGTATCGCTACGTCGGTGAAAGTGCGATAATTATAGGTGAACCAACGTAATCAGAAAAAATTATTTCTATGTCTATATAGTTGTTTGCAAGATCTTGCGTGGATTAAACAAAGTTGAAAACCACAAATTTTAGTTAATTAATAATAGAAAAGCCATTAGATAAAATAGTTGTTTACTCAGAAAATTGTCAGCATGAAAGCAAAAATTTAAAAAAATTCATCAGAAAAAATTACGAAGTTATGCTCTGTATTGTATTATTTAAATTGTATAACAGTTTAAACTTTGTAGTATAAGTATAGTCTTTCGTGCTCTTTACTCTACTTGATTCATACCAACCATGTCTATTGACTGGCGCTCGCTTTCAACCCATTAACTATAAAAGCCTCGACTTATCTTCCGCTTTAACTTTAAAAGTGCATATCTAGTGTTTGAAAACAACTAATCATATTGAAGGAAAAAAATTCTTTGTGGTAAAAATAATAGTCTATTACAATTGTTTTTAAGTAGTCTAGTTACTACAAATTTGTTTTGAAAAGTGAAATTAAAAAATTAAAGATTAAATGCAATAATTAAAGTAATTATACTGAATAATGTAAATAATTAATGGTAAATTTACCTGGATTGGCTCCATCTCTAAATTCTCTTGGGAGATTTCTGTATCGTAAGAAGTACTGAATATGAGCCATTTCGTGATGAACAGTAATTAAGTCTTTCATAGTCACTTTCGTACACATTTTGATTCTAAAATAAATAGAGAGTTACGCCCCAATGATCACTTACATGATAATCATGCAGATTATATTGTTAAACGTTTGAAAAGTTCAAAGTGAGAAAGAGGTATACCTGTAATCAATACCATTACAAAAATCCCACGCGGAAGCTTGACAGATTAATGGGCGGTCACCCCGGTTAGCTATAATACTTCCGGCCCAGAACTCTGGAGGTAATGCGCTCAAATTGAGTGAGAGGTAAAATTCCTCGCCTCTCTGGAATATATCTAGAGGTGTATATCCCTAAATCAAAAAAATAGATGGTAAAAAAATTGATCTGTGATGATAAATAAAGGAAATGTATATGAAATAAAATATTAAAAAGCATATTTTTTGATGTCAGAGTTGAATAAGAGCAAAATATAAAAATAAAATTAGAAATACGAATACATAATATCATTTTCTGCTTTCTAAAAATTTAATTTACCTGAGCCTGCATTTCTTCCGTAACATCCATGTAATATTTTCCAGGATATGGCGTTGTAATATCAAGCAAATTGGTCCACGATTGACCCCACAAATTTCCTAACATCAATTCAGTTAAGTGTGAATACTTCAATACATTAGATAAAAGGATAAATTATAAAAATTTACCAAGAATATGAGCTGGAAGTGGTGTATGGGTTCCTATTTTTTCTGGTCCATATAAGTCTCTAAGCCGTTTTCTAATGTATGCATGAAGTTCCTCATAAAGTGGGCGGATAGTTTCCCAGACCTCATCGATTTCTCGTTGAAAGTCTGGAGATTCATAAGGAAACATCCAATATTCTGCAGCATCTGTGAAATCTAGAGAACGAAATAGAATACATTCATTATTAATCACAGTTCAGGTTGTTCACCGTTGATGCATTCATTTATTTATTTCCGGTTACATTAAATTATATCTGACAGTAAGTGGTCATGTGTCAACTGACTTACTATTGAGTCTTGCTATTTCGTTATTTAACGTGACTAATTGAGTGTAAAGGTCACGCATTTGGGCACCGCTCCGTCGCCTCCATTCAGTCCAAACCCACTGTAATTCATCCCAGTCTCTACTTTTAGCCATGATCTGTGTAATTTCTAATCGACAAAAAACAATCACAGATTAATTTATCATTCAAAATAAACTATTGTGTAACAGTTTTTAAAAGTATAATTCACTAAATAATTGCTTTTCTATTTTTTCGATCATGTAACAATAATCCCAATCCATTCACTGGCAATTTTTTTCAAGCCATAAAAACAAGTCGTGGTTCATGTGATACTCCATCCAAGTGGTACAATACACATGTATATGAAAAAACTGATTATAATAATAATTATACAGGATGATGTATTTCGTTTGTGTTAAACACCTTTTAAAACATCATTTTAAGAATCTCAAGTCTTGTCAATAAAAACAATAGACTGCCATATTAGGAAATTCACTTAGATAATATTTCTAGAAGGATCATAATTAGAAACCTTCATCATAAATCTATCCTTTTCATTCATATTTTATAGCATTAAATTTATGTTTATACAATATTTCTTTCATTTTATTAACGTTACTCTCTCAGCTCATTTTCACTTTATGGACATCGAATATTGAGTATGTTGTTGCCATTAAGGGGTCCCCAACAGCTTTCACAGTATCTGAACTGGTCAATTACAGACACATGTACAGAAACTACTATATTGAAATGGAATAATGAAAAAATCAATGAGAAATATACTGATCGAAATAGTAGAAAACACCAATTTATTAGATGATTGACACTTTTGATTTGAAAATAATGAATAAATTATCTTTATGATGTAAAATACCTGGATAAAGGCGTAGTCCACACCGGAAAGGATCATTGTGGGCGCATATTGTAGCAGAGTTATAAATTGCAAGCATATCATTTATGATACGATTGTACTGAAAAAACGATCAAGAGAAAGCTCAAATTAATCTATTATGATAATCTTTATAAGACATTCGTATATATAACTAGTTTCGCTTGAGTGCATCATAAATAAATAAGACGTAACTATTTTACGAGAAAAAAATATTTTACTATGAGCTTATATACTCTTAAGAATTCTCTCATCGATTGCGTACCAAGCAATTGTTATTCGCAAACTACTTTCAGCTCTTTTACATGATAAATATTTTTTTATTGTCTACAGTCAATCATAGAAGTCTAAAGGAACACCGTTACTTTTAAATTATTTTTTTAATGGAATATATTCAACAGAAACTACTCTGCATAGCTGGTGTAACGAGTAGCGATGTTCGCAATCAATTACGTAAGTATGAGTGCATTTATACTGGAGGTTAGGTGGTAAATCAGACAGAAACTTCGTCTCCAATGAGGTAAGCAACCTTGAAGACTATGGAAAATACTTTTATTCATGCTCTTAATTCTCACAAGTCTTCAAGACATATTCAAGTCAAGAGAGTCACCAGTGTTGATCATTTACAATTGTTCGTTGCTTTCTGATCTGATTTACTGATCACCCAGGCCTTGATTTATTACTTTGGAGTACGATCCATTGGGAATAATAAATTTCATTCAAAGTAAAATACTTACTCTGTCTAATTGATCAGGTGGTAATGCAGCTGGGCCAACCACCGATAAATATCTCAGTCTTCTACGTAGTAGAGGATCCCGTTGATTGAGTACATCTAATCGATTTATTATTCGCCAAGCATAGTTCTGAAATTCCGCGTATTCTCTCTGCGCTTCCAGCTGTAACAGAAATTTGCAACTTATCAGCATCGATGGTCCAATGGTAGAATGCTCGCCTGCCACGCGGGCGATCCGGGTTCGATTCCCGGTCGATGCAAACTTATCTTTTGGAATTGTTTCCAAAGTTATCTTTTAAAAACTCATTTAATCAATCAGAAAATGATTGAAATTTTCTTTTTTTAATCAATTGACATCTTGGAATGACAAAAACTTGTAAAAAGTAAATGAATTTTCATCCTAAATATTAAAACATATTTATGTAATTGATTCTCAAGTGGCAGGTACTTAGGGAAATGCATTATTTCATTTTTTCTGAATTCCATAATTTGGAAATTACTACGTAATCATAATTAGTAATAATGACAATTGTTATTAGAATGAAAGTCACGCGATTTGCACGGACTGGGCTTGTTCTGAGGGGGATAAGTCATGTTAGTGTACAAAGTGCTTGTCTATTACTCAATTCTTAAGCGCAACGGCTTCAAATACACAATGGCATCACCTGAGAACATTTCCCGTATGAAGACGTACATTAACGTGTTGTCATTGTCTGCACGCCCTTTCTCGTGCATTAGACATCAAGTCTGATTGTAAGTACAGTAACCTGTGGTTATGTTTTTATGAAGGGAAATTTGCGTGGCACGAGACAGACATCAGCCAATCAATCTCACGAATCAAAGCTAGATGAGGTCGAGGACTTGTTTTGTTATTGTTTAAAAAAGCATTCAAGATTATAGTTGAAATTCCTCTCCTTCTTTCACTTAATTAAAATATTAGACGCATGTTACTTTACAATTCGGGTCACTTAATTGTAATTTAAGCAGAAAGTAGCACAAATTTTGTGTAAATTTATCAATGATTTTGTGATGTTGAAACTGGTGGTCTTATCTTAACGAGTTGTATGTCTTCATTTCTATTATAAATAAATCCTAGCAATCAGTTCTACATAAATCTATAAATGATGCTTGAAAGGTAAAAAATTTTGAAAGATTAAATGAAATTATTAAAAAAAAAATGGCAAGATAAGATGACTTACTGCTTGAAATTGACTATATTCGTTCACATCAGTTTCGTAATTCCACTGTGCTGCAACATTATTAGTGCATTTTTTTGTTCCCTCAGCATCAAGTTCCAATAAAACATTTCTGATATCCCGATCATTTATATTGGGTCCTCGGTTGAAGGAGTCTGGTTGGTTAAAAGTATCTGGTCGATCTCGATTGTAAGGATCTACTTGATCCCGGTTGTAAGGCTCCACTCGATCGCGATTGTAAGGATCCACTCTATCATCTCTCAGGGGTGGAAGATCCAACTGACATGAGGCCGAAGAGAAGAAAAACAATAACAGCAAACATGCAGACATCTGAAAGATAATAAAAAAAAAGCTATTATTTATTTACAAAATTTTTTCCTTATTGTAGTACAGTATAATTATCTTTAATGATTATAACTAAATAGTTTTTTAAACATATAATATTGAAAAATTTTCACCAGAACATAACATTATTCCACTCATGTAATTTTAATTATACTGAACTTTTAATTCATTTTAATTTGCATAATAAAAGTTCAAAACAAAAAAATTATGTAAATGGAGTAAATATTAATTGATGAAGATAATTGGAGTAGTAGAACAAAATATCCAGTCAATCACTAAAGTATAACTGCACTAATGAATCTCCCACGCAACTTACGCATCTCCATGCACTGTGGCCAACAACAACCACGAGTACAGGCCGATGAAGAACCTCCATCGCGGATTTTAATTTCCAGAAATTAGAGTAAAAATGAATATCAATAAATCAATTCTTCTTTATTATATTTTATCCGATTATTCAAATATCTGAAAATCAATTCGCTGATTTAAATTTAGGAAAATTATCAATTTCCATACAACTTGTCTCTTCTTCGTACTTTACGTTACTAAAAGTGACATAGAATCGTACGTATACATTTATCTCTGCGTGCGAGCAGTTCGAGCGACACGAGAGGTCATCATTTTTGATGTAAGTGGGGGAGTAGTATAAGTCATTTGTTCTGAAGCTCATTCTTGTAGAAGAAAGAGGTGGAGTAGGCAAATGACGAAGAAACAAAGTGGAAGTGGTACAAGTTGAGGATGGTAAACAAGTAATCGAGGAAAAACTAAAAAGAGGGAGGTGCAGGACGTGATTACAGTACGACCTAAAGTTTAAAAGGTAGGGAGGAGGTCACTTGCATCATATCGTGAACAGTTTTCCCACGTTTGGTCGTTGCTTTAAGGCAACATGTCAGTCTTCTTCTTTCCCTTTTTGTCTTGTCCCTCTATTAGCAGTCATTTGCATTTCGTATTCATCTTTTTTTTACACGTTAGACAGAATCTTATCACCTTCCAACAAGTCTTGTAAGACATCTTATATGATGATAATAATTTTTCGCGCAAGATTAAGATTGCGTGTTTAATAATAGACCGGAAATGATGCATTGCTTCTACCGTTGGAGACTTTGAGATTATAAATTGATATGAATCATGAAGATTGAATAACCATAAATTATTCTTTCTCGATGAATCAATTTGTTTTAAACTTCAATTTATGAATCAAAAATAGGAAATTTATCTATACTTACAAATAACTAAATGTAAACAGTGTTAAGTAATTATTACCCTTGATCATACAATGCTTGATGAATCATATAATCCAGTATTATAATCTTATTATTATTTAAAGATCGCAATAATCTAGCATAGAGAGAATACTGACTAACTCTCAATTAGCATAGCCATCCAGTTATTACGTTATTGCGGTATTTCGTCGAGTAACTATCATTCAAGTCTTTGATATAGAAATGTGGTTAAATGAATAAAAACCGCACCCAACAAATTACGATCAAGTAGAACACTTGTCTTCACAGTCTAGGCCAAACAAGGAGTAACCTTGAATTTCAATGTACGTAGGACTTGTGGTTTAATGACTATAATTACGTAATTTAGTGTTACATACACGAAATTATTCACAATTAACGCCTTCAACCTGGAACGATTTAATTTTTCGGATGAAAGCAAATAGTTGAGAAAATCATGGAAGGTCATGACCATGGTATCAGGTCATCACAGCGTAAAATAGAAATTATTGATTGATCAGCTTTCATGTAATGCTCAGTTGATTCGAGCAATGAAATAGAGGACAATGATGATGTGTGATAATAATCATAAATACAGAAGCATGTACTTCACAGTAATTTCTTGGTATAAACAATACTAATATTTCTTGAAGATAAAAAATGCCGGTCCCACGGCTAACTCGGCCTCAAATCTTGAGTTCAAGTACGTTGAGAGGGAAATTTACCGGTCTTTATGGCATACAATGTCCTGTTGAAATTGATTCTCAATAATAAAAGAATTGTATACATAATTAAAATTGCTAAGTAGATATTGCACGGTATTTATATATTAACACAACCAAAGTAAATAAAAAAATATTTCTTAATTTTCTATTTCAATATTTCCTATTTTTTATGCTGAGAATATAATTCAAATAGTCTTTTTAAAAATAAAAAATAATCAAAGGCGAAAGATCTGTCAATTTTTTGCTAGGAATTTTTTTTATCAGTATTATGAAATGTTGTCGGTGTAATTGAAAGGGATTAAAAGATTAATTTTTAATTTTAAAATAAAAAAATGGTTTACGTACTCATGTTTCATATTCTTCAAAAAAATCCATATACTCCATTATTTTTTTCAGTAAAAGGAATGGCGATTATTCATTTTCAATGTGTTCTTCTAATCCGTCTATCATTCATGTTGATGCATCATCTATGTACCGGTGGACAAGAGTAATCTGTAACATTAGATAAGCATTAATGAAGACAACAGGGCTGCATAGTTGGTGGATTAAGATAACCGTTGTTGCTTTTGACAAATGATTTCAATAGATCTGTACACAAATCACACTGTATAATTGGATCAATAATGTCTCTTCAATATTAAAAATGAACGATTAATTCTTTCTTTCAGAGCGTGAGAAAAGCTCTGACCTCGTGTGTGTCATTTATAAATTATAATTAAATCTGTTGTATAATGAATCATAATGATGTAGACTAGATGAATATTATTCTAGTGAATCGTTAAGAATGTTGACAAAAAAGACATAATTATTTTATGAACATGTTAAATAGTAGAAAATTTCTTTTGTTAATGATTCTAATTATTATAAATATAATCAATTTTCCGGTATGAAACGTTTTCACTCTTGTGCTTGCAGAATAAAATACACTTTAAACAACAGATTGTTTACTTTTATGAGGAATTTTTCAAGGCTTCAATAATTATAAATTGTAAACATGAGTATTGAAACAATCTTTCTCGATGTAGAACTCATTGTAAAGTATGCATTCAACATAATTGACCAATTAATTAAATATTAATAATTATTTTATTTAGTTAAAAACTTCCTTAATTATTGAAAATTAAGATTTATTGATCTCATGTCTATAAAAAATCAGCTTTCATTTTTAAATAACAATTTATTTTATCTCTAAGAAATGATGACTGCATTGATTTATTAAGCTGTATGACATTTAAAATTGGCAGTTTATTTCCTGTTCTCTAATTGGAATTTTATAATAATTTCTCGTGAAATGTATTACTCAACTAATCAACATTTACAGGTGCCTTTTCCACTTCATTGTTCCATAAAAGGTTGCTAAAAACTTTTCTAGCCTGCAATTTAAGAGATAATATGTTGGAAAAGAAGCTATCACACCTTATAGATTGTCACATTATATCATAACTTGTAGTTTAACAATGAGATGAAATCTCAATTAATGAATAAAAAGACATAAAAGCAATGAATAGAAGTCGCTAGAGTTAATGTTGTTAATGAAAGTATATTCAAAGGAGTAATGAGTCTTTCAACAAGGATGCAAAACACTAGTAAATCTCGTCGACTCACGTCCTCAATCTGCGCGCTCGCTGAATCATTGGAAACAAGTATCAACATATGTAAAACTAAACATTACACCTGAGGCACGTACTTTAGAAAACCTAGAATGGAAGTGTATATTTTACAAGTATACAAAAAAGATGATAAATAGAGTAGAATCAATATTAAACGATGCCAAGTAGCTTTGTTCTTTGTGAAATTGATGAAAAACTGGTTCACACACCAGTGATTTCGTCCAACAACACTTGTCAGCACTTTTTGACGTTACTATGGTTCCTTCAAGGAATCACCTTCACTTCAAGGTTATTGAGTTAATGGATGTGTTAAATTTGAGTCGACACTCTCAGGGAATTTAATTGACATGATGTAGTCATTATTTTTTTCGAAATGATGGGACACATATAGAATTCGTAATTATAATTATTTAAACTATAATGCAAGAAAACAATTTTTTTATTTAACATTAAATGTGTTCAAGATTAATAAACATAAGTTCAATCTGATCAAGAATGCTAAGCACGACTAAAGTTAACAATACAAATGATTAATAAATTTATTCTTTCACATAAATAATGATCATAATGATGATAAATATTTTTAAATATTCTTTTTAATCATGAAATAATTTTAGTCATCGTTATGAAGAAAAAAATTATCTTAGAGTAGATGTATCTATTTTGTACTGTTAAAAAATTCTGTTCACGTCGCAAGCACTTTTGAAACGAATTTTCCATTTTTAAGACAATAAAGAATTACGAAATATTCCAACGAGAACATCATGCATTTACGTCGCATGTCAGAGGAGAAAACACCCGCATTAGTTTGCATTTTTTTATGAAAGTCTTTGGAGACTTGTGAAAAAACTATTTGCCTTTTATAAAAATTAACGCACCGACGTGAACATTTTTTATAATGAAATTGAAAGACGTTTGTTGAAGAATTGAAGGCTCTCCGTCATCTAGACTGGAACATTGTTGGCAAATTTTTAGTTCAAGTACAATCCAGAGCAAATACCTATCGACATTAATACAATTATATGAATGATATCTTGATTCAAATGAATCAACTATTCAGTCTAATTTTAATTCATAAAATTGGTAAGATACGTAATTGTAAAAGCGTAACATTTTTTTACCTAATGTACGTTACGTTGACATATTGCGCAGATTAAAAAAGAATTCCGACCACCAACTAGCTTTAATTATAGAATAATTAACCATTTCTCGTTAAAGTCAATTTGGTAATCAACTGTTCCTGAAATTATATAACAATACACAGACTCGAGTATCATAAACACGCGATAAACTAAACTAAATTTACGTAGATGAGTGAATAGAATGAAGCATTAAGTGTAAAATAGAATAATTGGATGAAACTAGAAAGTATTCAGAGATAGCATAATTTCAATAAAACAGACATCTTCATTCGATTGATATTCTGAAAGAAGTAGAAGTTATGAAGAAAGTTAATGTGTTTTTAAAGAAAGTGAAGCATGTTTTGAAACAACTGTAAAAAATATAAAATATGCATATTAAATAAAAAGTTGGAGCGGTCTACCCCTGGATATTCAGAGAAATTTAAAATATACTTTAGTAGCTACTTCGAAAAAATTGACGTCTAATTGACTTCTTTGACATTCGAATGACAAGTGGGATTTTTCAGAAAGATTATTAAAACTGAAAGTTTTCAGGTGATATTCCAGAGAAGATACAAATGCAGATGAAATGATTACATCCGAGTAAATACATTGACTGACTCAAGGAGATTATTCCATTAAGTGGTCAGACATGCAGCATCTCGTGGTTGTTTTGTTGAGTGAAAGTGTCTACTAAAATAAATATTTAAGTATTTAATATCATGACTTAATACTTTCAACATATGTCAGATTATTTTTTAATAAGAAAATTGTATTTTTCATGTAAACAATAGTTTTACCACGCTTCTTTTCATTCATATTTGTGGGTTTTACCCATAAATAAGACATCATACATCATGACATCAATTTCCTGTTTATTATCGTCTCTAGGTAATTTTATAATTGTTTACTTCTAATATTTAGGCGTGACAAGATTTATTTGAAGCTCTGGTACGAAATTTAATAACAATAGATTTGTGAGAAAATTGAGAAGTGTTTTTTTATCATTTTTTCATAAAATTGGAATTTAATTATGATGGATTGTTTTAATAATAAAATTATTCTATCAATGAAGTTTTGAAAAAATATGAATATCCTTTAAATCACAATCATATATTTTTTGATCAATATTAATTAGACCGTAGCAGTGAATACCACATCAATGGTTTTTCAATGAACTAATAACTTTATCATCTAACTTTTCTTTTTTATATCAAATAAAAAAATCTAAATCCAATCAAGGGAAAATTCCATTTTCAAATTATCTACTCCAATATCACCACAAGCCAATATGTTTAAAATAAATAGGAAGTACAATTTTATCGAAGGGAACAGCTGTGCGAGACAATTTCTGGCAAGTGGCCATGAACATGTTCAGAAGATCTAGAGTAAAGTACGTGCCAAAAAATAAAAAATTGGTAAATCCTCTGTTCCTTATGTATCAGACAGAATTCCAGCATTAAATTTAAATACAGTGAGCTACCTACGATTATTATCCTTACCATCATTTATGTCTGGTAATGTTAGTAAATATATTGTTTACCTTTAAATGAGAATATTACAGCAACATCACCTGTTACTAAACCTAGTAAACCTCGAACATGAACACCTGCTAGAAACCTAACTTGTCTGATGGTAGTTTAGGTAGAAATCTACGATCTTCTGTACTTGCCAGCAGTTGGAGTCAGTCCAGCAGATAATAAACATTGTAATTATTATCTAAATGGTCTTGAACATTAAGTAGAAGAATAATAGCCTTGATAACTAGAAGACAATTCAGAAAATTGTTCCAAAAGACTTTAAGGTTTATTATATTCTCTTGGTCCAGGTGCTGCTATTAAATGGTCTCCTTTCATTTCCATGTTAGATAATATCACCCAGACTTTAATCTCCAGCAGAACTTCTGTAAAAAAAAAGTTTGCAAATGTATTTGCCAATCTCAAGTTGCTAAGAAGTGTATTAATCTATTTTGTAATCGTGTCATCGTATTGCATAGATCTATAGAACTACTTAGTTGCATTCTATAATAGTACGCATTCCATAACAAAATGCTCTCTATTCGAACATATTGACTTTCACACGTATCGTCAAGAATCGAAGACGCGTACGATTTTCCAGTTTTCAATTGAGAAAAGTTCTAATCACGTACTCATGCTAATTTCTAATCTTTTAAAGCCGATGAAGTTTGCATAAATTAAATATGAAACCTAGAGCTACATGCAAGAAGTTGTCAAATAAATAATAAATAGACTGTTATTTGAGTGAATTAACAAATACATTTGAACGTTGAATTTAATTATTGTAAAACGGTAACTTTTATTTTTTAAATGTTATCTGTATCAATAAATAATGTAGTCCAATTACCTCTGTTTTCTGTTGTAATCCATAACTCCTTAAGGTCACATTGCGAAGTGATTCAGTGACTGATAATGTCACAGGCAAATTTAATAACCCCATAACAATATTATCTGTTAGGGTGAAAAGATCCTTGTAGGCGTTCAAATTCTTTTCAGGTACGTTTGCGTACCTTTCTTTGAGTTCTTGCGTTTTTTATGCGATATATGTTCGATCAAACGTGTCGAAACTAGTAGATAGATCACGAGATCATGACGTAGGGTTGCTATCAGACATTCGCCAGAATTTCGAAACCTCCACACGGACGTTGGTGTCCTGTTAAGAAATAATTAGTTTAAGTTTTTGAAATTGATATCTGAATTCGGATAAATAGAAATTGTGTCTGATTAAATTAAGAAAGGAACGCAGTCATGTGAATTTGCGAAGGCGAGTATTGACAATGTAACCTTGTCTAAATGAGTGCATTTGTATTTTTAATTAATTCTTCAGATGATTTAACATTGGCTTTCTTAATAAAATGAATAATTTACTGAAAATGACGTACGTCGTACTGGGCTTAACCGTGAACTGAATTAATCCATGGATGCAATACGGAAGTGAAAATTTAAATTTTTTTGTGATTTTTATGTTTAGTCATAAAATATGCTACTGTTTTTATCACCAAACTAATGAAAAGTAATAAATCATTTTCATTAACATATCTCTATAAGCAATTATATCTGACATTTCTGATTTTTCTCATCCAAGGGCGGGGAATCTATATTACTTGATGGAATGAAATCTAGGTTATGCCCATTGAGTTAGCGTTAATACCAATTAGACGCTCGCCTTGGCTTCCTTATCATGTGGGTACAATTGTAGGGAAAAAATATTATAATTCGATGGTCAGAATTCATTCAGACTCAATACCATGATAATTGTGTATTGTTAAATTTTAATGCAACATTATAAGAAGTATTGAGTAACACTCATTCTAATTCTAAAAGCGAGGCTATAAATTTTTCAAAATACTTCAAAAAACAAACATGACCATCAAGAAAATTTCTCTAAATGGCCTTAAAAATATTAGTTACGATATTTTCAAAATAAGCTAAAAGAATCAGTATCCTTGGTCATTTCATCAAGGTTTAGTAATATTCAAAATAAAAATTTACAAGGAGACAATATCAGAGAATGAAAAAATATAAAATAATTTGAAGCTATCCAATGTCATATTTCTGGCAGAGAACAAAACATGAGATTACGGTAATGGTGTTGAAGCCTAGTATAATAGACGAAACATTGACCAGAGGCCGAATGTTGAGACACTGGATTTACAAATGATTGTGTAGAAAATCTAGTGAACAAATACACAGTAGCATGCCAAATTGATTATGTTGAAGATCACGGAAGCCGTGGAATAATTACTTTCACTACACTGAAAGACATAATCGTGCTTTTGCATTCACCATTAGGTTACTCTGTCCCTCTGTCGATTGTAATCGTATTAAATGCAACAGCTGTTGTAATTATGCAATTAACTGAATCAGAAAAAAGATATTATAAACAATTGCATCGACAAATTATAAAAACAACCGATAGTTTAATAATGTGAGGCAACTAATAGAAATTATAGGGAAAAACTTAAAGACTGATAAGTACCTCAAGTATTAATTGTAATCTGCAATGGTAATCAATTTATTGAGCTACAGAAACTTCATGTTTTTTTCAATGATTTATCAGCAGCAAACTACATATGGATTAATACTTGTAATTGTTATAGACATAAGTATCATCACTTAATTCGTCTAATTTTTAATGCATCAAATGAATTATTTATATTAACGTCATATATATCTAATTTAGTTGTAAATGTTCAGCATCCGGATTCCAATCCGGAGTGACTGTCGCAGGATACAAATGGCATTGAAAGACAACGAATTGCACGTGGAGAATATCTATTAAACTCACGCATTTTGCGTGATACAATAGACAGAAACAGTCGTTAGAATGGATTAATTTTTAATGAACAATTATTATGTAAGCTTTTGTTGATGATAAATGCATCAATTGTAAAGTGTAATAAGCATTTCTTTTTATGTTTTATCATCACTTAAGGAAAATTCGAATCTCTTTAAAACATTTTTATTTATTATTAATTAATATTTATTTGATTTTTTTAACTATCAAGAAATAATTATTGAATATAATCATATTTCTTTGAAAGCAAGTAATAATTCATTTTTTTTAGTTATTAAAATATTTTTTACACTATTGAAAAAATTAAAACCGTCTCGACACACAGTTAATATGCACAAATTTCGCAAGATGCAAAATTTTAATCCGTTTAAATCAACGCATAGTCATAAGAGAATTTCAATTATATCTGGTATTACAACTATTCAAATGAAAAATGATTCGCTTGATTGAATCTTTAATTTATTGATATCAATATGTATTTTCCTATAGCAGAAATCAATCTTCAACTGACAAAATTGTTCCTTTATTCTGTAAAATTATTTTTTTCTTGAATACATAACTCTTATCTTCAATTTTGAATAATAATCAAACTTTTTATTCAGTGAGGATTAATTAAAAGAATACAGCCAGCAATTCTTCACATCAATTAAATAACTAATTTTTTCAAATCATAATAACGATCGTCATTGACACAGTTCTTGTCATCAAATTGTACTCTTATCAAATCTCTATCAGACCTTCATCATCCCTATTGTCTTAACGTGTAACGTTAAAAAGCAAGCATCAATTACTCATTAATAAGAAAATGAGTCCTGAAGTAGCCTTCAAAGTATGTTTCTTCCGGTGAACGACAGATCAATTGAGATAAAACCATTTTCGCCCAGTGGTGGACGTTTCTCTCATGATCACGCGGTTTCGTCTCAAGGCTCGAGGGCAAGGGTCACCTTGACCGTCATCTTAGATAGAAGAACCGAGTATCTTGTAAAAGAGGAGGGTCCGTGACCTCCAACACGATATATAAATCCTAGCACAAATCCCCTCTTTACATCAATCGGAATAAATCCGTGCGGGAGTACTGATAATAACAGAACGAGGGAAATAGTCAGACAAGATCGACTGCAACTACTTGTTCTACAGAATAAAGAATTATCTACTACCTACGTATACTTACTCTAGAACAACAGACCTCCCACCCTCGTTCTCTTTCTCCAACCCTGAGTCTACATCACTCAACTCTTTCTCTCTTTTACTGTTCCGCACGCCCCGCGTGGTAATACAACCAACAGTTAACGAGAGTCTAACGCGGGAGGTAGCAGTTGGAATAGTCCTGTGTTCATCACAAGTTTCAACTAGATTTCAAGAGCACCATGAGACTCGTAAGTATTTGACAGAAAAATTGTGATTTCAATTGCACTGAAACAAAAAAAAAAAAAATTGTGATTAATCTTCTAAATGTTGAAGTGATTCTGTGAGAGTTTCCAGTGGTTTGGCGTGCAAAAATATTCAAACAGTGAAAAATAAAAATAAGCATTTTTATGTGAGATATTTTTCTCAGTAAAATCTTGGCGTTTCGCTCTGAATGAATGCACTAACGATTTTGCAGTTTCGCTTTACGAAAACGCGTGTCGCATACTCAGTGAAAACGAATCGAAAGTACATAGATCTATAAACACATATATATAATAATGAGATAAAAACATTGTTTCATAGTTTTTTGTTTATAAAGTGATTACGTCGGAAGTTGATTATTATATTATACAATATTACGATTAAATTATATGCTTAAATTTGCTTCACATCAATCTCCAGGGCAATACAAGTCTCTGGCCTTGCCTGCGGCTTATTGAACACTTGTTGTTGGGTACAAATGAGTCTGGAATCTATCTACGTGGTCAAGTAATCTAAGAATATCACACCTGGCATCTTGCTTGATTTTAACAGATTAATGGTGCTTTAGTATGCCTTTAAGGATTATGTCTCAATTATTAAAAGTCTATAAAAAATTCATCAATGCAATAACTTTTTTGATCAATTAAAAATACGAATATTTACACTTTCATTAACTTAATTACAGCTTTATCTTAATTATTTAACAATTAACTAACAATTAAAACTCATTTATTAATTTGATTGAATAATTATTCAATTAATTCATCAAGATAATTTATTATTCCGAAATAAAAAAGGATTAAATTTAAATGATAAATAAATAAGTAAAATGAATCGTCTAAACAAAATGGCAACTGGTTTATGGTGAATGGTGTTGAAAGATAAAAGAGAAGGACTTCAAGATTGCAACAGGGTGAGCTTACATATTTAAAATGAGGTCAGGGGTAGTAGCCTAATTAACGTAACCGATTAATTGGTCTTTAAATTGCTAAGAAAATGAGCATATGATTAAATAGTAATAAGCTAGTGGTGCTAAACAAGTTTAAAAAAGTAACCATTAAGATGAGGAAGTTGAACAAAAAGTGCTAATCATATATGCTTGATGGCTTTCTAACGATTGTCGTGTTTTTATACAATGTTTGACCGACAGCAATTCATATAATTTTTTTAACTACACTTCTGTCTTCTATAATTTTGCAATATTATTTGCATATTAGCTTTTATCAAACTAATCACATGTTCACGACTTGGGTACCTGCAAAACATTCTTGTTTGTTATTCGTATAATTTTTCTACATTTCTGTGTCAGACTCTTGACACTTCTTGGGAATGGTATTCAAGTATTTCAGTACTTAAATTCCTTTCATTCTCTAATGTTGTTTTATTCGCACAACTTATAATTTCGATCAATTAATCGAAAGTATGAAAATTCTAATTAATATTCAAAACATAACAACTGCAATTAAATAGGATTATATTATCAAATAAAATATTATTGAGTTGTTTAATATTAGTAATAAATTTACCTGGATTGCATGATATTTTTCCAATCAATGAACGACTTAGTAATGAATTTTCTGAATATCACGTGAATCCTGTAATTGATTTCAGTCCTTGAGTCAGTTTCAGAGGTAAAAAAATGCTTGGTAAATGGGCCGTTATGGAAAGAAAAATTCGCTACAAAACTTTACTACTTCCTTGAACCTCACGCAAACTCATTCAAATTACTGTGATTAACGTACTCACCAACCGCATCCACAATTAAACACACTAATCTACGCATTAAAAAAGATACCTTGAAAACACATAAGTACCTCCCCTTATTTTGCTTGCTTCTGACTGTTAATCATTGCATAAAATATACAATGTGTTTTCCAAAACAGTTTTCTGAAAGAAAACATGTTAAAATTAAACTTGATCATCAGCTAGAGGTACATAAATTCAAATTTCTATACTCTCTGAAGCATAACCTATGGAATAAGATTAAGGTGTAAAAATAATTATATAAAAATTAATTAGTAAATACTTTTTCGCAAATAATAATAATAATCATCATCACCATCATCATCGATAACCTAGTTTTTATGTTAATAAAGTTTTTGTAGGAGAAACGACAAAAATCCAATTCATCCATTCACCCTCTTCTTTGAAGAAAGTACTTTCTCCAGTTTCGTAAGCTTATCATGATATTCACCATAAAATGTTTATATTCCAATTCACACATTAAAATAAAATACGCATTTTTAATGACTTCTACTATAATTTTAATTGCCTGTCATATATCGTTAGCTATGTTAGTAAGTCATTCGAATGAATCTTTAATAAATAATTATTGCGTTAAAGATTGCACCATCATAACAGTTAATAAATTTGTGTGAATTTTAAATCATAAATAAATTTATAAAATTTATAACTAATTATACGCTATCTTTAATTAATCAATTCATGTAAGTTACTTTCGCAATTAAATTTGACAGCGGGCTATCTGAAAGTTTATTCCGGAATAAACGAAACAAGTGTTAGAAGCACTGGGGCTTAGCGGTCGCGAGCACAAGACCACTCTCTTCCGGCAAGTGTAACAACGTGTTAGTTGTGTGTATTATATCTTTTCTATCTCGAAAATTCATCTACCGTCACGAGAGAGTATCGATAATTGATCAAATGCAGGATGGTGCATTAGATGAAAACGGCCATGAGTGAAGTCGCATAATAGCTCGTGACTAAGAGATTCGTTACAGGTTATATGACCGACGTCATTAGTCTCTATAGACATTTATTTGTGCATTTATTTTACTCGAATAGCTATCTTAGGACGCAATGTAGGTACACATATGTGCCATTGGTACTGAACTAAACTTACGTTATGTCTTGATCATTTATTATACATACAATTTATAAGACCGTTTATGTGAACGATTCTCTATTTTGCATGAGATTTTCTCCATATACTCAATGATAATAACAATAAAACAAGTAGATCGAGAACAATTCTATGGCTTGAATGGGGAAACTTGATACCCAGGTTGCTCTTTATATTAGTAAATAGTCTGCAGACCACAAAGGTTTGGTCTGTAAACTGGATTGTATTAAGCAGACTTACAGCAGACATGGAATAAAAAGGGATATTATCCTCGTGACGCTAAGATATACATTTATTATGATGTTGAAATATTATTTTTATCATTTAAAAAAAAAAGAGAAAATTATTTTTAGTTGCATAAAAAAAATAGGTTTAGTAAATAATCATTTGTATGATAATTTTTTTACATCGTTACAACGATTTCATAATAAATATTTATATTAATTTTTTATTTATAAATTCTCAACTCTTAATGATATAATATCAGGTTGATAATGAGCACGAGAATTGCATAAAAGCATTTGTTTGAATGAAGAAAAAAAATGTTTAACATTTCCATTTGTTTTTTTAACTTTTAATTGAGTTGTCTTTGGTAATGATATTGCAGACAGTTTGATCGTTCAACAATGAAATTAAAAGTGAAAAAAAAATATCTATATTATTACAGTAAAAACTGTTGATAATTATTTGTAATTCGAGAGAGAAAGTAAATCCCAATGAATCAGCAATTTTGTTATTAAAAATTATTTTAAAATGACATTTCACCAAAATAACTTGATTACTTTGACAAAGGTCTTGAGTATTCCGTGACTGTTTCACACTCGTGAATCCGCGCCCATCACTAGGTAATTCCTTTCAAGGAAAGTAACATTAGTAATATATCACGTAGGAAGAATCTCATGGGTCACGGTATCGCACATGTGTGCCGTACATTTTATCTTGACCTCGCTAATTCAACTAATTCTTTTTTTTTTAAAAAAGCGACTAAGAAACCCATTAAATAAACCTGCTATTTTTTTCATTAATTGAAAAAAAATGTTATCACTTTCAACTTGTGAAAATGAATTTTCTAAAAATTTCGTCTTTGGCCTTTCGAATGAATCATATACTTGCAAGATACGTGAAAGTAGTTTTAACAGTGGAAAAATTCAAACCCGGATAATATTCCTTATCGAGTAATGATCATACACTTTAAAGTAATAAATGCTTATAGAATGTAAAAACAATTTCACTTCAATTCGAACAATAGGTTTCGTGTGATAAAATTAATTAGTATCAATTTCATAGGTGTATCTTCTTGTATAATTGTATATTTATATATTATTTTCTGTATCAATAAAGCATGTTTTCACCTAGTGTTTAAATAATTGGACTAAAAAATATATCATGACACTTCAAATCATTACGCCCGCATATAACCGAGTATAATAATAAAATAATTACTGTTACTTGTCATGAGGGCGTTTCTTTCATAAATTGTATCTATCGTAATGCATAAAGGACGCGCAAACACGCGGAGACACTAACGATACACGCAGGATACTTATAACGGTTTCATCATCACACACTTTACGTAACGGTTACAGAAACGAAGAGAAAAAATAGTACGCAATCATCCATATTTTAGACTCCTCCTTGTGTCTTTAACTGCTCATCTAATAGTCCGCAGGACGCTTGGTAGAATAGATTTACGATCGAAATCATAGCCTGCAAGCATAAATAAATAAATAAAAAAAAAAAAAAAGGAAATAGTATGAATCCGGAACTCATCAAATATTCCTTCGAGCCATAAAATTGATTTGGCGAACTACAGCAATAATCATTTGGTACGCATTCTTTGTTTTATATGTTTGAATGAGAGTTCTAAAATATTTGTTTTGTTGTAATTATAGCCCATTGATTGCCTTCCGACTGATTCCGTTCAATTTATTGCTCTTTTAAGTACGCCATATATTATGTTGTAATTAAACTTCAAATGTTACCTTATTGAAAGATATTCAATTATTAAAATTATTGTTATATCAAATATTTTACTTGAAGAGCCTAAAGATAATAATTCTTTTTTATTACATCATTAAATTCAATTCAACTCTACACGAGAGAAAAGAATCGTTATTATAATAATAACATTGTAGTAGACAAATTAAAATAATAAATGCCATTGACTCTATAATTTCACTTATATTCTTTTATTTTAATGGTTGAGGTACTAGTAGTTACTTCGTGTGCCATTGAGACTTAGTTGTGGGTAATAATTATCTAATTTAAAATGACATTTATTTTATAATATTTTCCAGTGATTGCATTCTGATAGTTTTCTACATAATCTATTTTTTTTTTGTATTTATGTATATCAGGATTTTATCTGTCTTGTCAACAACCCTGTTTACGAATATATTATCAGAAATGTCGGATCAAATAGGATGTGAAACCCTTCATTAAATGATCGTTATGCTGTCGATAAATTGGCAATTCTTGGATTATATTGTAGTTACGCATATATACCTCGGATCGTGTGAACATTCTTAACCTATTAACCGCGTTTCTATGCATGTTTTGTTACACTGGGAATTACAATATTTATCATGTATCCTCTCACGTAACTACTAGGCTATTAGGCTAATCAATAAGCTCAAAAAATGCAGGATAATTATAAAAATAGGTAAACTTACCATGCAAATGCTAATCGTCGTTTGACATTTTTTTAATAAGTGTTATTACAAAATATCCACTGGAGAAGGTTTCACTATGATTTTTGTTGAAGCGAATACACATAGATAAGCGATAAAGATCGCGTTAGACTGGGTAGAAAATTTTCTCCGCATAATGCCTGATAAAAAAAATTATCAATTATATAACTACTAAGGATATTCACATTTTAGAAGACATTAATTATTCAACAGTGAAATAGGCGCATTAAGTCGGAGATTAAATGTATGACTCACCTTAACTGCAACGATACTCTTAGCGTTCTTGAAACTGTCAATTAAAGCAGCTTCACCGTGCCCCAGATAATGTCTTACAAAGTAAAGGTTTACAACCTCATTTAGATATCGAATAATTATTTCATTTTATTTTTTTTACCGTTAATCAATCATTAAAACTTTTTTATTCATCTCAAAGTTGCGAATAGCGTTACGTGACGCCATAATTTTGTTACTTTTTTGCGTCTCAAAAAAGCTTCTAGAATTATGATCATTTTTTGGAGAGTATATTTGCTTTAAATCAATTATTTTATAAGAGACTTAAAGATTTTGTTTTAGTTAACAATAATTTAAATCAATAAGAATTTTTCCTTCAATATTTTTTACCTTTTTTATGATTAAATACAACAAACGCTTAGACACGCTTCGATGCTTACATGACGCCATAATGTGTTCTGAAGTACAATGAGACATCTTTATGGCGCCACTTCACACTATAAACTTTCAACGGCTTCAATTTTGAACAACGTAGTTAACCGTTCCTCCACCGGCTCATTCCATTATTTCCGGGAAGATAGATCAGTGATAAATGTTATCTCGGTCTTTATTTTTTAATTAATAGATAAAATCAGTTGTTACAAATAATAAAATGTAACCTATATGACATAACAAAAAAAGTGTGATTTATAATAAAATTAACCTGATTGCTTTAAATTTAAATCGTAAATTTTCATTCGGGAAAAACTTAATGTTTTCCTCAATTTCAAATTGATTATTAGAGAAATTTATAGCATTTGTAATAAATTGACTACAGACAGTTTAATTAAGGAAATACAGCTGTAAAAAATGAAAGGAATATTTAAAGTTATTTAACATAATCTATCATAGTCAGAGATAATTAAACTACATTGAGAAAATTTTTTTCCAGATTGCCATAATATTTTGCTGTACAATATTATCGAGTACGATGGCTCAGGACTACAGTCAGCTTTTTGCTGGCTTTGGACCCTACTTCCGTGCTGTAACACCAATGAGAGATCCACGATCCAACACCGGTAGGTTGCTTGCACTCATCCGTTAAATGTGATGATGTGAAGGATAATTTGTATTCTGCTAAACTTCCGGAGTGAATGTCTTCATCCATTAGAAAAAGCACTTTCTCTGATATATTGTTACCACTAGTGTTTGCTAAAACCACGTGAGTGATCTCAATTGTATGGTCTATTGATCTATGCAAAGAGGCTTGATATTAATGCAGATTATATGTATACTGACATATCTACACATCATGTGTGTTTTGTTTTTATCTAAGAGCAATCTATGACCTTCATTTCACGTTTGATTACATAAGATGATAGTTTTATTATCTTCAAGATTTAGTTACTACATATTGTAAGCGTATATGCAGTAATGACAAATTAATTTGATAAAGTAATAAGAATAAATTAGGCTAATTAACTAGTTTATATGATACGCGTTCGAAAAACTAGTTTTTAAACGTTTCAGTAACTACTATTTGTTTATATGGATATATATTTCATACAATTAAGTAATTCAGTGCAACTGACTTTTTCTCTTTATTTCTCCAACTTTCTGTTCGTTGAAAAACTCATTTTTAGCAAAAAAAATTTGCCAATGCAAAGTTATTCAGTTTTTTGTAATATTTTATAACTCTTTCCTATTGATTTAATTCAACAAGTAGTCTGTTAAGTGTTTAGAACATGGAGTGCAAAAATAGTTTGAATACCTAAAATTGGAAGCTAATATATCAAATCGTTGAAGTGTAAAAAAAGTAATTTTTCAACGCGATCGACAGAAACGAATAACTTTATTATTCTGATTTCAAGTAATTTGACATGAACCATTACCCATACTTTTGATAAAAATCGCATGTCGTTTACTCAACACATTTTTTTGCAATTAGATTAAGATCTTATTGTAATAACAGAATGATTGTTTTGTGTCTTTTATTACAGGACCAGTTTTATTCCCACCTGGACCACAATCGAATAATGCTGAAACTAGTGGAGTAATCGTTGGAGCAAGTGGATTTGGATTTGTGCCACCAAACTCAGGTAAAGGAATCCGTGGTCGATGAGAGTTAAGGAAAAATATTAGACACATTTAATTGGACTACGGATAAAGTTGCAGAAGAGCATCGAGGAAAGGATGATTGCTTTTCATATCTCTGATAAATTAAAAAAATTCTTTTCAACTCATTTACCATTTTATTCCTTAATGATCATCTTCATCATTATCTGTGTTATTTTAAATTCCTCATTAGTAATATCTATTAGCTAATTGAAGTAATATAGAACTAGTTAAATTAATATTAAATTACTTTTTCAAGGCTAGCAATAAAATGAAACCCTGATCCACTTCCTGATTTCCTTTTCTATATAGATAGAATAATAGTCTCCTTGTATCTAAAAATGGTTGTAGATTAAGAAAAAAACACTTGGGCTAAAATAACTTGGGAGGTCAATAGTTTGTAGTTAGTAACTTCCTGAACTTTATATTCCTAATAACTTGTAAATAATGTAATGTAACTTCCTTCAATTATTTATAAATGTCTAAAACAAGTAATATTTCTTTATTGCACAAAATCCTTATCTTCTGTATTATGAAAAATTAGATTAGTATCCTTAATAAGTGTAATAAATAATAACTTTCATGTATGTGTTTATTATCCTGATAATGCTTATTTAAAATAATTATATAAATCGATTGAAGAGTTTCTCACAAGTTTACATTCAGTAAAGTTGTAATTTAAATCTTCTGCAAATATCCTCTCACTCTTCCTGGTGTTGAAGAAGCGAAAGCGATACTTATGGCTTGAAGCATCACAAACTTGTTTGCTTCTTGGCCTTACTAACTCCTAGATGTGAATGTGCAAGTGTAACGGGTTACACGAGGTCGTGGAGCAAGGTCGGAATCTCTTCTTTGGTGACCTCGGATGAATGCCTTAGGCGATTCGGAGCAATGATCTATGAAGCCTGGCCAGGGTCAAGATCGAATGTTGACGAGTTAATCACTTCCGACAACTTTGCTAACTTTACATCCACCATTATCATTACCTCATACTGTAAATAGTAATCATTGCAGTTGACTTTCATATTGAGTAATTTGTTTTTCCTTTCTCCCGTAACGTTTATATTTCTGTAAAAAAATTTTTTTTACGATTTAAGATAAAATATCAAGGTAAAACAATGTGCATACGTGACCTCAAATACTATTTTCTCTCATTTGTTTCAGGCTTTTTTTCGTACTACTATGTTTAAAGAAACCTTGAGTGCTGCAATCATCGGAAGCTATCGTCTCATCCTACCAAAAAAATAAAAGGACTTTAAAAATCAATCGTGGCCTTGAAATGAAGAGATACATGACCTTGTATTATCTTTTTATGAAATTAAGAAGAGGGAAAAAAAATTTCATTTATATTTCATTAGTATCGATGACATTTTGGTTTATTTTTATTTTGTCATTCTTATCCCAGATGAAGGAACCAATTGTGCAATTTCCACGTACAGTTATAAAGTCTAATGATGCAATTCTTTGATGTGAATTTATTTCAAGAGCCACTGGATTGAATTATCGAAGGCAAACAACGACGAGGGGTTTCCAAGTGAGTAAAAGGTGACGTACGACCTTCGTTAGTAGAATAAGAGAAATCAGTACTGGATGCTGACTGTCCCAGTGAACCTTCTTGCTTAGGACTTTTATCATACCATAGAAAATATTCATTGTCGACTGGCAATGAGGTCAGTTAATGATCTCATTACCTTTACAATACAGGTGTTTGGAATATAGATCGTCGAAAGAAAAAGTTTATTAATAATAAAAATTTTATTTGTAAAAATTATTCGTAAAAAATTATTGCATTGCATGGAAAAAATTTAATAATTTAAATGCATTAATTTTTTATGAGTTATAATTTATAATATAATTTAATATAAATGTTATTTATTTTTATCACAAAATATAGCTAAATAACAATTTTAAAATAACTATTCTCTAATATGTGAATTTAAATAATAATAATAGCAACACATTAACTATTGGTGTATTCATTACGTTATGTTTTGAATAATTATCAGCAAAGTTATTTTCATGTAGAAAGTCTATTCGACATCTTTTGAGTATAAAATACTTATGAAGATGTTAGAAAAGAAATTAAAAGAGAAAGAATAAAAAAAATTTAGTAGCAGTAAATATATACTATGTAAAAATTTCAGTGACTTCACTCGGTTGTAAATCTTTCTTGGTTACAATTATATTCCATTATTTGTGACCAGATGTTTAAACGTATGTGGCAAAATGTGCGAAAGTTTTTGTGCTCATTGGTGACTCGAGTATTCAAACTCATTTCATCGTTTAACTTCCAAGACTCTCACTTTTTATTTAAGGTTTAAATTGCTAGCTTATGTTCATTTTTATTAAATTGACAAAAATTAATAGAGCAGAATAAATGTCATAAAACATAAAAGGTATCTAGAATATGTAAAACACTTTATGTAAAGCGGCACATATGACTACATATTTAAATCAGGAAAAAAGGAAAACTGATTGAAAGATAACATGAAAACTGTATTGAAATAAAATTGAGTAAGAAATGAACAACGTTTTGAAAACTCTGAATGGATTCTGGTTTTTCCGGTTTGGAAATTAGCCAAACTATTTTGACGAGCTCGTGGGTACAATTTTTTTTTTGACTGTCAAGATGAATTGCATTAGAAAGGAAAGTGCACCCAGAATATAATATTTCAGTGAAATTGATATGAACATGATCAAGAACCAATGAAACATAAAATTGAAATGGCACATGAAAAAATATTAATATGCAAGAAATGGTACTCGATATAAAATAATATTGAGCGTTGAAGCAACACAATAAAATTTTCATGATTCTAATACACTTTATAAGCGCCTTATAAATTATAATAAAATTTCACGACCAAGATATAAATCAGTCTTGTTTCGTACATACATAAACATCGACTAAAGTTGCACGAACGACCAACTTAGTGCCGTTCTCGCGATAATGCTGATAAATTGGAGTCATTACGTGGTTAACCATATTACACAATAATTCTATAAACGTAAAGTAGTCAAAAAAATATTATTCCATTGTCTTGAAAATTGAAAAGTTATGGCCAAACCATCTATCACAGTATGTGAAAAGATTTCTTGATAATATTGACTATGAATGTAATAGAGAAATATGAACTTGAAGCATTAATATTTTATTTAATTACTATTATATTATCTGCCATTATATTATCAACTATTAATAAAAAATCAAGGTGCTTTGGTTATATTTTTGTTAATCAATCATCAGCTAATTAATCCGTTGACATAATAAAAATCATTCTGAATAAAATAATTTATTATTAAAATTGGAATGATGGTGATTAAAGATAATGTGTTTAAAGTTCATGATAAACAACAACGTGGTGCAGATTTAATAAGAGACCAATATCTATTAACCGTCACTTAGCTTGGTAAGAAAATCAATGTGATACATTTATAATACTTGGCATTCTTGTTGCACTATCTCCAGCAAAAAATCGCACGTGCCAAGATCTTATCAGCATATAATTTTGTGACATTATTTTAATAAAAAATCGTTTTTTTCTCACCTTTAATTTCATCTGTAATTTATTCTGGTATTTATATTAAGCTATAAAATTGTGATTTCATGCTGCGTTTAGATATTAAATATATCCATTAAAATTTATCTTGTATATACGCTAACATATTTTGACCTATAAACACACTCCTACGCAAATTATGTAACACCAAAACAGTACCAGCTGGCGAATTTAATTCATACAAAACAAACCCTGGCAAATCTTATATTTCTTTTCTATTAATTTTTTTCCATTATTTCGTTGGCTGAATTATATCTGTTTTTTACTTTTTTTTGCTTCATGTCAATCAACAAAGAGAAGTCTTTTCTAAAATCAGCACGCAACATTCGTGCGTGACGTATGTACAGCTAGCAATGTAACTGAAGGAACTCGAGAGTGTTGTACTGAGGTCCAGGGCACGTGATTATGTGATTACATAATACGATCTTAATCGTGAAGGAGCTCAGGCTCACTGGAAACCTACATGTCTAGTAGACCATGAAGCTCACGATGTTAAAGGAAATATCAATGTGAATAACTGAGAAATGAGCTGGGACATTTGTATGCGTATGAATTGCGTGGATGTCCCAATAAATTTAAGAGTTCTCGGTCACGAAAAAAGGAAGAAAGGTCATTTTGAAAAGTCAATAAAGGCAGGAATGATCTCTTGCTATACTTATGTAGAACTTGATTATTGATGCCAGCATTTAATTACGTGATTCATTCTGTCGAGATCATTTTAATATTGCTCTTTAGTAGAGTAAATGAGAGTCATGGGAAAAATATGTAGGCGCGTGAAAATTATTGACCACGATCTATATAATAGAGCAACTATTAAGAATAATGAAGGTATCAATAATATTATCCCTATGTGATTGTTTGATTGTGAAGTATAGTAATTGTATCGTCAATTTAATTTTTATTCTGAATATAAAGCTATAGTTAATTAATAGATATCAGAATGTTACATAGAATTGATTGATTAATGACAGAAAAATTTATTTTATGATAAATTGTTTTTTATTTGATTTAAAACATGTCCAGATTTTTTTTTTATTGGAAACAATAATTATATCCTGGTGTTCTAAGATAAAAATGCTTCAAGCCAATTTATTTCAATCACTTATTGATTTAATCTTATAATAAAATATAATAAATGTGTTTATAAAATTAATCAATGGCTTTTATTATTGATAAATAGTAATTCCAAGATAATTTTGAACCTGCTCATATCTTGATCTTGTATTGATAAGAGGGGAAGTCCATCGATAATTGTGTGACTAACTGATTATATTAATATTTTAGTGTTAAATGATAGTAAACTATAATTTATCAAAACTTGTTTCACTGGAAATAATTTGACTGCATTTTTATGTGCAATTATTAGAAATTTCAGTTTTGCAAAATGATTGCTGATCATGTCGTGATCGATTTTATCATAAGTAAATGTCATACCAACTGGAGCTAAATAAAAAATAACAGAACACTTCTTTACCTTCAGCAGTAAATGTCAAAATGAAATATTCAAAATGATAATATTCTTGAAAAACTAACTATCAATAAAATATTTTTTTTTCAAAATAATATAAATAAAGTTATTGTTACTGTATTCATCATCAACTTTATTGTACAATATTCTAAAGCGTAAAATTGCATTAATTTTAAACAATAATTATTTGAGGATTATAATAGCATTTTAATCTAAGGTGCAATGAAGCTAAAACATTGCAACTAAAATAATATTAATAAGTAAAATAAATGAAAACAATGAATGTCCAATTCTTAGTAATATAGCCAATGTCAAATCATTGATAACAGATCTAGATAAATTGTCTCTTCAGTATTGATAATAAAGTTAACATACTGAGTATCATTTCCACTAAGTAGACCTAGTGATTTGCCCAAAGATAGTGAACGTTTCAAAAATAACGATATTCCACGATGATTTTTAAATTAAGTGTATTCAAAATTGTAATATTATTCATTTTCTCAACTTATGAGGTTAATGGTAATTTTGATTCTGTCTATATTTTGTTTTATGACTGCCATAAATGTGGATTTGAATCAGTGAAAAATAATTAATATACGTATTCAAGGTGAAAATGATACAATAATATCAAAATCCACCCCAAAAATGACTACATCAGTATCAGCAACAGAAAACATATTAGCGAGAATGGAAGGTCGGATAGTCAATGGAGAAGCAGCAGAACTTGGACAATTTCCTTATATGGTTTCAATTCAAAATCTTATTGGCAAGGGACATTTTTGTGGTGGTACTCTACTGACTGACAAATGGGTTATTACTGCAGCTCATTGCTTACACAGGTGATTAAATTGTATCATTCACCATTTTTAATAGTAAATTATGATTATATAAAAAATATATAGTCTGAATAATTTATAGGCAAGGTGCTGTAAATATACCACTTCAAGTCGTTGCTGGAGAAGTTAATCTCAAGCTCTCATATTCTCGTCACAGACAGACACGTGAAGTTAAGAAAAAAATTGTTAATCCCATGTATGATTACAATATGCTTGCTAATGATATTGGATTATTATTGGTAATTTAAAAATAATTAAAATATATATTTATTAAAGGTGATTGAAAAATTTATTAAATCAATATTTACAGTTAAAAATACCATTTATGCAAACAAGCTACGTTTCACCAATATCTCTGCTCAGAACTGTTCCACAACCAGGATCTCTATGCACTACATCTGGCTGGGGATATACTTCTGAAGTAAAGAACAAAAAAACAATTTTTAATTTTTTTCTATGATCATATGTGATCTATAATATTGATTGAATCTGCTCCAGAATGGCTCCATTTCTGATGTCTTGATGTATGTCAAGTTACCTATAGTCGCACCTCGTGAGTGTCAAAAATTGTTAGCAGGAATTATTTATGTTTCTCCTGCTTTAATATGTGCTGGATTTTTTCATGGAGGCAAAGATGCATGTCAGGTAATTTATTAATTAAATTATACGTAAAAAAAAGTTTTGTTAAATGCAATTATATATTAATAGATATTAAGACACATTAAGATGTTGTTTGCATAGGGAATGATAAATTTATTCAATTTAATTACAGGGTGACTCAGGTGGACCTCTAGTATGTGATAATTCACTAGCTGGAATAGTTTCGGGTGGTCGGGGATGTGCTCGCCCAAGACTTCCAGGATTTTACACAAGTATTCCTGAGTATAGAACTTGGGTAGAACAAGTAATGGATTCTGGAGGTGATAATGTAACATATCATGGGGTAAATAAGCATCCTTCATTATCAATAAATTCCTTAATGCCTGATAGTTCAAGTTCACTTCAAGCAAGTATTTATTTTATCTTTACTTATTCGACACTTGTAATTCTATTTATAATTACGTGAAATTTGTAATGACAAATAAACATTATTTAGATTGAAAAATGGTATGTTTGAATAATACATTTCAGTAAATATCAATTTGAATTTTTCCACTGAAAACAGTCTCTTCATAAAACCCTGCTAATAGCTTAACGAGAAATAGGATTAGGTACTCAGTGAAAAGCTTCTGTTACTCCATCTAATATTGTAGGGATAAATGCTTAAGCTTTTCCCCGATTGTATGGAATAAAAGTTAATGTATTAAATCCCTCTGGCAATGTATTTCAACTGAAATATCTTATGAGCAAGAATAGCTACTGAATGGGATTGTAACATTTGATAGATACAGAAAATGAAGTCTGAAATATATACAAAAGACTGAGTATTTGGTGGTAATAGAAGTCAGGTTGATATTTGATGTAGGACCAGACCAGCGGTTTGAAGCAAGACAAAAGTTGTACTGAGAGAGCTGGGTTCCCAGACTTTACGGGCAGTCCGCCAATGAAGATTATGTTGCAGGCTTTTATTGCAACTTTTATTGAGGAAGGAGCCCTTAGAAGTTTTTTTTTGGATCCATGAACATGCATGTTTTTACTTTCAGCGACTTTTTATACACATTCTCTGGCTTAAAAAATGCTTCAACAATGAAGTGAATTTATGATGGTATTTTGCATGAGTAAGTCAGAGGTCCATGAATATTGTTTGGCACAAGAGTTTGAATGTTTAAGGAGGTCTAGAATAAACTAACTAGTCCTAGTGCTTCAATCAAATGCTTCCGTCGTCTCGGGATTTCCTAACAAATTACCCTAACACATTATCCTTCTATCGACCTTAATCAAACAAATTCCAAGTCCAGCTACCCTCGACATATTGGCCCGGAATTGACCAACCAAAATGATCTTATTGGTTCAGTTCAGTTCAAGTCACTCGAGAGAATGAGTACGTGGGTGTACATCCCCACTTCTCTTCAAATACTGGTGGTCTAACCCTTCTCAGGGAACCCTCGTAGAACGAATGTTGGATTAGATTTCATCTGCTTCCTAGGTAGTACCATGTCCACTTCATAATGACCAGGGTCTCCCCTCCGTTCTAATATATACGAGGGGTCATGCCAAACTTTAGCCTAAAGGTATTTCTGCAAAGGACCAACGAACGTTGGCCCCTTGTCAGATTTCATCTACGTTTGCAATTGCGTCTAGATACACAATTCGATATCCTGAAGCATGTTTTGAACATTACAATGTCAGGGGGGGGGCATGTAAGAAGAATTCTCCAGAGAAAATTTATCTCCCTTGTGACCGGAACCTTTCAAAAAGTTGAAAATACATTTCTATTAGCTAGCAGGAGGGTGAGTAAATGAACTTGTAATCCTTAGTTATTTATTAGCCGTCAATCACTTGATGTTTGGTATAATTCAGACATGTTAACATGTAATTACGTGGAGTAAATAACAATAGAGTAGATATATCCTCTGAAAATCATTAGACATAATGACGTGATGATGTGGCTACCCTTTGTTAAGACCGGAAGTGTCCCCTTGAATGTTACACGATTAATAATACTCATACTACCTTAAAAATACAACACTCTTATCTGCATGATGCCACTTGGTACGGTGGTTGCGTCGATTTCAAAATTGGAGTCGGAAACCAGTGGGTATGACAATCGCATTCCACCTCGAGATCTCATTCGGATCCTATTCCGTACAGCAGTACTGCTTAATATTCATAGAAGTGACTGCATTTCTCTCGTATCGACCGTCACGTATAGCTAGCTTAGAGGCTATATCCAGATATCATTTTACACTCAGTCGAATTTGGAAGGAATATTGTCGAGTTTATTTCATAATTTTAGGTATTTCTATTTTGAATAAAGTTATTACGATTCTAAAGATAGTATATTTTATAAAATATATTGCTTTATGATTCATAAAGGTGGAATATTATCATAGAGAAATAAATCATAATTTGATTGAAATTCTTGATATTATTGATAGAGTCATGAGCAGTTGGAAAAGAAAGTATCTACTCTATCTGTTGAATTAGATATAAATCTCTCTCGCATGTGGTTCTTTTTATTCGTAGACAAATATATAGATGAAATTTTGGTCTTAGAATCACGTGGGATTCGTCAGGTAGTAGAAAATACAATTCTGCTTTAAAGAGACTAGAGACTAGTTCTAAGTGTTTTCGGTATCTACCGTTTCACAGCCAAAAAACTTGAGTAGATCATGGCGAATCCCCTTTTTTTCCAATTCATTCATTCTCATTACCAATTATTCTATTCATATTATCAAAGTAAAAATTAATCCAATAACAATTAAGTTTGAATTTAAAAAAAAAAAAAATAAAATGCAGTTTGAAATCGCTTTAAATTTCCTGTCGACTTTCGTGATCTTCCGGTTTAAAAATTAAAGACCATAATTATGTTCACGTTCTTAATAGAGTGTAATAGTGTACATTTACTTTATGTCATATAATTCGTCTGTTATCCCTATCATTATATATTGTAGATAGTTTAAAGTTGGTTATAAAATAATTGAAATGAAAAGTTTCTTTAGTATCTTTGATATTGGTACTAACAATCTTCTCATACTTACCTCTTCGTCTTGAAATACCCATCCAAAGAGAGAATAACTTTATTCATTATGTTCCATCCATTACTTTCACTTGGAAAACGTAAAATATTTCGATCTAAAGATAGGTATGAGCAAATGTAAATTTTCACTCTAACAAAGAGTTTAATATTCAATAATAAAAGTAATGGTCGATTATATTTGCCATAAAATATAACTACTTATTAAAACACATTTTGAAAGGGTCTTTCTAATAAAATATTTTATTATTATAATTCTGCAAGAATAATAAAATGTTGCTAAATTTTCCTTAAATTTACCAAATTCATTATCGCATTTTTATTGATATTTGAAGGTATCTCAAAAATATGCAATAATTACTAATGACTTGACTTTTCAGATCCATCCCTAACACTCTAGAAAGATACAAGAAATAGCCTTATTCTCCCTACTGGAAAGTTCTCGTATTTTTCCATATAATTCGTCGGGAATTGGATTGATTCCAAAGGTTGTCAGGGGTGTAGTAAAGGACGTAAAGATAGAGAGACTTTTTCGACTTTTCGATACACTTTCAATGGTCAAAGACAGAGTCTCTTTTATTATTAAACACTAAACTATCTCAAGTTCTTTTCTCTTGGCTGTCGAAATGTGAATGGAATAAATATCGAAGTACTGAATCATTTAAATCAAAGATGAATTTTCAGTTGAGCTTGGTGACATCAAAGGAGGAACGAAAGCGGAACTTTTTCTTGATTCCATCACCACCAATATACATATGACAGGGAAAATAGTATCCTTGAAAAGTCAGCATTTATTGATTCATTCATGCTATTCCTCTTGAAAATATGAAATACAGTCGGCTGATTTATATCCGGAGGGGTGTGGTATTGGGTTTCTCATTCAGCGATTGAAGAAATAAGTTTGAAAGAGATACAAAAAGTATTGTCCTCATGTCCATTTCCGAAACGCTGTCACTTTGTGAGTGCACACGTCAGCAAAGCAATCGAGTGTGAGTTGTTTCGTAAAAAGGAAGGGGGTTGACCTAAGGGTGGTTCTTTTTGCACAACGCAAAACCCTTATTAGTCGTCCAAGCGATACGCTCAATCGACAACACCAAGCACATCGACACGCTCTTCTGGTCTTTCTCGTATCAAAGACTAAAGTAAAAACGTATATCTGAGGGGTCCGCCCTTTTCCTTTCTGTGTCCACCATTTGATCTTTCCTCCCTTTACTCTCTCCCTCCTCCTTTCCTTCATCTTTTAAGTGGATTCAGAGATGCTTTTGCGATTGAAAAGCAACTCACTGATACATGTAAATACAACTTGAGATCTTTTCGTTTTTATGTACAGTAAAAACATTAAATTTTACGCTGTTCTCTGCACGTGTATTCCATCCCCTTATATACCGGACACACCCTTTTTTATGTGTGTATGGCTTTAAAAAATTCTCATTACTATTTTTATTACTCTCGTGAAGCCATTTTGTTACTTTTTGCGCTGTAAAGTATTCGAGAAAAATTTATTGAGCCATTTTAAGATAAATCCGAATTAAAGTCTGTCGAGAAATGTCATAAAAATATTCGAAAAAATATCACAAATATTTCACTTATTTTAAAATTATTTACTCAAAGTGGAGTTGGTGAGGAGGAGGAGGGAACTTATGGATAAATAAAAAGGTGAAATTTGAACTGGTGAAGGAAGTCATTTGATATCATGGATCATGAGAAGAGTGATCCCTTATGGATATGTTGCTGGAATGCTTGAGGGCCAAACTGTGAGGGATATTTTTTGTATTTGATTCTTCTTCCTTCTGCTAAGAACCAACAAGATATCGGACTCGAGTGTCAAAGCTTCATGCCAAAGGGAATGTTGGTGATGTTGATGGAAAAAGAAGACCCCAATCGATAATGTACGCAAACGATACGTTTTACGTGTAGCCTTGTGGTTGAATGAATATTTTCGAAAGATAAACGTTTAGATGTTATTGACGGGGAAGAACTTTGCTCTCATTTTGCAGATGTAGGGTGAAACATAAAAAACATTTTGAATAAAATCCACTGGTCAAAAACTTTCGATTGTTTTTCATCTATAGTATATTGTCTTTTTGTACAATAAAATGCAAAAGGACCTTTCGTTCTCGTATTTTATTACTCCAATAACTCTGTCTCCAATAAATCAAATACTACTCTATATATACTGGGATTTAAAAAAGTTTATAATTTGAAAGAGTCTATAGGGCGGTGATTTTTATTCAGTGAATTCTGTTTTTTGAATAAAAAAATTTTTTTTTTTTTGTTTTTACTATAAATGAAGTACAACGTCAATATAAATAGAAAATATTATTTATTAAATTTATTCTTAACAATAAGATTATTCAAACATTTTGGATATTTTATTTTGGAGCTCTACTTCTAGATAAGTAATAAATTAGAATATTGGCTTTATATGATCCAACTCATCCAAGACATGCA